TCATCGGTTGCATAACGCTGTGTGGAAGCTACCTGGTCTGTCGCTCCGCACTAAGCTTCAGGTCTTCTCGGCCACGGTCATTCCCTCCCTTCTCTATGCTTGCGAAACGTGGACCCCCCTAATGGAACATCTTCACCGGTTAGAAACATTTAGGCTGGCCTGCCTACGATCCATCCTGGGTTTAACCAGGCTGGATTGTGTGAAGAGCTCACAAATCCTTGAAAGATCTGGGCACGGTCCCATCGGTGAGCTCCTCCGGTAGGCAAGGCTGTGTTGGCTGGGTCATGTAGCCCGCATGCCCAGCCACCACATGCCGAAACAGCTTTTGATCGGCCGGATCGAGGGGGCTAAACGGGCGCGGCACGGGCTAGAGAAGAGATGGAGTGATGTGGTACAGGAGGACGTGGAGCTGAGTGGACTTGCCGATGACTGGTACCAGCGGTGTCAAGATCGGCCTCTGTGGAGGAGGCTCGTGAAGGACGCTACTGGGCAGTTGGAGGCAGTCGCCCTCCAACAACAACGGAGGGCGGAGGAGCGACGCTCACAACAACGAGCGGAGCGCCGGGTGACTAAGGCACAGCAGGTTGGCACAGTAGGGGGCACAGGTTGTGCATCAGCCAGTCATCTCAGTCAGTCGGCCCGTGGCACCTGGGTCTGCCCCGTGACCTCCTGCCAGCGGGCGTTCGACACTTCACGTGGCCTCAAGGTGCACATGGCCTGGCACAAGCGTTGTGGTGACATCACCGCCACTTAGTGGCGAATGGCGGTTGTTGTTGTTGTTGTGTCTTAATATAGTGTAGCGGTTAGCGTGCTGTGCTACGAACCAGGCAACCCGAGTTCGATTCCTGCTCACGTCCAACACCATTGACGATTTTCTGAACCGGTCATGGGCCTCCCCTAGGTGGACTCAGCCTCAAATGAGTACCTGCTGTGGTGTGTAAACAAGGCGGCGTGGTGCTGGCCACCCACCCCTTCATGTGCCGTGCCGCCCTTCTTAGGTGCTTGCTAACAGCACTTGCCCCAACAGTCTGTTCAGGCTACATGGAGGATCTTTGTCTGTGTGTGTGTCAAAGTGCACCTGGACTGGCACAGGCGTCGTGGTGACGTCACGTAGCGGCGAATGGGGGCTATTGGTATTGGTGTATCTGCATGTGGCAGTGTCTGTCATTGTCTGTTGTGTGTCTGTGTCTGTCACATTTGGTAGATTATTTTATTTCCCATGCGGGGATAAGTGATTGCAACTGTGGTGGCCGGTGTGGGTGCAATGTAAGGCAGCGGCTGCAGCAGCCCAATGCTTGCAGGGGGTGGAGGGGGCGAGGGGGGCGGGGCGTGAGTGGGGCAGCGAGCCCCCTGATGGCTGGGCACGGTGGTGGTGGGTTCCGTGCTACAGGGACTCATTCGGGATAACGTTTGCATTCTCCCAGTTCATCCTCCACCGGTGGAGGAGACTCATCTGAAATTCACGTGAGCCTCATGTGAGCCTCATGTGAGACTCATGTGAGACTCATCTGAGACTCATCTGAGACTCATCTGAGACTCATCTGAGACTCATTTGAGACTCATCTGTAACTCATGTTAGACTCATCTGAGACTCATCAGTGACTCATTTGAGACTCATTTGAGACTCATCAGTGACTCATTTGAGACTCATCTGTGACTCATTTGTGACTGACTAATCTGAGACTCATTTGAGACTCATCTGAGACTCATCTGTGACTCATTTGAGACTCACCGTGAACTGTGAAACGTCCGACCTGCAGAGCTTCGAGGTGACCAGCAGGTAGCAATACAGCAAGTGGGTTCGTGACTCCTCTGCGTGGATTAATGAGCACTCTCTCTCTCTCGATCTCTCGCATGCCCGAGCTTTCTCTGGGTACATATTTCTTCGCAAATGATAAACACTCATTTAGGAATTGGCCCGACATTGCAATGCTGCAGTCTTCTGAAACGAAGTCACAAGATGAATTGAGGCTTTCATTGTTAACACCAGTAATGAGCCCTCGCGCTAATAAGCAATTGCTGCAGTTTTCGTGAACCGTGGTTGTATTCATGGACTAAGTCGCCCCCAAGCAAAGGAATGTGGAATTTCCACCCGTGAACACCACTCACACTTGGTCGAGCAAGTGTGGGTGGTTCGCCGCGGGCGAGAAAGACGCCACCCGAACACGACATACGCACCTCGACCACTCCAATGGTGCTGAATTCAAATGTCTCAGAGCGATGCCACAGTCAAGTCGCTCGAGAGATATAATGGAATGTGTGATCTCCAGTTTAATGATATGTTTTTATTACGAACAAAACTTCAAGCTCTAATCAGAGAGCCCAGGAGGCACAGTGTTGTTTATTTTATTTTAAGGACATGCTTGGAGTTGGGTTGGTTTTCTAAGTGGGAAACGTACGGTTGAAAATAACAGAACGGTTGAAAATAACAGATCAAGTGGAGCTGTTCGTACAGCAAGTTACCTGCGTGGGTAGCCCGGCGGGTCAGGGGTCATAGCACTGAGCTGGCACCACTAAGACCCGAGAGCTGAGTCAGGGTTAAACGGAGTTGTCAAATGCATTTGATGGTCACCAATGACGGGCCACCAAAACCATCATATTCAATGTGTTCCTTTCCGTTTAATTTGTCTGACCTATAGCTCTGCGAATTTAAAATATAATGTTTGACTGCTATGCGACAATTAGCTCACAGTAAGGAATGTGATTAATTACAGCGCCTGTGTGCGGAGGGATAAAATTGGCCCTTGAAAAGACTCAAGAGAAGTTCTGTGAGATTTGCTTCCGCGGGCCTTTGTCTAATGTAGGGCGATATGCTGCCCCGTGAAAGTTCTGAATTGATTTTTTCCGTCTCGTGACATGACGTCAATAGCACAAATGGGATCATATCTAAAAAAAAGAAAGTCGGCTACTGTGCTTGTCAACAGACCCGGACCATCTCAGCGGAAACGCAGCTGCGCAGTAGCAAACGATGGCATTCAAAGCCGTCCATATCGGCCATTCCCCCGTGGAAACACAGCTTTCTGATCACTTTGATGCCTCCGGAGAAGCGAATGTTCAAACTCGGGACTGTCGTTTGAAGGCTGTCGGCTGCTGAGCTCTTTAAGGCGGAATTCGTCTCGCCGATTCATGCCGTCAGCCACGGAGCGTGTGATAACAGCTCCGTTTGCTTCCAATCATTGGCCGTGGGCTGTGGATTTTTAATTTTTTTCTTCAAAATGTTCTGTTGCGGGGGAAGTTGCGTGCGCTAAAAATAGCGATCCAGGACCTTTTTAGAGATTCACTCCACGCCTGCGTTCTCGCACTGGCACAGAGCATTCGCAGCGTAAACTTGCCTGGGAGAAATTACGTACTTGCAATGATGAATTCGATTGTGTAATTTACATTTGTAAAAGAGACAGTAATTTATTGCCAAGAAGAACATGTTTAAAATACTTAATGTCTGCTGCTCGCCAGTGAATTTCAGAATTGTGGCTTCTAAATCAGCATCCTTATGAAAAACAATTTGATCAATAATACATGAGTCAAAACGGGTCACTGAAAAGACTTCTGATCTCAAAGGACTCTTAAACTCATCTGTCTGCCTGCATAGACAGCACGTGACATGCATGGGCACACCGACCAATATGACCACCGTCCACAAACCGAGGGCGCAATGAGGCAACAGGACTTGCGCCCCGCGATGATATCACGACGTACAAATAGGCAAGCCTCTTCGGCCATGGCTATGATATCAATAGATGCAACATCATCTCGTTTCCCGAGGCCCAAATGGATCTCAGCCCTCCCCTGGTATATGATTTATTAAATCAGATTCTCACATACATTTCATATTAATTTGATTTGTAAATGTATGATGATTACCACAATGCGGAGTTGTTAATGAACTTGACTCCTACAATGTGCACGGATGTACTAAAGGAGTGAATGGCCTGAACGTGTCTTGAATTCGGCTGGCTAAGTGCGAATTTGTAAACGAGCGCTACTCCGCACGATTCTCAGCACGTGTGTATTTGTGCTTCATACGAATGGAGTTGTATCCATGGAGCACGCTGCTTTGTGAGCTCATCCTCGCTCAGGTTACCAATTACTCTGAGCGACTGGGACACATCCTTCCCAGCAGAGGCACTTTACAGTTCAATTAGAACAATGCCGTACGTGTATAAGCCGGATAGCTGCAGTGTGATAGCGTAGAGTGCGCATGCTCTGTTCGAGTCTTCTCACCGTCCTGTTAAGTCAAAGCGTCCACTTCCTTGCATGCGTCTCTCTCCTCGAGGCATTGTCCTCAAGTCCGTGGTGCAAATTCCCCTTTACTCTGGCGGAATTATAAATTGTAAGAATCCATTCGGAACTCTCGCAGAGAGAATAAATATCCCAAGAGAGAAAGACTCTCAGGAATGAGGTTCAGATGATTTCATCTCATGCCACTGCAAGTGACATTTTTCCCACTTTCCCACATACCCGACTATACAGATATTTGCTGCATGAAAAACACACGTTTTTTTGTCATTATTATTCTAAGAGCTGGAATTGAGGCAAGAAAATACACATTTAATGGGACTCAGTCATCGTTTATCGGGCTGACACCGAGAGCCCAATTTGACATCTCGACCAATTAGCCGAGACGCCTCGCCACGGCAAAGTGACCGATCGTTAGCGACAGAAAGGCGTCACAAATTAACTGGGAATCAGGCCCCAATGTACGTGCGCGTTAATCAGTGCACGGTCCCTGCAAGCTTGGATACGGGTCCATGTCTACGTAAATGTCGTGCCGGCAACATCCCACTCTTTGAGCCTTTGTCACGGCGAGCAATTGGCTTTGTCTGGGCGCGTTTCGCCCGAGCCACTTTAATGGGATTGGACGGGCGGTGGCTCGTGGCTTTGGCGGGCACGAGGAGTGGAGGGGGGGGGAGAAGCGGAGAGAAGCGGAGTGAAGCGGAGGGGACCGGGGAGGAGGCTGGATTCTGAAGGAGGAGAGGGGGGTAGGGAGGGGCGCACAGGCTGCGAGCTGTCCATGGCATTAGAGATGCGCGAGCACGTGCCGCGTGCCGGGGCGCTCGCACGCGCACGCACGGCCCCGTCGGCCAATCGGCGCGCGTCGCCGTGGCAACAGAGAGTGAGGATGCGGCGCGGAGCCGGTCCACGCCGAGGATGATGCGCAGAGGAGCCGAGCAAGCGAAGAGAGTCCAGAGGAGACGCCACAGCGTGGCCGTGGCTCAGGCAGAGGACTCGCGGGGCAAGCCGGGCAGGCGAGACGAAGCGCGACTGCTGAGAGTGACAGCGGTGGTCACCGATGTGTTTGTTATGACAAGCGCCTTCCTTGCTTGAATGCGAAGCCGCTCGTCCTGCCGTCAATAATTATTGCAGCGGTTGTTCCAGTCATTATCTCTCTGTGAGCTCGGAGAATGTCGGTGTTTGTTTCTATGATGCGGTGGATGGGCTCGTGAGTTCCCGTACTTCGCATCAAGATCCTTTTGGATTTATTTGTTTTTACTCACGGCAGTGAAAGCCTCAAAAGTTTTGTCTTCCGATTTTGCCGCTAGAAAATTTGTGATCCTCTTGAGAGGGTAGCCCTGGGATAGTTTGAAGCAAGTTCATCGCAAGAAGAGGTTCAGAAACAATATCCCAAGAGGGCAAAAACAATGCTTGGACTTTTGAGATCAAGTCAATCTCCGCCGTGACACATCTTTACCCAGCTGGCTCCAACCGTCCGAGCCCATCGCTCATCCCCGCCCACTACTCCAGATCGATCACGGCCACTGCTGAACTCCGTTGTTCTCCGGGCACCGCGACGTTCAGGGCGAGTTGCGATGGGGAAGCCAGAGGCGGGCGGCGCGCCCGGCCTGGGGTTCCGCGTGCCTCGCTCCCAGAGCAAGAGCAGCCTCTCCGCCTCTCTGGAGGCCCTGGCCAGCTACCTGCCCTGCATGGGAGGGACCGAGAGCGGCGAGGGAGGTACGGCTGGACGATCGCACGCTTGCAGCCGCTGCAGCTGTGAGAGTGGCCGGCGACTCGCACTCACCGCACCAACATCTACGTCTCGACACACACGCACACGTGGATATACTTAGGGATATTCGCACAGAGTCTCAGACTATACTTGCTCATACAAAGGTGCTAATATGTACCACACGGCAAAGATCCCTCCTATAGCCTTAACCAACTTTTGGGGCAAGTGCTGTTCGCGAGCAGCACCGATGAAGGCCGCTACGGCACACGAGGGAGTGGGTGGCCAGCACCACGCCCCACCGCCTTTGTCTCCCCAGTAGCAGTGTTTACACACCGCACCAGGTACTCATTTGAGGCTGAGTCGACCTATGGTATGCCCAGAACCGGTTTAGTTAATCGTCACTAGTGTCGGCCGTGAGCAGGAATCGAACTCGGGTCGTCGAGTTCGTTGCGCAGATGCACAGCTATACACAGACACACATGTCCAAAGATGCCCCTACACGCTCATACGTGCACACATGCTTGAACATGCATGCGACACTCGCACACACACACAAGACTCCCGTGTGTATGCATGCACGCACGCACGCACGCTCACGTGCAAGTAAAACGCGCGCACACATGCACACACGCACACGCAGGCATGAAAACAACGACAAGCATACACGAAGGACCCAATGCAATGCTCATTTCAAGTTAAACTGATCAGCACGGAAATCTATGGAGCCACTTTCTCGAGGCTTGCGGTGAGAGCGAGGCTGAGGTCAGTGACCAGGAGGATCTCTGAGACCCCATTAGGACGATGACTCCTGTGAATGAGAGCCACCTTCAAGGCAGTGTTGACATGCTCATGTTCTGGTATTGCTACCTTCACTGTAATATTCAGTAACCGCACTTGATTTCTAACGTTTTAGTTCAGTATGTGATTTACCGAACGAGATGTATCGCTTTAAGTTATGTTTGACATATGATGAAACACATTATGTGCATGGCCCGTTCGCACAAAGACTTCCTGGCATAAATATGTACCGTGTAGCCTACATAGACTGGTGGGGCAAGGGCTGTTCGTGAGTATCCTTGAGACGAAGGTGGCACACGAGGAGATGGGGACCCAGCCGCCATGCCGGCCGGCCTTCATTCCCCCCGTGATGTTATTCACGCACCCCTTCAGGCGCTATTTAGAGGCTCAGTTGACCTAGGGGAGGTCCACGACCGGATTCAGCTGTGTGCCCTTGGTGTTGGCTGCGGTCCAAACTCGGGGCAACCGGGTTGTAGCGCAGCCCGCGAACCGCTACGGTACTGCGATACACGAACACGCACACACACAGACGCACAGACGCACACGTGCACCCACCCCACGTGAATCTCCGATGGAGGTGACGTAGTTGATTAGGTTTAATTCACTGATCACCGGGTACATTTGTTTTCATTATGCTGCTTTCAATGTAGCATTTGAACCCCGTTCCTAAGAATTGCAGTCTCGTGCTATAGGGGATGTTGAGTGTTCACGCATAGTGGATATGTGTTTCATTTTGAGATTGTATAGAGTTCCAGGACGTCAATAGCATTTAGCAGGATTGTGTTGCAAGATATTGACTCCGAAGTTATAATGACAATTGTATCTCCAAGTAATGATCACAACATTTCACCGTGCTCTTCATTAACACTGCCTTATCCATGTTTTTGTCATTATGATTTCTGTTTGTGGACCACTGCCAATGCAGTGCCTTTATTTTTCATCCAATTAATTTGTGTTTACGGAATTCAAACAGGTAGAAGCAGCCTTAGCTAAGATGTATAATAAAAGCAAGTTAATAAGATGATAAAAAACCTGTTTCATATTCGTACAAATATATATTAATGTTGTGTTCGATATCCGTTTAGTTGTGCCATCTGCTGGAGAACAGATACGCGGCTCCGCGAGACTCGGGCAATCGCTCTCGAAGCAGCTCCTCCGAGCTCGTTAACCTCTAATGGAACCCTCCGGCGCTGCATCAATGATTGTTTTTGTTCCAGATAAAAAAAAACGCTGAGCCCAATGCACAGCGCACTGTGCCCATGGCCACTGACACGCGGGCGCGCGGCGTCCGCTCTGTTGCCAGCGACTCGTGCTGGGATTTATTTCGCTTCTGATCACCGCGAATGCAAGGCAATTCGCGTCAATGTTGCAGCTGTGATTCTGCGGGTTTCAACGAAACATTCCCCACCCTCTTGGCGATGTGATCCAAACACCAATGGAGATTGAGTATTTCAGGATTTCTCAGTTTTTTGTATATCTCAATAAAGGCTTGGTAATTGATTTCATAACACCACACAGCCTTTGAATGGTGTTTACGTTTTACGATTACAATAGCTATGACCTTAATTAAATGTGGTGGCGCTGCGTAATGTTTGCTGATTCAAAATTTCGCATCGAATCTGGGCACGCTGGAAGTACATTACAATGATTGGTACAAAGGGGGCATTTAAATTCCAGTGGCATTCGTCGTCCGCAGCAATGTAAACCAAACATTGCCTCTTGCCAACAGCTCGTTTGCAGCTTTAATTCATGTCGACAAACATTATTTAAATATTTCCAAAGTTGCATTTTATTTAATACACACTCAACGAAACGAGTGAGAGACGTTTTGGGCACATTCTTATTGAAAGGCGGAAGATCATTCTGAAATCAAGGGCAGATTGTCACGTGATACGAAACATGGAATGCTGAGTTATTTCATTATTTCAATGTCTGTGTCACAGACCCCGTTAGTGGCGGTTGTGCAATGAACTGACCCAGATATGAGACCGAGCAGGGGCCGTGCATGACGATGGCACTGCCTCTGGTGGCAGCTTGCGCTCACTCCCCACCTCCAACGTGGGAGCCACTCTGTCAAGAGATGCACAGATTGTTAAGCACGTGACGATGCATCAATTCACTAATTAAAATATATTTTCTTACACTCACAATTCAAGCAATTAATCTCACGTTGCAGAACATCGATTATTTACAATTTATGTGAATTGTACGCTAATGTTGCTATTAGGCTAATGGAGCAGACAAAACCGCCTCAATGAGATGAGATAGCAAAGTCGACAAAACATTGATTCTTGACTTGAATTGTAACCCTGAATTGCGACAATTCATGGAAGCCATTAAATGTCTCCAAATGTAGATGTTTGACTATGGAAAAGCTGCCAGTAGGGGGTCCCCTGGGCAAAAAAACCCCTGCATTCTGATACGTTTTCGTACGGTAAATAATTGCAAGTCGCCAAGTACGATTGCATTCTATAAACAAACTGTTTACAACGGGCTGAAGCTCGATACGATGACCTAGTAGGGACGTTATTACAATGAAGGGACGATCAGAAATGATATCTTGTATAGCCCAGCAACATCTGCCATCATAATTCACATGCAGGCTGCTCGTGACGCGTGAATCCCGCGTGTGCACACGAGTGGCAGGTGGCGTCAACCTGACGGCCTGTAGTCACCCCCATCGTCAACCTGACGGCCTGTAGTCACCCCCAACGTCAACCCGACTGTAGTCACCCCCAACGTCAACCTGACTCCCTACAGTCACCCCCAACGTCAACCTGACTGTCTGTAGTCACCCCCAACGTCAACTTGACGGCCTGTAGTCACCCCCAACGTCAACCTGACTGTCTGTAGTCACCCCCAACGTCAACCTGACTGTCTGTAGTCACCCCCAACGTCAACCTGACTGTCTGTAGTCACCCCCAACGTCAACCTGACTGCCTGTAGTCACCCCCAACGTCAACCTGACTGTCTGTAGTCACCCCCAACGTCAACCTGACGGCCTGTAGTCACCCCCAACGTCAACCTGACGGCCTGTAGTCACCCCCAACGTCAACCTGACTGCCTGCAGTCACCCCCAACGTCAACCTGACGGCCTGTAGTCACCCCCAACGTCAACCTGACGGCCTGTAGTCACCCCCAACGTCAACCTGACTGTCTGTAGTCACCCCCAACGTCAACCTTACTCCCTGCAGTCACCCCCAACGTCAACCTGACAGCCTGTAGTCACCCCCAACGTCAACCTGACTGTCTGTAGTCACCCCCAACGTCAACCTGACGGCCTGTAGTCACCCCCAACGTCAACCTGACGGCCTGTAGTCACCCCCAACGTCATGAGAAGTGTATTTTGAGCGGCGCAGTGTTTGTGCACCACGTGCTGAGAGGATCATGTTGATGTTGTTGTTGTTGTAGCTCTCAATGAGGATGAACCAAGACACAGATACTGTACAGGCGTTTTGTTTATATGACGATGGCCTCTGCTGAGTTAAACGGGCAGGTTTTGAGAAATACGTTATTGTAGTACTCACTGGTGAATTTACGAGGATAAAACAGCGTACCGGATGCAATAACAGATGACTAATTTATATTCAATTTTCATTTGCCCTTTTGAATTGTGTCCACTCCAGTAACAAAGCAGCTTAACTCGTCTGCGACCAAAATATAATTCCTCATAATTCCAAGAGTTGTACTTTAACAAAGCCACTTGAATGTAAGCTTCGGGCCTTTGAGCACGCGCAGGGTCCTAGGGATTTCAATGCAAAGGATAGGGTAAGCGACTCAGGCGAGTGGCAGTAAAGCTTTGTAGAGAGAAATCAGTGACCAGGGGGAAGACTTAAAGCCAGACGCCGGTGGTGATGCTGTGACTGCAAGAGCGGCCCTTGGCAGTCGAGTCCACATTTCAATACATCACTAGTCGTATGATGATTTGAGAAATTGTTTTTCACCTGTTCCATGAGCGTGCACAGTCACTCGCTCCGATTGATGCGGTTCTCACCCTCCGCGTTAGGCCATTCTTCTGGACTAAAACTCACATTTTTGAAAGGGGATTTTTTTTGACAGATTTATTTTGTATATCACTCATTCTCTGTACACCTGTTGGTTCTTGAGTTGTAAGTGCAATGACAAACGTCTCTCGGTAAATCCCAAGTGATACGAAGCCGTTAGTGCAAGTATGTATGTATGTTGAACTTCTTTCGCACCGTACGTAGCGTGGTCGAGGTAAAGGCGCAGCCCTGCAATGTCTTGCTCGTACCAAGGCCGGCGGAAGGGTGCTCTAGAGAGCCCCTGTAGAGACGGTGTCCCACGCTGGCCAGACATCTTGAGCGAGGTGCGAGTACCCACACTTTACCCCACCACACACGGTCTGCCGATCGACTAACAGTGGTGCACCCATTTATACTTGTGAGTGGACATGGGTGGTGGTGGTGGTAGATTTAAGGAAATTGCTCCCTTGCTTTAGCAGCCCCACCAGGAGACCAAAGTGGCGACCTGCGTGTGTTGCAGCGTCCGCTGTGCAAACCATTCCACAGGCGGCGACACCAATGATTCGTCGACAAATGTGGAAGCGATAGCTTCGTAATGAATGATGAATATCGATCGACATCCATACCAGCGAAGCGGAGCAGGCTGCGAGCTGCGGTGGCTCCATGGCGCGTGCCCCGTGGACTCCGCCCGCTGTCGCGCTCTCACGGAGCGCCCATCCGAGCCCTTGCCAGCGTTTGTCACCGATGAAGATGCGATGCGATGTTGGGATGATGAGCATTTGTCTCTGGAGCACCTCGCCAAGCGATCCTGTTGACCTGATTGGATCGGGAATCCAATTTATAAAGGAGTCCTCTTGGGATCTTTGGGTTACGACTGTTAACAGAAAATTCGCAAAATTAAAAAAAAACACAATTGTTCAGCGTTTGGTTTTAATTAACATACGACGAGAGATGAGTCTCAATTGCTAATGCTGTCATTTATCGCTGTAAAATTGTCATTGACCCTTTTATTGAGGCGCTAGCTTGGGAAGGGTTCATCTCGTGACAACGGCTTTGTCCAAAGTGATGTCTCTCATCTGACGGCATCAACACAGAACTGTGCATTGTGCACAGATGATAATATGGCAGCGATCACCATCATCGTCATGAGCCGTGGTCAATCCACTGCTGGATGAAGAGCTCCCCCTGCCATTGCCATTTCTCACGACGCTGCGATGTTAATAATCCACCGTGCACACGAGCTGATTTCATTGCTCCATATCCTCGGGATACAATAGCGGCCGGACATGTGCCTGGCCAGAACACTCTCGTGTGTGCTGGCTTGGCTACATACTGTAGGTGCTCACTACAGCACTTGCCCCAACAGCCAGTATGGCGCTACGGGGGATCTCTGTCTTTGAGTGGGACTGTGTACATGTGCTCACAGTGTTGGGGCAGTGGTTAATGCACTGCACGGTGAACTTCGTGACCCCAGTGTTATTCACGGCCATGGATAACATCACTGGCAAGGGTTATCCCAATATATCCTGGGCCTCCCCTAGGTTAACTTGGCCTTAAATGAGTAAATGAGTAGCTGGTGTAGTAGTGTAACGGTTATAACACGAGTTCCATCTTGCAGCGTGACAGTTTAAACAATGGGATCCTGCTGCCTCCGTCTAACCAGACATCTGGTCAGTGCGAAAAGGCAGGAAACAAACACCGAGAGTAGCTCTCTCGAGCAGCCCCTAGTGGGGGCCCTTCCGCCATCAGTGACGTGAGCCCATCACTTGCAGGACTGCGCCTTGACCTCCACCACCTTCACTAACGGCATCGTACCACTCCTGGACTAACCGAGAGACGTTTGCCATTCCACTTACAACTCAAGAATCAATAGTTGTACAAGAATGGACCAAGGTAACATTCGTGGGTGCACCTTCACCATTACTTTTACATATTTATAGGGCTGTTGGGTGTGGCGGCCGAGGAGGAGCAGGATCCCGGTCATGATGTGGGATCTCTACGGTACGGGTTGCACGCATGGCAGTAATTGGCCTGGTGTGGTCACCCAGTGGCCTCTGCTGGCCTTGTCCGTGCCAGAGGGCCCGTGCTGTCGGACTCGGAAGGATTCGTTTGGTGGAATAACAATCACGCGCATGGAGTTATCTCGGCGTTCATGGGCAGCGTTCATGGGCAGCGTTTACGGTCATCGGCGGAGCTGCCAGTATCAGCTGAAGCCCGTTCGTGCCCTCTACTTTCGTACAGACGCCGGTTAGGGACTGCTGCTCTCTGATTGTGATGATTGCTGGTCCCTGTGATGACTGCGGGTCTCTGATTGCAATGACCACGGGTTTGCGAGCTTTTTTGTCTAGCTTCTGTCCCATCGTTCTCATCAGCTGTGTGTACGCTAATAGCAAATGATGTGCTGAAACAACTACCGTCAGTGCTTTTATTATTCCAAAACACCAGGGGGATATTTTGATGGAAAGTGCGTGTGGAATTGTGGCGAGCAAGTTGATCAATGTCTGCAACCTCCCCCAGCTAAATTCTCTACAGCGGTCAGAGATTAAAGCATCAATCAATCAAAACGTTATTTATACATTCCCTTTAATATGACAGATCACAGGACACTAATTTAACGTCGCGCATCTCTGTGTGTGTGTGCGATTTATAAATGTGTCTGTTTGCTCCACAATACAACTCGGATTAATGTAACATCCATCTAAACACGCTGTACAAAACAGTGGGAAGTGTGCGTCACGGGGAAACACGGAGAGCCATCATTTCTGCTGATGTAAAATTTTTGTGCATGAGATAGGCATAGTTCATGGAGAGCGGGAAGGTCTTTAGCCTGGACTAGAAGGGGGCCAGCCAGTCCAGAGCATTGGGCAGCTGGGGAATGGAGTTTCAAACTCACGATGGCAGCAGAGGAGACGGAGCGACACGCCACGGAACAGAGAAGTTGAGAAGCTCAGAGAAGTTGAGCTGTTATCTTTTAGGACAGTGCCCGTATTCATCGTCAGCTGCAGAGCTGCCAGGGTCGTAGACAACAGAGATGGATCGATGAGATCAGCGGAGGTGCAGGAGAGAGGTGGATTGAGACATTGGCACGACCAAGAGGGATGGTGGCAGCGTGGGGAGACCTTTATCCAGCAGTGGATACACTGGATGATGGTGATGATGATGATTTAAAGCATCAGAAGGCTTGTCAGTTCAAATTCAGGTCAGGGGCTGTCTAAGCCCATCATCCCTCAGGGATCAATAACATAGGCACCACTCTGTTGGAAACTGCCAGTGGTCATCCTTCAGTAACGAGCAGTACATCAATGCTCATTTGAGCATGGAGACACTTTGATATTTCATTAATGAGTGACAGTGGCAATTGGAACAATCGGCTTCTCATCTCTAAGCAAAATGGCTCGGTGGCATCTCTGCACGAGGTACCCCGCCTGCCCCACGCGTTCACAAGCCCCCCTCCCGTGCCACCCTCCACCCCGAGTGCCACAGTCTCAGCACCGCTCGGCCAGGCACGGGAGGGCCGCAGGTCGTCGATAATTAGGAGGGATGTGCTCCACATTTTTCGAACGATCTGAAGAAGAAAAAAATCCCCCAAAATTGGGTCTAGATATGAAATTTTCGTTGCTCCCAAAACATTTTTGGCTTCGGATAGAAGTCAATCCAATTACATTTTCTTGATCAAAAACTCAACCCTATTTTGGGTGCAATGTCCATGCTCACAGGCACTGGTTAATGCGCTTTTAAACAGCGGCTCTCTTGACATCATTGTCCCTAGCAACGATCTGTCTGCTCTATGACTTCTAAGTACAATACAACGCCCTTCTGCGTCGCGACCTCCATCCGCGTGCGGTGTTCGTTCATCTCCAACGCGGCCGCCGCAGCAGCGGCAGCGGCCTCCTCCATCCGCGCCACGTGTCCCCTCCGGGGTTCATCGCCCCTAACGGCATCCGCAAATCTCTCCCGTCTCCCGCTTCCCCACTCTCCCCGTCTCCCCGCTGTCCCCGCTTGCCCGCTACGCCAGGCGGGAAGAAGCTGCGGAGCACCGTGCAGAGGAGCACGGAGACCGGCATGGCGGCCGAGATGCGCAACCTGCAGATGGGGCGGCAGGCGTCGCGCGAGTCCACGGACGACAGCATGAAGAGCTACATGTCGGAGGGGAAGTGAGTGTGGGAGAGCGTGGGGGGAGAGCGTGGGTGTGTGGAGGCGAGCGTGGGGGACGTGGGTGTGTGGGGGAGAGCGTGGGGGGAGAGCGTGGGTGTGTGGAGGCGAGCGTGGGAGACGTGGGTGTGTGGGGGAGAGCGTGGGTGGAGAGCGTGGGTGTGTGGAGGCGAGCGTGGGGGACGTGGGTGTGTGGGGGAGAGCGTGGGGGGAGAGCGTGGGTGTGTGGAGGCGAGCGTGGGGGACGTGGGTGTGTGGGGGAGAGCATGGGGGGAGAGCGTGGGTGTGTGGAGGAGAGCGTGGGGGACGTGGGTGTGTGGGGGAGAGCGTGGGGGGAGAGCGTGGGGGACATGGGTGTGTGGGGGAGAGCGTGGGGGAGCGCGTGGGGGGAGAGCGTGGGGGGAGAGCGTGGGTGTGTGGAGGAGAGCGTGGGGCGCGCAGTGGCAGGGAGAGGAGACTCAAGTTGACGTTTGTCTTAGGGGTTAGCGTTTGAGTTAGGGTTTGGGTTTGAGTTAGGGTAAGGTTTTGGGTTTGAGTTAGGGTAAGAGTTTGGGTTTGAGTTAGGGTAAGGGTTTGGGTTAGGGGTTAAGAGTTTGCACCGTGAGTGGTGTGATGGATTTTTACAACTTTGTTTAGCGATTTGATTTGGAAATGGATTATTTATTTGTCCATTGCAGGCAAGTCTAGTCTCCCGTGGCTGCATTGTTTATGTGAACCACTCACACTGCAAAGAAAACACGTTTGTCAAAACACGGCCCTGACACGAACGAAACATTGATAGGCGAACTTCGCTCTGCTACGAAGGAACATCGGTACCACTGCCAACGCCGTGTCACAATTTTATTTGTTCAGTTAAAATGTGGACACATTTCGTGAATTTGATTCTCAAATGCACAGCTTTATTTGATGAGTCAGTGCATCGTGCCCCCTGGAAGGGCAGCTATTTTATTAGTGGCACGCAGAGTCCCACAGTGAATAAAGTGAGGCATAGAGGGAGGGGAGGGGGTGATGATGGTGGTGATGAGAGGGACGCAGGAGGAGAAGGAGTAGAGCCGAGTGTGACACAAGCGGATAGATTCCAAAGCTGAACTGTGCAGGAGCCGAGCTGGGAGACTGGGAATTAAATGTTTTGAGGGCAGCTGGAGGGAGGGCGACAGAGCTGAGGGTGAGAGTGGAGCAGCAGTGAAGGCGAGCGTGCCGTCTGCAGCCCGCTGCTGCCTGCAGGCTTCCCCACGCCGTGTCAGTTATTTGACCATACTTCACCACACCGGTCATTCGTTCATTGCTATTTCAAACAAAACATATGTACAGTTTTTCGTTGAGCGCTCACTGCCTACAACATACACCGCACCTCGTGGGCACTTCGCAGTGGCCATGGCACGTGACCGCTCGCTGTGGCGCCCTCTTGCAGCCTCGTGTTCCCGGGCCTGCGGTTTGGGCCCGACAGCCAGTTCAGCGACTTCCTGGACGGGCTGGGCCCTGCTCAGATGGTCGGGCGGCAGACCCTGGCGACGCCATCTGTTGGTGAGGAACTTGATTGGGTGATACCGGCCGGGTCCCCAAGTGCAGTGTACTTCATTCCAAGGCCCTCGTGCCACTGGGGGCCCCAGGTGGCCTCTAGTGCGGCCCCCCTCAACACACAAATGCGAGAACACCACCCCGTCATCATCGTGCTGCTGCTGTCAAACCCAATGGTTTCAAATGTGTGGCGGCCATCACACTGGTGGTGTCTTATCGGCGAAAGTGGCCTCCCTCTAGGGCAGAAGAACTCTGCCCTAGTGGGTCAGCATCATGGCCTGCGTCACGGGCCCCCTGTGTGGGGCTGGACACGGTGAAGAGTGCACCAGTAAATGAGAAGGTTCCATCCTCACAGGAGCACGCTTCCACCTGCCCCTGGAGAGTGTAAATCAAGTGCCACGTTAAGAAATCTAAACGTTGGCCTATCTCCTGGATAGACTGTCTCCCCCCACCCCACCATGGGAATGTGGAATTTACACCACTGGCTCAGGGTCGCTGGTGATGAATGACCTCTGGCCGCAATGTGTGTTTCAGCATGAACACATCTTTGATTTTAAGATGGCTGGATTTATGAAAAGTTACATTTGTATTGTTATCTCGCAAGAGCATGAGAGAGACGGCGACGGCTTGAGGAGTCCTTCATCCAGCGGTGGATTGATCATGGCCACGTGTGTTCACGTGGCAATATAACATTTCGGAGAGCTGCAGGTGGCTCCGAACATGCATTTACCTGCAGGAGGCTTAGTGCTGATGCATGGCCCAAGGCACACCACGTGGCACCAGGAGTCACCGTATTGATTGTCTCCTGGCCTAACTATGGCATAAACCAGAGCAATTTTGCCGGGTGACTCAGACACATAGCAGTGAGCCAGCAGAGCTGTTGCGTCAAAAGCCATTTCATGACCTTGAAAGCGTTAACGAACGATTCCCTTTGAGACCGCAGGTGGATTGACACGAAACACTCCTCGATAAACAACGCACGCGGCTCTCATTTATTGCGTTTTTACATCCAACTTAAACTGCTGATATGGAAGGAACGCAAAGACATTTGTCATCCACTGTCAACAGTTACACTGGGAAAAAGTAGGCCATCGCCGCCGCCAGTAATTTATGCGAGGTTTCTCGTCTCTGCGTGTGGAACCCTGCGGGAGCCCTGCCTCGTACACGCGTTGAATGTTCAAGCTGTCCTTCCCTGACTCCGTCCCTCGGAGGGTGAACAGCAGCACCCTTACCGGCAGATTAGGGTAAACACACTCACACAGGGGGAAGGGGCACAACAACAAAGGTCCCCCGTATAGCCTCAACGGACTTTTGGGGCAAGTGCTGTTAGCGAGTAGCGCCTATGAAGGCCGGCACGGTACACGATAGGGTGGGTGGCCTGCACCACGCCCGACCGCCTTTGTCTCTCGAGTGGCGATGTTTACTACACACCGCACCAGATGCTGCTCACTTGAGGCTGAGTGCTTTCCCTCAACAACCCTCACTCAGAGCCACTCCTCCTGGCTCTGCACGTTGCATTAACACTTTTAACCTCCATTGTACGCACAACACGCATCCCAAAGAGACCACTGAGGGATGACCACTTTATTTGTTGTTGTTGTTGTGAATGTGCTTTCATTATACGCGGTGTAGGGTGATTTGCATTTACAATGCACACGGTCGTGTAGTCGCGTGCCAGGTGTGTTTACCAGTGAGGCGGTCTGTACAGCATCAGGTCGTTCGTTTCCCATGGCCTGATAGTCACCACAGTGCACGACTTGGTTTCTAATGGACATTACATTTGTCAAACTAGATTCGAAGCTTTCGTGACTGCAGGAATGTCTCTTTGGTTCTTTCGGTAAAGTAACGTAGAAAATGAAATCAAAGAATAATAGAATACGACGTTTCGGTTGCAACACAAGCAGCCATCATCAGGTAAGAATGAATGATAAAACACAGACACGGAAACAACATATGCAGACACGCGTGCAGAGACACAGCGTGTGTCTCGCTCGGTGTGTCTCTGCAACATATGCAGACACACGTGCAGAGACACAGCGTGTGTCTCGCTCGGTGTGTCTCTGCAACATAGGCAGACACACATGCAGAGACACAGCGTGTGTCTCGCTCGGTGTGTCTCTGCAACATAGGCAGACACACATGCAGAGACACAGCGTGTGTCTCGCGCGGTGTGTCTCTGCAAGTGTGTCTGCTTATGTTGTTTCCGTGTCTGTGTTTAATCATTCATTCTTACCTGATGATGGCTGCTCGTATTATTTGATTTTATTTTCTACGTGACTTTACCGAAAGAACCAAAGAGTAATTACTTTTGTCGTTGCATAACTGTGTCCTTGCCATTCTTGGTTCACTTTCATCTGTGTAGGGCAGATGGAGGAGGTGTGTGTCGGGGAGGCTAGGGGAGGCTACAGAACGCTGTCAGACTACACTCTTGATGGCAGCCTCAATAACCCGTGGCGCTGAACCTTCCAGAGAGCTGCTCAGCTCAGTAAGCACCATTTGTTCTTGTAGGCCACTGGAGTAACACTTTTGGTATGGCTCACAATTGCAACAGAGATGAGCCTCCTTCACCACTTGACTGTTTTTTGTAGATCGCTGCAGTTTATGGTATTAACTGCAGCGCTGTGCTTTAAAGTCCTGCGTGTTCAATCCATGTATTGCTACATTAATGTTAATTGCAAACCGCTGCCAATTGAGAAGCACACCGCATGATTGGCGAGATTGCTGACTGGCGGAGGGGAGTGCTCGTGCCGTGGTGGGTGCATTGTGCTCTTGGGTCGATGGCCTCAATTTGATTCCTAACCCCGAGCTCGCCTGTGCAGCGAGTGATATCTAAACCAGCCTCGACCCCCACTGACCATCCCGGTGAAGTATGGTCAACCAACCGAAAGGGAGAAGCCTTCACCCAGCAGTGATTTGACAAGGGCCAGTAGCTTTTTTTTTATTATCATTACCTGCTGTGCCAAACGTATATAACAGACGTGCTGACATTTTGGCAACTCTTCTGCACACGTTGTACATTCTTTAGCATGTAATAAACAACTGCGAGACAGCGGAGGATTAGGAAATGAACTCCAGTGGTGGCCACGCCACTGCCGGGAAGCGAAGTTTAAAATATTCTGTCTTGTATTTCACACTGAATCACACCACACTGAGAATCAGTTTTGGTTAAACTGAGATTTAAGTTAGCAGTAGTTGCCAGGGAAATATATAATAAAGGAATTACTCTTTATAGGTAATAAATATAAAGGTGCGGCCCTGAAATTGATTGGTCATTCGACTGCTGACAGAAGGGTCTTCACTAGACATAGTTATGGAGGGTATTTGGCCTACTCTTCCACGTTGACCAGACAGGCTGTAAGAGGTGGTTGTACCAACACATTACTCCGCCACAGCTATTTATTAATCTCTAATTTGAAACTGAGAATCTATTTGATATGTTTTTAGTTTTTACTGCAGTCCAGTCGTTCGAGGTTGAAATGTGCTAAGTGGAAATGTCAGCCATGGCTTGGGGTTTTTGTTGACTTTGTGCTATTATCAAACGTCGTCGTTAATTGCTGAATTATCTCTCTGCCGGACGACTGTGCTCGCCTGCACGAACTGGCATTCCATCAAAGGCACCGCTTTAATTAAGCGAACCTCCGTACAATTTGTTCTCAAGGTGACACGAAGTGTGACCGCTTGTGTAAGCTGAGGTGGAAACTTTCCCTCAGCCGTCAGCCCATGTCGGTGTAAACTGAGGGGGATTTTTCACTTGAGGTGTTTTAGTTAACTCGTTGATGGTGGTCATCAGCACGACAAATTACTGGAGAACAATCCTTGACGGCACAACCAATAACAATGATCACGAAGTGTTTACTTTCCACAGCTCATGTCAAGCATCGCTTGTTTAACTGGGATAGAATTCGGTGTGAATTGGAGACTTTAAGACCACGTCTGAAATTTGAATGAGAGGCTGGAGCTGAGCGTCAGGAGGAAGGATGACAATGTGGTCTGTTGTGAAGCCATCGTGCTGCCCCTTGTCATCACGGTGACTTGGGATGCACTGGGGTCACGATGCACTGCACCCACAATGCCTCTTGACATGAGCTGTGGTACGGGTTAGTTTATCACACGCTCGAGCGTTGTGTCTCACGTGTAAGAGATGCACACACAATATAAAGCAAAAAGTGGTTATGATAGAGACCCATATATTCCCATAGAGATCCATAGACTCACACAGGGACGTATAGACTCACACGGAGACATATAGACCCACAGAGGAACAGATTCGCACAAATATGAATGGACTCACTCACACATAAATATACGAGGATGTATGTAACATACAATTGCAAGGGACGTTATCTCAACAAATCGACAGCTTGGCATAAAATTGAGATGGCAGTGTAACCAAAAAAGCAAGAGCGACGCGTTTGTTTGGCCATTATTTACTATAAGGCCTCGTGCAGGCCTTCATTGCATCCGAGGTGGAGAGCGAAATAGCGCACAGTGTCGTGGGGCACGCAAGCCGGTCCTGGGCAGCAGGGATTGGGACACTCTGGACCGGAGGGAAATCCAATAGCGTTATTACGTCCACCTCAGGTAATGACCGCATTGATTGGGCCTTCGATGTTCCTGTGCCAGGGAAATAATAAAACAAATGAATACTAGTAAAAATAAAATATTTATTTGTATTGCCTTAGGATTTCTTATTTGACTATTGAGAAAAGAGAAAAGGTTATATTGGACATTTATGAATAAGTCAAAGCGTGTCCATGGTACAGCGAGCATGGGGTTGTGCTCATCTCTATTCGTGGTCCTGAGCCGGTGGCGGCAATTCCACATTCCTATGGCAGTCAATTCCTCCATAAGACAACCAAAGTGTTACTCAGTTTACCAAACCTATAAGAAGGATCGGCTCAGTTGACTACCAACTAACATTTACATTTTGGACCTTCTGATTGTGAACTGGGCACTTCTTTCCACAGTGACCAACCTGGCAAGATATGTTGTGCGTGCATGCGTTGGCGTTGTGAGATAATCACTGAAAATGTTCTGCTGTGTTCAGGTGACATCCAGGTTGGGATGGTGGACAGGACAGGTCACCTGGAGGTTGAGATCGTCCGAGCGCGAGGACTCAGCGCCAAACGTGGATCCAAATCTCCGCCAGGTGAGAATCAAGCCTGCAGGTGGCTGGGTGACTCGGGGGAGGGGCGGTCAATATCGTGATATATCCTGCTTACAGCCTTGAGCCAGTTGATAAAATTCCACATTCTTACTGCTGTTCACTTGTCCACAAGGTGGTACTCATTTAATCAACCCCAGAGTGTTGATGGGCAATCGTCAACCCCAATTTGAATTCACAACCTCCCGATTGCAAGATTGTGAGATGCTCAGCTGTACCCACACGGTGGCGAGATGTTAACTACCTCGCCTGGTATACAGGAGGTCGTGGGTTCCATCCCAACCCTGATGTCTGCTGTATATTTTGAGTTTGCATGTTCTCCCTGTGGTCGTGTTGAGTTTTATCTGGGTTCTCCTGTTGTTCCCTCCACATTTAGAATCAATTTGCATTTAGTATATTTGGCTGCCATAAATTCCCACGCGATAAGCCACTTCGTTTGTGGCCAGGTCGCTTCTGAAAACAGCGATACAGCACAGTGGGCTTTACCTGATGAAATAAAAAATAGTTTATAGTTTTTAGACTTGGTTGGCGTACAAACTACTGACGCCTCGATGAGGTGTATCTGCGAGTGGTGCGCTTCTCACGCTCATCGTGGCTTCCCCTTGGCGTGCGCCCAGCGCCGTACGTGAAGCTCTACCTGCTGGAGAGCGGCACCTGCTTGGCCAAGAAGAAAACAAAGGTGGCTCGACGCAGCCTGGACCCCGTTTACCAGCAGCACTTCATCTTCGAGGAGAATCCCCATGGCAAAGTCTTACAGGTGAGCTCAAAGAGAGGCGAAAGTTCATAAAGTCAATAACAATAACAATAACTTAACACATTTTGCTGCGGTTTTATCAAATAAATTAGCGAGGAATTTTTCTTCTTGATAACTTTGCAACGTGACGCCGGCACACATGGCCGATTCTCTTTTGAAACATTGCCCGGAGACCTTTAATGCTCGCTGCGAAGCAGACGGCGCATACTCCATGGTTAATACACTTGCAGTATTTACCAGGGTGGCCGCCGGGCTCCAACCGCGCACCTCTGCAACCGGCTGACCCGTTTCGCTGTATAACACGCAAAATAATCGTTACGTTTCATTGCAGATCATTGTGTGGGGCGACTACGGGCGGATGGACAACAAGTGCTTCATGGGAGCGGCCCAAGTCCTCCTGGAGGACCTGGACCTGAGCAGCGCCGTCATCGGCTGGTACAAACTGTTCCCCACCTTCTCGCTCGTGGACCCGACGCTGGCGCAGGTGGCGCGGAGGCCGTCGCAATCGTCGCTGGAGAGCGCCGCCGAGGCGCCGTACATGCGCTCCTTCTAGAGCCAAGCGGCGCTTGCGGCGGCCGGCCAATGGAACGACGAGCGTCGCGTGCGAGCGCTGTGACGCGCCAGAGGACTACGCGGCAGGCGGCGGAAACCATCGCAACGGCAGATTCGTCGACGAATTTGCAAGAGATCAGCAGATGCGGCGGCGATCCAGCCTCGCGTTTTAGATCTCATGAGATGTACCACTACGGACCAACCACAAGGCCGCTTTGGCTTCAACAATCAGTTTTGCCAATGGACGTGGAAGAAACTCTGCGGATTTGGGAAGCGAGGTGGCAAACGGTTGAACGTCAATGAAGCCGAGAGACGGAGACTGAATTGGAGTTGCACATTCTTCCCTCTGCCCCCGTACGCAGGGTCTTCGCTAAAGGTGGATGTACAAAATGTGAAACGGGGAACATTTGTGGCTTTTGATGGTTTTAAAGAACCAAGATTTGTATTTGGCTCTAGTGACTTAGCATAGCAAATGTGACCTGCTCGATGCTTCTCTAGATCGCCTCCGGTCTCATCGATACTGTAACAAATCAAATATTTCGGGGATTTACGGCGATGTCCACTCGGAAGATTTATTTAGCCCCCAGACATCATGCCGCTGAGTGTTATTTAAGGGCGAATAGCATCCTTTGCAGAAGCCTGTTAAAAAAAGAGTAGTTGAATCCCATTTAGTAAGATTATAAATGCATATGTTTACATGCACACTGGGTGAGAATTTTATACAATACATGCGTGTAAAACATTGCAGGCTGAACCAACACAGAGAGAGAGAGAGAGAAATGTATTCATTAATGACGAGTTTGTGCCAAATGTGAAGCATGGTATAATTTTAACAGAAGTAATCGGAGGTGCAGAAAGTCACGCAACCATTGACAAAGCCTTATGACTGGACAGTTAAGTATAGGGAAATTGCAACGCTATTTAAATGGAAAATCAAAAAGAAATATTATAATCTAAATAGAGATCCACTCCTCATATGCCCCCGTGAAGCACATGGGCCTCTGTCTGCGGTGCGGTGGCATTCAGCGCTATTTAAGTCGCAGCCCTGCTCTCTTTGCTGGAGAAAATAATTGTAAGCACAACCACCGCCTTCCACAATTCCCCTGCGACATTCGCCGACACTTTCTGTGCTCTTGATAAGTATAGATATGAGGTTCTATACGTGACACAAGCATCCGGTGCCATGATCCCAAAAGGCCTCAGCTGTGTTAAGTATCACCACACTCATGGCATGCTGTTCTTTGCTTTCTTGCACTCAGTCTAGGGTGTGCGTACAGTATGCTCACAAGCATCTGCCTGCATGGGATTCCAGGGGTCGGAGTACAGAACAACTTATGACTGCCCTAACATTGTTTAAGTGTTATATGAGACTTGTCGTAAGTCCGAGTTTATACGTAAGAGAGTGACGACATTGGGTATTCATAAAGCTTTGTGCAACCTCATGAGCGGTGAGGACCACTTGTACGGTCTATTGGACTTAAGAGGTGAGGACCACTCGTACGGTCTATTAGACTTAAGAGGTGAGAACCACTCGTACCGTCTATTGGACTTAAGAGGTGAGGACCACTCATACGGTCTATTGGACTTAAGAGGTGAGGACCACTCGTACCGTCTATTGGACTTAAGAGGTGAGGACCACTCATACGGTCTATTGGACTTAAGAGGTGAGGACCACTCGTACGGTCCATTGGACTTAAGAGGTGAGGACCACTCGTACGGTCTATTGGACTGAAGAGGAGTCTTAAGAGATGATTCTGTTCTCGTTTCCCATATCCACACTCTTCACCCTTAAGTGTCAAACGTCGCTGCAACGCAATGCCCAGCCCCACGCGTTCTCCCCTACTTAATGTTGCACAGGTTTGCTGTCAAAGAAATATGGGCTTACACGTGCAATGGTGTCAGGTTCACATTCCATTGTTGAAAGCACACTTTCATTGCATCGCGAATACGAATTAAGTGTCACGAATGAGATGTCAGCTTCACTGGTGGCAAAGGGCCAGTTCAACCAAGTGTAACACTGCATTATTATTCAAAGAGGAATCAGGCTACGCTGTGTCTGCGCTGACACTGCTCCAATCAAACCCTCCAATATTAAAGCCACTGACACAGCACCCAATAGCAGCAGCAGCAGCAGAGCGCGGTGCCCCGCGGGTGCTTGGCCAGGGTCTGGTGTCACGAGGACAGCACCGGGCAGACGGTGGAGGGTCGACTGCGGTGCCCACCAGGGGCACCACCCACAACATCACTCACGATTGTGTAGCGGCGGTCTCGCCCTGGAGTCCAGACTGGATGCTTAAACACGGACGCGCACACAATATCACAGTCTCAGATTTAGTTTCAATTCCTTCACCTTCAACCCCTCAGCAACTAACGCGTGATTACTGATTGTGCGATGGAGGATGCGATTAAGACGGTCAAGAATGTTCCGCGGTGTCTTTTGTTTACATCGCTTTTTGCGTTACGCCTGCACCTCATTCGTTCGCAGCCAGTCGGAGAGTAGCACATCGCATCGCATGGAAGGTCATCACTGCACATGTCAGTACATCCCACAGAAGGCCGGTGCTGTAGACACTCACAAATTAGTTTGAATAGATGGCATTTTATTTGCTTATGTATTGTTTCGCCCGAGTAGCCATCAGACGCATCGGCCGGCAAGCCAGATCATAATGATATCCATGCCCCCCCCCCCCTCTTTTGAAGTGCGCAATATCCTGATTTCATAACGTGTTCGTGTTCTAACGCGATATTTTGATTATTGAGAGCGTATGGCAGCACTGACTCGGTGGGGACTGAGAGGCGACCACCGTTGCCATGTGAGTGGAATGTGGAATGGGTTGGAAATGCAAAGCAGCCCGAGATTGTGAATGTAAAAGCAGTTCTAACCGTTGGGCATGCACAGCAGCATAACCTACCACACGAGTCCACATCATCAGAGGACACAATACAAATCCATCGTACATCTGCATAATGTTTACTTAATACACACGTGCACAAAGTATACACACACACACAGGTATCAGTAAACAATCTAGTAGCAAAAGCATCTCCTAGGTATGGAGTTAAACAGTGGAGGAGGGCAGTGCCTGAAAGGTCGTGAACGTTAATTTAGTTTTACTCCTTTTACACGCACACAGTTTCTCTTACTGTGGTCGTGGTCATTGGTAACCATGACATAATAATGGTGTATATCTGCGTGTAGATACACGCGATATTATTATGTGTGCGGGGTGTAAACGACATCTCAATATGTCCTCAAAAAGGCCATGTGGCAAAAAAAGTTTTTTTTCCCTGCATCAGAAACAAAAAATATATACTATTTTTTATTCTTATGACTTAGAAATGGTAACCCGCAATCATTGGGCCTCAGGTACTCCTCAAGCATTCCTGCGTACACAAAAGCACCACAACAATGTACCGTGTGAGTGAAAAAGGGTGATTTGACCGATACGCACTTATCCAGCAGTGGATTGACCATGGCTGATGATGACAAGGGCAGTAATGTTGCCGTTGTGCTTGCGTAGTCAGGTTCGTGACACGCATGGCTGTGAAGTTGCATTCAAGAAAAACGTCAAGTGAAGGTGACGCATGACAGTTTTGCAGATGTGAATAAAACATTACTCTTGGAGGGACTGTGAATCTAGAACAGAGCAGGCAAAACACGAACATCTCCATTTACACTCACTCACTACAGGAGTACACGATGCCCAATGTACTGAATGAAACGTATGTACCGTATGTATTCAGCCAAACCGATATGCCACCTCATTTAACCAGCGGCGATTTATTTTCTTGCATCTGTCGAGGTAGCCCCGTGCTCAGCGTAGAGGGTCTTCCCTGCGCATTGTCATTGTGAACACAATCACGAATAAAGATGCCAATGGGCTGTCGCCGCATTCGTGCCAGCTCGCAACTGTGGAGGCAAGCAAGCCCGTTTAGTGTGTAGGTATGTGCCAGATTTTAGCTGCACCTCTTGACACAGACTTACATTGGAGGATCGTGTAATTGTTTGTATTATTTGCTTGTAAATACGTGGAAGCTACTTGACGCTGCTGCGAGTGATAATTAATCTCCGTTATAATCTACCCGCGCCACACATTGTATAAGCACGATATTGTTGTGTTGCACACTACCTCAGCGTTAGGGTTATCGGCGAGCCGCCCGCGTTTGGCTCGGCGTGGTCACACAACATCCTGGGTTCGGAATGCAGCGAGGCCCGTGCACGTGGATGAATATGCAGGCGGTCATTCCGAACTGCGGCTCACCCACGCACACACACGACCAGTTCCGATGAGAGATATTGGAATTCCCACCCGGGGCTCTCTAGTCTCCATGTTCAACTTGGCCGTTGTGTGTTCTCCTTGTTCACGTGCAGGTTTAATCGTATTTATGATAGAGTTCCGAATAGGAGCATTCTTATGCATTTCATGAACTGAGCATGTTAAGGGTGACGGGTATACATGGACAGCCAGGAACATTTCAAATAGATATACTTAAATATATTTAAAACCCTGTTGAGCTCTCTACAGCACATACATTACACATTGTCCTGGTATGCATTTAATGACTAAATTAAAATCGGTCATACACATATACACTACTGTGAAGAGTTAATTACATATCAGCTTTTACAATTAAGTGCAATGCCTCTCAACTACTAATTATATCAATACAGTATGTACTCAACAAAATGTTCTCTCCCTAGACATGTATATAGTGTACAAGCGTAGGAAGAGAAAGACACTTTTAGTGAAACCATTACACCCAAATATATAATTTTATAAGAACATCGTGATGGAGTGCCAATTATTGACTCAATATTTTCAGAAAATATTGTTTCTATGTCTTTTAATTTTGGTAAGTGGGGCAGCTGAATAACCATGGGCTATGGCCCCCCTCCCCCTTTAACACCTTTCCAGGCCCCCACCCCCTAGCCTACATCAACTTAGCCCCCCATGGCTTCTTGACTGCCACACCCCCAACTTCGAGATTGGCCCCTATCCATCTCATTGGTTTGTCAACTAATGAATGACACAAACTAAAGTCTGTGATGCCTCTGTCCACTCTGAGAGGGCGTGTCGTCCCTTGGTTTGACGACGCACATTCACGTCCACACTGCTGATACATCCAGAAAGTGCTCGTATTGGACCCACAGCGGGAGTGTATCTGTGGGTTTCCCAGGACTCAGTCCTCTCCATCCCTGTGACTCAATCTGATCCTCTCACTCGAATCCTCTTCCTTCATGCCCCCCCCCCCCCACACAAGTCGATTAGACATCCCTCTTTACAGTCTCCCCCCTTCCTCCCATAATCCCGCCTCCTCTCTCATCGATCACTTGAACCGTTCCTCATGAACGCCCCCATCAGTCACTCGAGACTCTTGCCCACAGTCGCTTTAATTTTGATTTCCATTGCGTCGTCGATCACAAACAATCGGACCACTTGCGGGCCCCTCTCCGTGTAGGTGTCCCTGCAGGGTTAAGAGCATGCGGAGGGCAACCTCATCCCTTCGGCCGTTGAGTTTTCATGGTGGTCTTACTACATTTGAGGAAGTGGCTGTTCATGACGGTTTGCTGTATGTGCTGCCTAGTCACGGCGGCGCGACATTCATGCGTGTATTTGCACTGCAGCGGACGGATTAAGAAATATAGTTTTATTGTAAAGACGTGTTCACGTAGAATCCAGAAAAGCATGCATGACTTTTTTTAAAAAATGTATTGCATCTTGTTAACATATGACTGGTATAATGAGATAATTTATAGTGTTCTACGATGGAGGGAATTAGTCGTAACTCAACATTTCTTAGCTAACTCAGGCGCTTGGGCACTTTCAAATGTCTATTCACCAGGAACACTGCATGGGTTCATTCTTTTCCTCGTGCAAAACAAAATCCGAATAGGCACCACAAAATTAATTAGTATCTCAATGTTTAATAGAAAGCGTTTTCAAAGGGCAACTGCACCCAATTCGAGAGAGGATTGATTATGACTGGTAACTGAAAGATTAACCGACAGACAGATGCCTTGTTATTTATATGTCGCAGTGCTGGAGATTCATTCATTGAGTGTCTTAAATTAGGTTTAGTAACTGCGCTGGCTTGACAACTTCATTTTGCATCCATTGATAATCATTATTAAATGCAATACTTTATCCAGCATCAGTGCCAACTTAAAACACACTGCCTGACAGTTCTGCTTACAGCAGCCCCGTAACTCTGGAGACCGTTGCATGTTTGGCTGACGTTACCCTGACAGATGTACTGCCTGCCATCATACTGTAGTATATAACATGGCTTTGTATCTTTCTCCGTGACGTACATGTGGTTGTTATGATGTCGTAAAGCAAATTTGATTTGCCAAACATTTTAATTGTTTTGCTAAGCCTTCTTACTAGGGACCCTTTTGACACTTCCATGACCGATTTGTCTCCAGAGGCCACTGAATTCCAAGTCAATCAGTCAATGTAATTGAAGGAATGTGTGATCTGGCAGCCTGCTAACCCCAGAGACTCCACGATTCTCTTTCAACATGAACCGTCCTGTTCACCCACACGTGACAGTAAAATAATTGTATGTCTGTTTAAAGTGCGCACATTTTTAGTGAGCTTGTTTTGTTACGTTTCCCATCCTTCCGAGCACACGAGTTTTTCTTTGTGTCACTTCATTTTACTATTTGTTGTTGAGCAAGAGAAGGGAAATGCTGATGCAGTCTTCCGTGAGTGGTGCTGGCATCTGGGATGTTTGACATGTATCTATAACGGTGAAAGGGGGGAGGTGATGTTGCTGCATTTAGGAGCAGTCACTGCAATTTAATTACGTGTTTTTTATTTATAGAAATTATATTTTTACTTGCTTATTAAACATGGTATTCAGATTACTAATTTTGGTGAGAGGCGCCTCACAATATGTGAGTGCATCTCAGTTTTATCATAGAACCTACTCGGTATGGCCTTGTGTAAACAGAAATACAAAGCTTGGAGGCGTTTTAAATTAGTGATATTATTCTCACTTATTGCGTAACCAGTGTTATATTCGTCAGCATTTTTTTTATTTTAATGACTAAATTAAATTTACAAACTAAAACTTGAGTAAAATCCCACGATTTTGGCCAACTAGACTAAAACTAAAATGTTGATGAACTTAACCCTGAGTGTGGCTCCTAGTTTAGTCATGGCCTTCTGTATCAGGCCTCTAGCCCTTGTCACACAACTCAGAATTCACGGCACATGCATTCGAGGAAAAATGTACCTTGTTTTTGGTGTACAGCTTTAAGCACTCATAAAACTATCGTTGAAGTTACGGACATTGTATGCACACCGGCACGTGCGCACACATACTGTAAAGGTCATAAAACACCAATAAGTATTGCAGTCCTTATTTGGGAGAACCTAATAGTGTGACATTTCCTTGCAGGTTATTGGACTGGGATTGGTTTTACGTCAAGATAGGTTTGAGTTTCCAGGGAGAGCAGGCCATACGTGTATGTGCTATGCTCTGTTTTACATTCACTGTATGAAATTGGATTATATAAAAATCCACGCAGTTAAAGTGGAGCATGTGCACATCATGTAGTGCATTATGGATATTAATTTACAATGAGGCATGCTGAGATGGTGATGGAGAGGGAGCGTTGTGTATGTTCCTCCTTCAATAAAATTGATCAGCTTTATTGCAAACGGTCAGCATCTTCTGGGTTCTTTCGGTAAAGTCACGTAGAATGGGAATAAAATAATAAAAATAATATTCTGTTATTATTATTTATATTGTTTTATTCCCATTCTACGTGACTTTACCGAAAGAACCCAGAAGATGAATCCCTGCAGTCACGAAAGCTTTAAATCGAAATTTAAACGGTCAGCAATTTACCTTTAAATAATGTGCCCAATTGTAAATGTAAGTCGACCGTGCAAGGATGAAATGAGGACACAAGCATTTGGGCTCACTTCCATTTGTTGTGCAATTATTGCTGGGCAGTTCAACTTTCACCACATCTCAAAGTATTTTTTTTTCCAGCCGCATGGGCATTATTTTTAACATTATCGACTCGTTTCCAAAACACTATTATGAAAACAAAAACAACCCGAATAATCACTATTCACCCTGTTATTTAAGGAGATTGTGCATGTCATGTGCATATAGTATGCAACAATACAAATAAACGCAACAACAATATTCCATCTCTGAAAAAGAATTATGTTACAAAAGGGTCGTGACTGATACAACCTTGTAAATTCTCCTTTTTACAGCCGTAAACAGGGTTGTTGGTTAAAATGATGTGTGCTATTTAGAAGCTAGTCCATAGACAGGAAAATTAAGCTGTGCTAATCACGACCACCCAGGGCGTTTATTCACAAGCCACACAAGCAGGGGACAAGCACTCTGAAGTGTTCCTGGTCTTCCAGAGAGAACTAAAACACCTTCTGTAGCTGGAATTCAATTGCTTTTTAATGCACATCATTACTATGGAACATTTTGGCATGTATCCTGTATGAAATGACTGATTACACATTCAATAATAAATCGCATGCTTATATTTTCCGTTGCTGTATTATACTTACACATATTAAATATTAAGTATTGCATTATGTAAGAAACAAATTGTACATATCTATGCATTCCATATTTTGTATCTTGCTTGTCACACTATATCGACCATTATTAATGTTTATGAGCCCTTAAGGGCTGTATAAAGATTATTTATGGAGTTTGTTGTAAGTTGAATTGATCTAGTTTTGATAACACGTGATGCTGTTTTTCACAACAAATAACGCTCATGTCCCCCCCCCCCCCCATTTTACTACGGTTCATTGATGCTTTCTGCAACACTGGAGGCAATACAAAATTATATATTAATTTATATCATGGGTAAATAATTACTGTAATCATGATAACATGTGTAATATATGAGAGAATTGTATGCAAAAATCGATGGCATATAAAATGTTCACATGCTCTTCAAACTGGAAGAGTTTACTGCCAGGAAATGGGTTATGGACAATCATAATCTTGTAGTAAATATTTTGGAAATATATAAATCAATATTATTAATTTATCTTTTTATTTATAAAGCTGCTATTTTATGTAAACATGTGTAATATGTAATTTTGAAGTATAATTTGTATTTTTTAAATTATAATTTTACGTAGAAGCATCTAATATTACATACACTAGGGCGTAAACAAGTGTGCTGTGAATATCATGAATTCTCCACGGCGTCTTATCGTGAGAATGGCTATTTTTTACGTTCACTTCTAACCTGGCACATGTTGCTGTCCTTGTAGCGTTTGTGTATGGAGATGCAACTGACAGGTATCTTAAACCGAGTACAATGCCTGACTTGTTGACTGTAACACTATTTTAAACAATAAAAAAATATATGAATTAATTACTGATGAATTGCTGTGCTTTATTCATAAAAAAACTGACATGTACGACCTGGGGTGCCTCAGCGGTTGTGCTGGTGACTGCTGCCCTACCTCTGATCTGATCAGTGGCAGAGTCACTGCGCTCCAGTCTGGTCAGGAAGCTCGTACACAACACTGCGAGATACCTAAACGCAATACGCCTCATCACCGGGCCACTGAAACTGATGCCAATCCCCTGGCTCCCTGTTCTGGCCAACATCCTGTCACCAAATATCAACAATGCAGCTCACGGCCGACTCAAGCCCCAATCCCCTTTCGGGCAACTGCGCTGCTGTCACAATCTTAGAATCTTACCCAGATCTAGAGGGACACTGCTGGTGAACAGCGAGAATAAACATCTCATCCAAGATTCAAACATCGAACCTCCTGGCTCCGCCATTCCTCAAAGGCACTGGTGGAACTATTAACCGCAACAGAACATCAACAGGCCAATGCGCACATCTTTATACATGGAAAATGTAAGACAAAGCCACAGTAGTGTGATTGTGGCCATGCAACCCAAACTATGGACCAGAAAGACAATCACTGTAGTCTGCTCTCTTTCAACGGAGCAGAAGCAACACTACATACATGTACTCAGTCTTCAAGCCATCGCTCATCGCTCGCAAACCTATGAAGTTGGCGAAGTGTATCCATAGGGCAACCACCGGTGCCCGTAAAGCAGTAATAACATGCCATGTTTTTTCACATGGCAACTTTATTCATTGGCTGTGTCGGGTGGAGGATTTGCGAAACACATTTTACCTACGCGATCTGACCCAAACATCCACTGTGAATCTGGGCAACCACTGTTGGCTTTCTCACAAAGTGGTACTCATTGTATCGACCCCAAAAAGTTAATGGGCAAGTTCGTGAGATAGGGAGCGGGGGTCCCTTTGGTTGACGCAAGTTCGCTCCCCTGAGCGCTGTGAATCACCTCGCACAGGCCGGGCTCACATCCGAGAGGAGCTGAGCCGGGCCCGAGTTGCACACAGAGGCTGACAAGCGAGAGGAATACTTAAAGCCACACCGTGGGACCCTTAAAGGGGCACCTTTGAGGTTGGGTTCGACTTCATAAAAACACCGCGGGGTTTGGCAGAAGGAATGGATGGGCGGATGCCATCAGTGGCAATGGACGCGATGATTTACCTCTTGACTTTTGTCCGACTGAGAGAGACTGACCCCCGCCGGGCGTGAGTGGAATGTTCACCCCTGGCTCAGGGACCTCGGTGGACAACAACCACAGTCTCAATGCTGCCCGCAATGAGAGACACGCGTGTCTGCGTCTGTTCACTCGTCGCTGTGTGCCGCCTTGCGCCGCAGCGTAATGAAATGGGGAATATTTTTCAGATCCCAAAAAAATAGTTGACAACCAATCCACGAAAGTAATGTTCTGAAACAACTGTCCTACCTCAAAGGGTCCTCCTCTACCGGAGCAGATAGTTTTCCCATCTTTGCTCTACTAACTGTTGGTCACCTAATATACAAACCTATAGCCCATATTTTCAACCTGTCCATCAAAGAAGCATCAGTTCCTCTAGAATGGAAACATTCCTATGTCCGTCCACTTCACAAAGGGGGCCCTAAAGATGATCCCAATAACTACCGACCTATCTCAATTTTGTCCCTATTGATGAAAATTTTTGAAAAATTATTGAACTACCAAATTAGCAGTTTCCTGTCCACCAACAATCTACTACATCTAAAACAATCTGGGTTCCAGAAAAAATGCAGCACCACATCTGCTGCATTAGACTCTTTGAATCAAATTTACAATTGCCTTGATAATAAGCAGTACTGTGCCTGTCTTTTTCTTGACCTGTCCAAAGCTTTTGATACAGTTGACCACAACACCCTGCTTAGTAAACTAAGTTGCCTCGGTTTTTCCGAGAACACAGTACAATTGTTAAAAAATTACCTCTTTTCTCGCACCCAAACTGTATTCACAGATGGTTGGAGGTCAAACAGTGTTAAGATAACAAAAGGGGTTCCACAGGGTTCCATCCTCGGCCCCCTCTTGTTCTCTCTTTATGTTAATGACTTGGGCACTGAACTGGATCATTCCAGGGTAAATCTTTTGCAGATGACACGATACTGATTACTGCTGGCCGCTCTCCGGATGACGTGATTGCTAAGCTCCAGGGTGATTTCAACAAACTACAACATCAGCTAGTTTCTCTTAAACTAGTCCTGAATACCTCCAAAACCAAGGTGCTATGCTTCTCTCCAGGACTAAAGCAGGAAGTTATTTTTCCTCAATTACATTCCTTGAATAATTATCAAATAGAGCAAGTCAAGATCTATAAGTATCTTGGGGTCATCCTGGATTCAAAACTTAGTTTTGAAGATCACATTGATTATATTGGTAAAAAGACAAAAATAAAAATTGGTTTTCTGTATCGACACAAGCACTGCTTCCCCCCAATGTTCCGTTTGGAATTCATAAAAGCCACCATACTGCCTCTACTTGACTACTGTGACATCGTGTATAAATCAGCCCCAAGTACTGTACTGAAGAAGCTTGATTCCATCTATCACTCGACCTTAAGATTTGCATTGAACTGCCCATATAGGACTCACCACTTAACATCTCTTAATGTTCGACGGCTTGTGCACCAGATCTTATTTATTCACGATGTACTTACAAAAAATTCCGCAGACTACCTACTGGATCTCCTCTCTGTTTCAAAGAACAAATTTGACCTCAGGTCTTCGCCCATTTACCAGCTTCACATTCCCTATTGCCGTACAAAAACTGGAGGAAGGGCCTTTGCTATTGATGCCCCCAGGGTCTGGAATGCTATTGCCAATAAACTGCAACTTGAATCACTACCTATGAGATCTTCACTCAAAACTGCTCTAGAGGAGTTGTACAACCCTAGCTGCCACTGCTATTCAGTGGCCTAAAATATGGCTTTAGATGTTGGTGTTATAATTTATTTATGTAGTTTATTGTTAAAAATTCGGTCACAGTCCCTATGATCACTGTTACATTGGATTTATGGCTTTTATTTTGGTGATTTCGAAAAAAAATTTGTTTTGGCCATGTTTTGTTTATTGTAGTACGGAGTTAGACTGATGGCTTTAATCTTAGTTGTCTTGTGGTTGTTGTTGTTGTTATTTGACTTGCATCCCACTGGGATTTTTGCACACGGCGTTGGTGTACGATGCTATTTCAGGAATATTTTGATATTTTTTTCCTGTATTTTCTGTTTGCACAGTCACATAATCACTTTAAGATGTTTTCTTGTTCATGTTTTTTATTTGTTGCGGTTGCACCCGATTCAAGAGCCGAATGGCTCACAGGGCTATACCAAATAAATGAACTATGAACTAACTATGAACTATGACACAGAAGCGGCCCGCGCATTGAGAGCGATGCGGTGCACCGAGTCGCTGCGTGCCAATCGTTATTTCAGTGTCATGCTATCACTCGAGTGTCATCATTTCACATCGTCGAGGTGCAATGGCACAAACAAGCAGCAGGAGTAATGCTGTCAGCGGCTTGCACTTGATTGTTGACTGCTGTTCGTATAACGCGTTTCGCAATTGAGCTGCCCGAGCGGCTTCCGTAGGGGTCAGGCAGGCGGGGTGGGGGGGGCTCCCCCGCGTGTCACCTTCACTCGGGGCCTGAACAGCGCTTGGCCTTCGTCGCGTAGTCCAGGGCCTTCCGTGGCCAGAGCTCGGCCTTCAGTCAGCAGGGCCTGCAGTGGTCACACAGGGCTTTCCGCGTGCAGGGCCTTTGTCTAGTACAGTGCCTTCAGTGAGCAATACAGGGCATTGACGACACGGCTCTCAAGGGCCCACGCGGCCTTGGGGAACTTCACCGACTAACAGGGCCTTCGCGCGATTCGAGAAGCATCACCCTCGGGCCTTCGTGAGCGTGAGAGCCGGGTATGATTTTAAGTTACAGCCCATTTGTCACTCCACTGCTGGATGAAGGCCTTCCTCCCCGTGGCCCGTGAGTCGTGCCGTTTGTTGGACCACACGACATCGGTGCGCCTTGGCGAAGGGGGGAGAGGAGGCCCAGGGCAGGTTCTCGTATTGCTCGCCACTGACGTTAGCCATGAGTCGAACTCAGGCGTCAGTAGCGCAGTGGCATGGTGTTAAGGGTGTGGTAGTGGATTATAATTATAATCGGGCCTCGTTCGAGGAGTTGCTTAAAACTCTGTGACTCGTTACCTGTCCACAACACACGAGTCGGTCGTAACCCTCGCCAAGGGAGTGTGTCAATCACATCTGTAAATGACGAGAAACCCCCATGGCTACAGAACAATTAGTATGCGAGTCTTGCTACAGTAATGTTCGCCTGAAGATCTCGTGTTTTATTTTGGCTTGGTGATGGTCTTGTATCAACGCGTGTTTTATGAGTGTCATTGACTTTGCAATACAATATGCCAAATTCCACAGTTGTCTTTATCGGAAATCAAGTTATTACAATGATAGACTGCATTGCTATTTTATTGCTTATTGTGTAATGTTCACATGTAAAGTTAATGATGTTGTGGTCTGACCGTTTGTTTAGATTATTACCGTTCCAGATCTCCCTCGAAAAATAGACTTTCTCACAACGGGTTCTCGCCTGTTTTAAACAAAAGTACATTCTGTCCCACCTACTACTTTTAGTTATATTGCCATTGGTCAGAAGCTTGACACATAACGCTACCAGCCTTTGGACGTCTCTCCATCTCGCCACCTGAAAATGTTTGCCCAAACCACCACACAAAACGCTCTGCTGCCTTCTTCGCACTCTACGCTGCTGACATTCTGGAACGCATCACCCTCCTTTGCACTTGACAGATACAAAACCGCAACAAAAGACAGCACAAAAAGACGGGCCGTTGTTGATGTGCTTTCTCCAAACCCTCGCAGAGTAGAGCGTCATGTGGCCGATCATCTGGACCGCGATGCGCACCTACGCGCCCTACGTGACCTTCCCCGCGGCGCTGGTCGTGGGCTTCGTGGGCTACAACCTGGAGTGGATGGCGCGCGGGGGAGACCTGGGGCAGCCGTACGAGGAGCGAGGGGTGCTGGAGCGACGCGAGGAGCGCCGGCTTCAGGAGCAGCTCCATGACGTGGCCACCGGTGGCCCCGGCCACTTCAACAGTCTGCACGACGTGCGCGAGTTTGCGCCGCGCGCCGTGCTGGAGCGTAACCGCGCCGGCGGTGGAAGCGTGAGCTAGTGCGATGCATGCCGTGCCGTCGAGCCGACGAGTTGCCTTGAGCTGTGTCTGCGCCGCCTGTTGAGATTGGTGTTGCGAGCAAAGGTAATTGATGTCATTCCCATCGTGACGATTCGTCCGTGTTTGGCAGACGTTTCGTAAAAATGTAGTGGTGTCCCAATTATTGACAATGGTGCCACTACCACCACGTCTTTGCTGACAATCGGAGGAAATAGATCAGTTAACAAGATGGGAATGATATCCAAAAAATCGAATAGATATTTTGTCAGCCTGTAAGTTTCTTTTATAAAGAATTTAATGGGATGGAGGTATCTACACTGAAGACAAAATAATGGTGGATCTAATAACTTAAAGGTTCTCTATAATATATTGGCAATGTATCTGATATGATAATTGTGGGAGGGATGATTTCCTGAATTGGTGTAAACTTCCTCTGCACTAGTATCCTTCATCAGGATGATGATTGTTGGGACATGTGGTCCCGGTGCTGAACAGGTTGCATAGAGCTTTCATGAGGTGACTCTGACCGTCTTGTAAGACAACTTGAATGAAAGTGTACTCGAAAAAAAAAGTTTGATCCAATTTTTGTCACTTGGTCCTTCTTTGATCACACCAGTGTCAGTTTGGTATTCGTGTGTAATGCAATCGGTGTCACTACAAATATGGTTATGATTATTGATGGTGTGTTTGGTGTGGTGTTTGCCAGGTGACGTAACAGAAAACATTAAATTGCATTCATCCCACCTGTTCATATCTGCAGCCTTTATTTGTAATTGAGTAGTATTAAAGCAAATGTTGAAAGAAATAAATTTGCCAAATTATTGGTTGATCTTTTTATATAATGTATTGTCTAACATATAAACCCAGAAAACATGGACCATTTTTCCAACAGACTGAATAGCAATATTTTTGCATGTGGCTAATATACCCTGGAAAGTTTTCCTGCGTAACTTAAGTTCAGTGCCCTAATTAATACAATATAATTAGAGTGCTGCAGTACTTTTATATTAATTGGCCTTTGTCTTCTCCTGTTATGGTACATGTATTTTATTTTGTGTTTAATATATAGATTGTGGGGGAATTGTCCCTAAGGATATCATATAATTAACACTTTTAGAGTTAACATAGCTCTGGAAGGTTATAACTGGATACAATATGGCATTCTCTGTTGTAGCTGCATTTTGTGTTTAGTTTATTGTCCTTTCCCCCAGCACCTCCGATAAGTATGGTTGGCTACGTACGGTGTGAAAGAAATTCAAAATATATCAATACATACGTAGCAACTGTTGCCTCAGGTTTAAATGCAGAAGCTGTTATGAGTAGTACAGAGTGGACCTATCCGGAGTAGGAGGCTATTGTGACAGTACAAGAGTTCACCTTCCACTTTGTGACCTTAAATACTCCATGCTCCTGTGTGTCAGTGTTTCTGAATGCCGAGGCACTGGCTACGTGGATTGAAACCGACACTGGTGAAAAAAACGCATTGTTATCAAACACTAATTTAAAGACGAGATATGGTGTCATTCTTATCAATGACTGCCAATGTCTGTAAATATTGGAAACATACTCTTTGGTTCTATTCGGTAAAGTCACGTAGGTAAAAAATAAAACAACATGTGACTTTACGTGACTTTACCGAATAGAACCAACGAGTATGGATCCTTGCAGTCACGAAAGCTTCAAATCTAGAATATTGGAAACCTTCAGCATGATGTGGTAACCGCCTCGGGCTGTGGTTGCGTTGATTGCCGCGGTGATGCACGGCGAGTGGGCCGCACTGCACCATTTACGCTGCAAGTTTACAGGCAGTGCTGTCGGTACAGGCATTTTAGTCAAACCTGCTCATGACTGTTTTGAACATGGTACACATTTGGAGGATTGTGCTCATAAGTACGAACATTGGGAATAGACCTAGTTTGGTTGTTAAAAGTGTTCCACCATCATTTACACAACAAACTGGAGGGCCTTATTGAATGAATTCCACAGCCTGTAACAATAAATGTGCGTGGGCGGTGTTGTAAGACTGTGGTTTATGCTGGGAACCATTCACACTGGATTTTTGCGCGATGTGAAGCATGTTCACATCACCACAGTGCAACGTAAGACTCGGGTCCCTTGCTCCACCCTTACCCTGATTGGTCGCCGGCTCACTATACCACTGTGAACACATTTACAAAGGCGCACTTGGCACATTGTTGTAGGGGGATTATACAAGCGATATACACGGCGTTGTATGGCAGGAGGTGAATCCTCTGTGTTGCTGGGATATTGTTACCTAGGTTTCACCCGGCTATTATGTGTTGGCTGCGCAATGTTTATTTAAAAGACTGCTCGTGTCCCTCGTGATTGGCCAACATTGTACAATGCTGGTGGGTTTCAGTGAATTTATGACGTGGCCTTTTCACATATAAGTTAATGTGGATGTGTATGCTCATATGTATACATGTTTAAGCAGTATTCCACACAGCAAGTTCAATGTTGTATTATACAAATAATTGTAATAAAGTTCTATAATTATACATTATCCTGTTCATGTCCTTATTGTGGTGATACTTAACAGCAGTCCAGACAGACACAAGTTGCTAAAATCGTACGTGTAAAATACATATGACAAACAAGTATCTCCACGTATTCTGTGGGTCTTTTGGCAAAGTCACGTATATATTTTTTTTATTTAAAATAAAGTGAATAAAAAATAAGTATCACGATGTTTTGATCGCAACACAAGCGATTGTCATCAGGAGAAAAAAGTGGGGGAAAGCTGCTGAGGCGGCAGGCTGTCTTAAAGGTTTGAAATGGGTGTAGCCCAAGGGTCATGACCGAAATGGGCGGGGCTAGTGATGTTAAAGTGAGAAATTTGCATGTCAATGGAAGATCGGGGAGCTACCTCCATGACGACGGTGCGGAGGTGGCCATTGTATTGTGAGAGATTAGCATATCAATGTAAGATCGCAGAGCCACCGCCACATCGAGATTGAGAACATGAGCAACGGTGGCTGTGTTAGTGTGAGACATTTAACCTGTTAATGTAAAATCAGAGAGTCGAAAATAACAGCTAACATCGGAAGGTAGGATGGAAACATCACAGCCAGTTATGAATCTTGAGTGTGGAGGGAAAAACCGGTGGACCCGAGGAAAAATCTATGCGACCACAGGCAGAACATGCAAACTCCAAATATACAGGCGTCCCGGTCTGGATTGAAGCCACAACGTCCTGGTAGTTAACATATCACCACTATAGACATGGTACCTAGCATGTTTCGGTTTATTTAAACAAGCGCCAAGTTTATTTAAACAATTTAACTTGATGCTTGACCTAATGTAAGACCTTCTTTGGTTCTTTCGGTAAAGTCACGTAGAATGAGAATAAAACAATAAATTGATAAAATAAAATAACACAATAATATTCTCACGACGTTTCGGCTACAACACAAGCGGCCTTCATCAGGTGAAGGGGACGAGACTGTCTGTTTATTCTCATTCTACGTGACTTTACCGAAAGAACCAAAGAAGATGAATCCTTGCAGTCACGAAAGCTTTAAATCGAAATCTAATGTAAGATGTGTTGCGAACAAGAACCATTGTGTGTGTACCTTTACGATCTCAAGTAAGATCAATGGATTTGACCATGATGATATCAGGAGTCATGTAGGAGCGACCTATCTTCCCCAGGCGCTCCGCTTTCCTGCCGTGAGCCCAACACTCGCTAATGAAATTGGGTCAAACGTCTCAACGCAGAGGCCGCCTCGAAATTCTCGTTACTCAGAATTGCCTGCGTGAATCATTGGCGTTGAGACTGCAACATTGCCAAAGCAAGAGTAAACATCAGCAATGTAAATGCTTTGTTATTAACTTTATCTGTTTTATTTAAGCAATTTTTTTAAAAAACCGAATGTCTTCATTGCCGATGACGCACTTTGACGCGGCATACCAGGAGCACACGTGAGACACAGAAACACTCTGGATGAACGCACTGGATAGGGAAGTGTGTCTGCAGGATTACAATAGCCACTGTTTCAGCAGCGAGTGCTTGACCCCGTTTCCTCCGGGGTTGTGATGGCGCTAAACCTTGGCGCGCCTCCAGATCCTCTCGCACAAAGGTAAATATAGCCCCACTCTTATCTAGGTGCATGGCACTCTTCTCAAACCAATCACTCTAAACGTAAACACATGCTCTCATTGTGATCCCAGCTCACCTGATTGCCGCGGGCGTGCAAGTTGGTGCGATGCTCTTTGAGGCGTTCAACTCTGAGAAGGAGGAGGAGCTTCGCTCCGTCTGTGGGTCTCTGTGCGTGTCTGTGGGTCTCTGTGCGTGTCTGTGGGTCTCTGTGCGTGTCTGTGGGTCTCTGTGCGTGTCTGTGGGTCTCTGTGCGTGTCTGTGGGTCTCTGTGCGTGTCTGTGGGTCTCTGTGCGTGTCTGTGGGTCTCTGTGCGTGTCTGTGGGTCTCTGTGCGTGTCTGTGGGTCTCTGTGGGTCTCTGTGCGTGTCTGTGGGTCTCTGTGCGTGTCTGTGGGTCTCTGTGCGTGTCTGTGGGTCTCTGTGCGTGTCTGTGGGTCTCTGTGCGTGTCTGTGGGTCTCTGTGCGTGTCTGTGGGTTTCTGTGGGTCTCTGTGCGTGTCTGTGGGTCGCTGTTCGTGTCTGTGGGTCTCTGTGCGTGTCTGTGGGTCGCTGTTCGTGTCTGTGGGTCTCTGTGCGTGTCTGTGGGTCTCTGTGCGTGTCTGTGCGTGTCTGTGGGTCTCTGTGCGTGTCTGTGGGTCTCTGTGCGTGTCTGTGGGTCTCTGTGCGTGTCTGTGGGTCTCTGTGCGTGTCTGTGGGTCTCTGTGCGTGTATGTGGGTCTCTGTGCGTGTCTGTGAGTCTCTGTGCGTGTCTGTGGGTCTCTGTGCGTGTCGGTGGGTCTCTGTGCGTGTCTGTGGGTCTCTGTGCGTGTCCGTGGGTCTCTGTGCGTGTCTGTGGATCTATGTGCGTGTCTGTGGGTCTCTGTGCGTGTCTGTGGGTCTCTGTGCGTGTCTGTGGGTCTCTGTGCGTGTCTGTGGGTCTCTGTGCGTGTCTGTGGGTCTCTGTGCGTGTCTGTGGGTCTCTGTGCGTGTATGTGGGTCTCTGTGCGTGTCTGTGGGTCTCTGTGCGTGTCCGTGGGTCTCTGTGCGTGTCTGTGGGTCTCTGTGCGTGTCTGTGGGTCTCTGTGCGTGTCTGTGGGTCTCTGTGCGTGTCTGTGGGTCTCTGCGTGTCTGTGGGTCTCTGTGCGTGTCTGTGGGTCTCTGTGGGTCTCTGTGCGTGTCTGTGGGTCTCTCTGCGTGTCTGTGGGTCTCTGTGCGTGTCTGTGGGTCTCTGTGCGTGTCTGTGGGTCTCTGTGCGTGTCTGTGGGTCTCTGCGTGTCTGTGGGTCTCTGTGAGTCTCTGTGCGTGTCTGTGGGTCTCTGTGCGTGTCTGTGGGTCTCTCTGCGTGTCTGTGGGTCTCTGTGCGTGTCTGTGGGTCTCTGCGTGTCTAGACCTCTCGGGGGTCGATCTGAGTCAAATTAATAAAGAAAAATGAATAATTGATTCCTTCCGGAACGCAGTCACAGGGTTTACGCTTTCACGCCTTCCACCTTGCGTTCTGGCCTCATTTCCACCACTGATATTGATAGCGTGAACTACCGGCTCACTGCAACGTAATTAACAACCGGCGGTAACCGTCCGCCTGTAGGGCACCCCCTGCCTGTAGGGCACCCCCGCCTGTAGGGCACCCCCTGCATGTAGGGCACCCCCGCCTGTAGGGCACCCCCTGCCTGTAGGGCACCCTCGCCTGTAGGGCACCCCCTGCCTGTAGGGCACCCTCGCCTGTAGGGCACCCCCTGCCTGTAGGGCACCCTCGCCTGTAGGGCACCCCCTGCCTGTAGGGCACCCCCTACCTGCAGGGCACCCCCTGCCTGTAGGGCACCCCCTGCCTGTAGGGCACCCCCTGCCTGTAGGGCACCCTCGCCTGTAGGGCACCCCCTGCCTGTAGGGCACCCTCGCCTGTAGGGCACCCCCTGCCTGTAGGGCACCCTCGCCTGTAGGGCACCCCCTGCCTGTAGGGCACCCCCTACCTGCAGGGCACCCCCTGCCTGTAGGGCACCCCCTGCCTGTAGGGCACCCCCTGCCTGTAGGGCACCCTCGCCTGTAGGGCACCCCCGCCTGCAGGGCCCTTTGAAAGTGTGCGGCTGTGTTCCAGCCCTGAAGCAACCGTCGTCACATTCGTGATATTTTAACAGCAGCGCAGTGAATATTTGAACAGCAGCGCAGTGAATAGGGGGAGTGGTGGGTTCACGCATCGAGGAGAGTCGCCCTTTATTCCTTGGGGTCCAACACCCCCCAACTCACGAGCACACACAACTCTTCTTTAAAAGGGCACATATTGCGAGGTGGCTTCGAATCGTTGAAATGGGCTCGCCCCCGAAGAGCACCCTCGAGAGGGGCGCGCGATAAAAACCTCTCCTGCCCGTGAGTGCTGTCCCCACACACGGCGAGGTCTGCGCAGCGTCACTCGGGCATGCGCGTGACTGCAACTCGCGTGGTGGTGAACACTGCGGAGTGCGTGCCTTGGACACACACTGGGGCTCGCGACTGCATCGTTGAGAAGACAATTTTTATTTATTTTACCATCCTTCCCTCCCTCCCACCCTCTAGGAGTTGCGTCCAGGACGCGAGTTGGAGCCATGCTTGTGCGTGACATTGAGATGGCTGGCCTAGGGTCTCATTGGAAGCAGTAGAATATTCATTGGGGTGAGGTTTCTTAAATTGAATAATCCCAGCTGCCAAGCTCCACACGAAATGAAACAAACTCACTTTATTTATGTGCCAAGGCACCTGCTATTGCTTTCCTGGTGTCGTGACGGCTCGCGAAAGGGGATTCGGTCTCCAATGAAACTGAGTAGGCGCTGCGTGTCGAGGGAACTAATAGTTTAACACGTCGTGTTAACGCGTGGTGGGCTGAGTTCGCTGAGCTCCGAGTTTGTCCACTCACATCCCGACATGCCCCCCCGGGGCGAGTGTGTGAAGTGTGAACTGCCAAGGGGGGTTGTGCCTGAGACGGCGACGAGAGAGAGAAGGGAACGAGACCCCTAGAGGGAGCGAGACCCCATGACGAGACTCCCAGAGGGAGCCGTCCGCAAGAAGTGTCCCGCAAGGGGAAAAAAAAAATATAAGAAGGGTTCACTCACCTCTCTGCCAAACTGCCGTAGGGAAATAGTTGGCATTACGACAAAAAAGAGATATACGTGGTAAACGTGGTTATTTTAATGGACAAAAATGTGTAATTATAGTATTAATGATTAATTACAAATAAGATGCACCTTTAGTCACATTTTAATGTTCTATTAACAGTGTGAAGAACTGACAAAATTGAAAAAAGCTAACTAAATGCACGTGGGACATTTTTTTCCGTGAGGCCCTTTCTGAATTCAACTCGGCCGCTTCATGTCAGAGGAGATGATGGTGATGAAATCGCCCCTTGTGCAGGAGCGATGTGGATTGTTCCATGACGGGATTGTGGGCGATAGTGGTGGCTTGGGGAGGCCTTCATCCAGCAGTGGATTTACCATGGCTGATAATGATGCAATGAGGGGCTGCGTCAGTGCTCTAAAGGGTCAAGCATTGGATATTGACAACTGTTGCGGATACTAGATGGCCGCTTGGCTTGACCCCTCCATCACTGACGCCATCGCTGGCTGTGCCCACTCACCGGTCGCTCATTGCGTGGGAGCCAACTGCTGCCGTCCCTGCACCACTGCTGCCAGCGTGACGCTACCCAACGGGGCGTCACATTTCAGCTGAGCTTGTCACTGGGTTATTCCGCGCAGTTGAGAAAGCGCGTCTCAAGAGGGACGCCACCCCCCCCCCCCCCTTGCTTAGGGGTGGAGGAAATCACAGTTGCGATGATAGATCCCTACGCAACATTGCCACTCTTTTTGTAAACGTTGGGTCGTAACGTTCTCTCATGCGTGCCGTCACAAGGGAGGGTGCACGCACAGCCGTGTATCATCGTCGAGTCAATATTTGGCTGTGCGGCGAGGCACATGCACCACAGCACCAGCATTAACCTATACCAGAGATATATGGCGTGTATCCTTTCAATACATACTTGTATTTGGACGGTATACATATCGAGTCTGTCGTGTGATCTTGCAGTACTGGACTTATGGATATGGCGTGGACACATCAGCGGCAGATTGGATATAGTGACGATGGTGACTATGATCGCCAACAGTGGAGGACAGGTGCTGCGAAAATTAATGGGCCCAGATGGGTCATAGATGGAAATACTTGTGAATAAAGCAATGGAATTGCAAAAAACTAAACCCGTAATCCTTTTCGGTAAGTCAACAATGATTATATTCTTGGTTCTTTCGGTAAAGTCACGTAGAAGGGAAAAATATATATAAACCAATAAAATTATCAGGACGTTTCGACTGCAACACAAGCAATCATCATCAGGTGTGAAAACCACAGCAAGAAAATTTGAAAAAAGTGATTGCTTGTGTTGCAGTCGAAACGTCGTGAGAATGTTATTGTTTTATATATATTTAAATTATTTTATTGTTTCCCTTTTTCGTGACTTTACCGAAAGAACCAAGGATATGAATCCCTGCAGTCACGAAAGCTTTAAATCAAAATTCAACAATTATTGTTCTATTTGGTGACTTTTCCTGCCATGGGAATGTGTAATTTCCAGTGAAGCTGAGCGCCGCTCTATCGGTAACTGAGCAGAGAGACACCGTGACTCGACTTCGCTTTGATTTATTTTCATTCGTTCTTCAGTTAAAGATAAAAAAAATCCACACTCTCCCGTGGGCTTCAATCACCTGCACTCTGCCTCCTCGCCCCCTCAGCGTCTCGCTCAGAAGCGCTTCCCCGCGCTTCTCTCCACTGCCACTCACGCCCCACGGTGACCACTGCCGTGGCCACCGGGGTCTGCCCTCTTGGCTGGGGAGCGAGCGAGCGAGCAGGGTAATCGCGTAGTAAGCGTGCCGAAAATACCCCGGTGGAAGCGCCGTTCCTCGCCATACATGGGCGCGCCGGGCAGCAACGCCCTCGGGTATCCATCTCGCTCCCCCTGCGCTCCCCTGGCGCTCTCCCATCCTTCCTCCGGGTCCCCTCTCGCCGCACGCCTCTGGGATTGTATCGTGCGCTCGGCTTTGTGGGTTTGTGGTGCCGTGTGTGCGTAGAGTGAGGAGGAGGGAGTCGTTTGAAGGCTCACCTGGCCGTTGTTTCGCGAGAGTTTAGAGAGTAACCAGGTAGGTGCCAGATCACCCTCGCTTCTGGCTTCGCTGGTCGTTGATTAAGAGAGCAATAACACCATTAAAACGTTAACATTTAAACATATATTGTTTAGATTATATACTTTGTGTGTGTTGTATATGCAATTGATGGAAATGTTAGAATGTATATTATGCTGTACATGAGGCCCTGTTGTATACTTACACCACGAGACGCAGCATTTCATTTTCTAATTTGCCTCTTCAGTTTGCCAAATGTGTTTTACGCGCATCCTATTTCCGTGTCTAATCAAGAGTAAAACTACAGTAACTTAAGAAAATATTACGCTGTTAACTAGTTTGCATGGTTGCAATTCCCATGTGTTCTGTGTGTGTGTAAAGACTGTGAAGAATGTTAAACATTATAATTACAATAAGCAAGAGCAGTGGAGCGATAAGGATTGTCATTAATGATTATTTAATAGGCTGCCTCATCCTTTGAACCATCGAGCAATTGAGGAGAGTGGCATTTGCTAGTCGGCATGGTCTGGATTAAATTACATGAATATTATATTACATGGTCTGCATTATAGTACACGTATATTATATTGGATATTATATTATGTTACACAAGACCTGTTTTGGTATGGGGACAATGTATGCAGAATCATCACCAAACAAATGTGCAGCCCTTTGTCACTTACTATCACTGCTTAAATTAACGTTATTGAAATCAATGTATGAACTTTATATTCGAAATTTTACGCTCGAACATTTTCACATTACTATGCAGTTACTTTAATTATCTAACAGATTCTGGGATGCTGATTCGGTCGCGTTTAGCCCCCAAGGTTCTTTGCTCACATCTACAATACTTGTTTTACACACACACGAACATATATACCGCACTCTGCTGTATATATAGTCGGGCTAAATATACTCCGGGGCATAGCATTCGTCTGCAATTAGAAGGGCAGTTTGAGAGTTTAAATTTCGGTGGGAGAGTGAGGGGGATGGGGTTTGACGAGTGACTTGACCCTGTCCATAGTATCTGAGGTGGATCAAATAATGAGTGCCAATTGACAGGAAGTGAACAGTGATTGTCCTCTGCCCACACTGATCTGGATCAGGAGAGCCAACCCAACAACTGCGAGCACTGAGTGGGCACTCTGACCTTTGACTTTGCTTTTCGCACAAACGAAAAGCAATCCCTATGGTCGCACATGCCTTCCGAGTTAAAATCATGGATGGGGGTGAACTGAGCCCATCATTCCCAGGGTGTCGATCAGATACGTGCAATTTTGTGTGCAAGTCAGCAGTGGTTGTCCTGTGGAAGACTTGTTCCATCACAGGAATGTGGAATTTCAGGCACTGACTCAGTGCTTTATATCGAAGATGAGCACTGCTTCCGTGCTTATTTGAGCAAGGAATCACTTTCACCAGACCTGGATTATAAAACCTCACTTGCTGGCTGTGTTGTGTATTCATTAGTGACTCACCAACTTACTACACTAGAAAATCTGGTTTAATCCCCGCCAGCTGAAACCTGATTTCAAACCAAGGATCTCAGCAGTGGTGGCTCAGTGCTTTGACCGCTAAGCCACCCAGCCACCTCTTCTTGTTTAACTTATAATTACCAGGCACACTATTTGAGTAATTGACTAATGGCCTAAAGAATGTAGGTCAGCTTTCCGGGTGCCCTTGCAGTCAATGGAATGTGCTGATGCTGCTGCTCGTGCTGCTGATGCTGTTCCAATATTACTCATCGTCTTAACCAAATCCTGTAACTAGGCTGGAGCTAAAATTTAACTTATTTTTTATTTTACCAGGTAGGGCCCACTGAGTGATATGAATCTATTTTTTCAGAAGCGACCTGGCCACATATGATAGCTCAACAAAGTGGCTTTTCATGTGGAAATTTATAGCAGCCATATGTTTTAAACGCAAAGCTTATAAATGTGGAGGCAAAAAACCAGAAGACCTGTAGAAAAATGCACGCGACCACAGGGATAACGTGCAAACTCCAAATATACAGCAGCAGACGTCACGGTCGGGATCAAATCTACGACCTCCTGTATACCAGGCGAGGTAGTTAATATCTCACCACCGCGGCACCCTATGTAGAACTAGACCCCAAATGCAGCAGCTGTTTGCCACATGGGAGCCAGCTGGGGCTTTGGTCCTGTGATTGCATTTCTCTAAATGGCTCCCTCGCTCAACGCGCCCACTTTATTCACCTCGTTCGCGATAACGGCTTTCTTTATGAGCTCCACACTGGGATCTGTTGGATGGTGTCAGTGGCTCACCGAAAGACTGAAGATGCTTGAAGATGCTTTACATGCAGACGGGTTTTTTTTCGTTTCAAAAGAAAAACCTCTGGCTCAAGTTCCTGCCGGCTCGAGTAATTGAAAAATAAACCCCCACACTATTATTGTAGTATAATGACCCTAGTTCAAAAATATGAATGCATTCATGGTAATGGCTACTAAAAGGATTGGTGAAGGGAATAAGAAATATTATGGGCACATTATCAACAAGCGTCTGTGCCCACGAGGACATTACTGAACCCATTACAGGCCACTCTAAAGTAGGTCACTGTGTGCCGGTGTAAATGAGTGCATACTTTTATCTCAATCTCAGCGGTGTTCACCGAATGTTAATGGAAAGCATTGATTTCAATGTGAAAATGGACTGCTTATGCTGTTACCGGTAACTTTGTGAAAATAATCAAAGGCCAAAAATTCCGAAAATATCCCATTTTGCAATAAGTGCATTGCCGCTTATTGGGAAATGTCTCCACAGTCTGCCTAGCGGGCTTAGCAACGCAGAACTTCCACACCTGGTCGCTGACCAAACCTTGTATGTATATATGTTGAACTTTTTTCACACCGTACGTAGCCAACCGTGCTAATTGGAGGTGCGGGGAAGGCCAAACTAAACACAATAATCATCATCAGCACCATCGTCATGGCCCATCTGCTGCTGATGTTTCCGTATTATTCCTCTAGCGCCTCCTCTTCGTCATCAGTCCATTATCGTTTTCTTGGTCGCCCTCTGCCTACGTTATCTACCACGATCGTTGCCATTGCTCTTGCAGGCGTCCGTTTCGGTGCCATTCCTCTGACGTGACCTCAGTAGCCCGCGTGCATCACCGAGCTGATAGTGGACGTCACGTGTCTCAGTCGTGTCGCGTCGTGTCACCTGTCCGCAGTGCACGTCCTCCAGCAAGGCTGTCCCAAGTCGGGCTACGTCGGGCTACACCACCACCACCACCACCAGCGGGGCGATGTCCGTGCAAGCGAGAAAGAGCCGCGGGCTGAGCGTGTCGCAGCACACCGCTCACTCCGACTACCACAAGGTCCGGGCGCGGAACGTCGAGCTGAGCGACGCCCGCCTGCGCTCGGCCGAGGCGCAGCTGCACGCGGCGGACCGCGAGTACCGAGCGGCGCGCGTCGCCTCGCTTCGCGACTACCGGACGGCGCAGCTGGAGGCCATCACGGACGAGTACCGCGTGGCCCGGCTCGACCTCGGCTGCCAGGAGCACGCGGCCGCGCGTCTGCGCGAGCAGCGAGCGGCGCGACGGCAGCTCGCCTCGTCCGAGCACGCCGGCGCTGTCGCCACGAGGGCCAAGTCCGGCAAGCGCGAGTACCAGCTCGCTCTGCTCGACGCCAGCGAGGATGAATACGCCGCCACTGCCCGTTATAAGTCCGCCCTGGAGTCGAGCAAGCGTGTATACAGCTCGGCGCACCTCGAGTCGAGCAAGCGTGAATACAGCTCGGCGCTCGTTGATTCCACCAACAGGGACTACTACTACTACGCTGCTGCGGAAGGGGAGGGAGCTATCCACCTGTGCGAGTGAGTATTTCGACCACGTGCGGCCGGTTCGTGCCACACGATTGAGGGTTCGCCCAGTTTGGTAGCGAGACCGGGATAGGTCTCGTCTGCAAGAGGGACCTGGCTCACGGAAATTACAAAAGCGATGGCGTAAAAACAAAGCGCAGCGATGAAGCAAATGGAAATCGGGGTGACAACAACCGAGTTGGAGAAGCGATCTAAAGCAGTGCACAAACATCAATATTACGTTAAGTAAAGTTCCTGGAACGAAAGTGGCATTGGCTTTAAACGTGTAGCCTTCAAAGGACGCATGGACATGTGTTTTCCTGAGACTGTTGTGCCTCGATGATGAGTCGTTGTTTCAAAAGTTATTGGCAATTGGCTCCACCAAAGAGGGCTAAATATTTCTCGTGGGGCCCACGCTAACCATGCCGAACAACTGCACTGACCCCTTGGAACTAAACAAGCGCACACTCATAGACATGCTGAACGTATCACAAGCATCATACTCAACAACATGATGTGAATTATATAAATGTCACTACCGTGCTTTACTTAATGTGTCTTGTAGAGAGAGGCTCGGGGAATGATTTTTGTGTTTGATGAATATTCACCATAGCCTGAATTCATGGAGAAAATCCACCCATAGCTCCACATTTTCACACGATGATAAGCCACTGAACTACCATCTGTGGCCAGGTCGCTGTGGTAAAATATAAATAGTTTAGTTTGGATCACCAGCAGTGGGGGAAATCAGCGAGGACGATGCACCTTGGGCTGCCTCATCCAGACGTGAATCTCTTGAAGTTGCACTTTTCCGCAATACTCCGATGTTGTCACTTCCACTGCTCGGGCCCAGAACCACCGGCGCTGGGTCCTGGGCGGCCGTGTCTCTCGCATGGGCGAGCCGCCGTGAGCAGCAGTGCAGCGTGTGCACCCCCCCGCCCCCGATACCTCTCACTCAGGGGGAAGGGCGGCACGTACGAGCTGGAGGAGGATGTCGCAGCCGGCACTGAGGTGCTCCACCTGGGCCGCTGGAGCCCCGTGCTGAGCCCCCGGGTCAAGCGCTCGCGTCACCTGCGCATCCTGCAGGATCACGAGAACCTGCAGCCCGGATACCAGTACTACGTGCCCATCTACCGCAGCCGGTATCAGCCAGCACACGCGCCGGGATGCACGGAAAACAATTACACGATACAGAATTCCCATAGACTCACATGGGGGACAACGGGATTCCAATAGGAACACATGGGGAACGGAATGCCCATAGGGTTACATGGGGAATACGATTAGGCCAAGTCCTAATTCTCCTCGTGAGAATTGTTATTTTTTATATATATTTTATTATTTTATTGTTTCCCTTCAACGTGACTTTACCGAAAGAGCTAAGGACACCTGAGTTCAGTTACCGGCCACAGCTAAACATCAGTGGTGAGTCGCGATATCCAAACGTTTTCTGACCTCTCCCCCTTCACGAACTCGCATCAACTAGCCATCGAACAAAGTTGGTCACTGTATCGCACGCTTTCAGATGCCATTCTGCGGCCGTCTGGAAAGCTCTTGCTTCCGACATTAGGAAGCCACTGGAACTGTGCGCTTTTAAATCAGCTAGATCTAAAAACTAATATCTTGAGAACAGCTTTTTGTTTTTAGTTTGTTGTCATTACCCCGCACCTCCGATTAGCACAGTTGGTTACCTACAGTGTGAAATAAGTTAAACATACGTACGAACGCACGGTCAAATAACCCCCAGCACGATCTCGCTGCCCCTGCTATTGCTGCCCTTGCAGGCTCGGCGCCGCCTCCTCCTCCTCCTTCTCGGAGCTGTCGAGCACGAGCCGCGCGTGGCAGCACGAGCACTCGCACGAGTACGCGCACGAGTCCACGCTGCAGCGTGAGCAGCAGCACGAGCAACATGAGCAGCAGCAGCAGCTGGAGGAGGAGGAGCAGCAGCTGGAGCTGGAGCTCGCCAGCAAGCGGCGTTCTGCCTACCGCTCGAGCTACTTGTTCGCCAACGAGCTGGAGAGCGTCGAGGAGAGCATGTGGCGCTCGCGGCAGATCATTCGGGAGCGCGCAGACCTCTCCCACATCCGTCAGCAGGTGCTCGGGGCACGCACGGCACGGCTGAGCCGCCCGGCACGGCTGAGCCGCCCGGCACGGCTGAGCCGCCCGGCACGGCTGAGCCGCCCGGCACGGCTGAGCCGCCCGGCACGGCTGAGCCGCCCGGCACGGCTGAGCCGCCCGGCACGGCTGAGCCGCCCGGCACGGCTGAGCCGCCCGGCACGGCTGAGCCGCCCGGCACGGCTGAGCCGCCCGGCACGGCTGAGCCGCCCGGCACGGCTGAGCCGCCCGGCACGGCTGAGCCGCCCGGCACGGCTGAGCCGCCCGGCACGGCTGAGCCGCCCGGCACGGCTGAGCCGCCCGGCACGGCTGAGCCGCCCGGCACGGCTGAGCCGCCCGGCACGGCTGAGCCGCCCGGCACGGCTGAGCCGCCCGGCACGGCTGAGCCGCCCGGCACGGCTGAGCCGCCCGGCACGGCTGAGCCGCCCGGCACGGCTGAGCCGCCCGGCACGGCTGAGCCGCCCGGCACGGCTGAGCCGCCCGGCACGGCTGAGCCGCCCGGCACGGCTGAGCCGCCCGGCACGGCTGAGCCGCCCGGCACGGCTGAGCCGCCCGGCACGGCTGAGCCGCCCGGCACGGCTGAGCCGCCCGGCACGGCTGAGCCGCCCGGCACGGCTGAGCCGCCCGGCACGGCTGAGCCGCCCGGCACGGCTGAGCCGCCCGGCACGGCTGAGCCGCCCGGCACGGCTGAGCCGCCCGGCACGGCTGAGCCGCCCGGCACGGCTGAGCCGCCCGGCACGGCTGAGCCGCCCGGCACGGCTGAGCCGCCCGGCACGGCTGAGCCGCCCGGCAGCTATAAACAAACACAGATATATACACACACACACAGACGTACAAAGAGAAAGATCCCTCCTATAGCTTTAACTGTTAGCGAGTAGCGCCTATGAAGGCCGGGACGGCACACGAGGGGGTGGGTGGCCAACACCAAGCCCGACCGCCTTTGTCTCCCCAGTGACGATGTTTACACATCGCGCCAAGTACTCCATTGAGGATGAGTAGACCTAGGGGAGGCCGAGGACCTGTTCAAATATTCTCCACTGATGTTGATGGCCGTGAGCGGCAAACGAACCCGGGTCGCCTGGTTAGAACCCGAAGCGTGTATTCTCATGCTCGTGTTTCCCGTGCAGAGCTGTTGGGGTATGTAATGGAAATCAATAGACTGGTTCAGCGTTTTTCAACCTACGCTTTGTAGTTTTATTGTTTAATCATTCATTCAACTACCTTTCACAACACGCGGGATATATAATCCACGTTGACCAATTGTACTCTCTAGGGTGAAGTGATTTCGATCAACACACCGAATAGCGATGTGTCGGTATCTGAGAAAAAAGTCGTTTGTAGTTTGTTTTACAACGGATCTGATTGGGACTCACAGACGCTGTCTGTATTCCTCTACCTCAGCCGTTGCTCCCGCCGAGAGGCTGCGCTGCAGTCAGATATGTGCCGTGATTTACTCCCGCGCCATCAGATTTAAAGCTTTACACTCCGCATTAAGTTGTAAATGAAGTTTAAGGTGACTTTAGAACCTGGAGGACTCAACGGCGAATTCAATCACGTCGCCGTGTGTGTATATACATTGAACTTCTTTCGCACCGTACGTAGCCAACCGTGATAATTGTAGGTGCGGGGTTGGACAACAAACTTAACACAAAAAGCAGTTCTAAAGAAATTCGTTTTCAATCTAGATGATTTAAAAGTGCATAGCTCCAGTGGCTTCCTGGGTCGTTGCGCTGCAATGAAGCCGTTTGTTTGCTCATTAAAAATACAGCATGGCCAACAAATATCATCGTGCACTCGAACACTGCATGTACACTCCACATAGGGCACTTCACAAATGCTGACATGCAAGGTATCAGACGCCCGTGATTGAACGAGATTCTCTCACGATTACACCAGATTATCAGGTGATTTAACCAGATTCTGTCATAATTACACCAGATGTTCACGTGATATAATCAGATTATCTCATGATAAACACCAGATTATCACGTGATGCAACAATATCATATCATGATCATGCCAGATTATCACGTGACTTAACCAGATTCTCGTGAGATGAAATCAGAAGACGGTCTCTCAGCTCAGTCGCCAATTACTGCGCACAGTACGTTCGTGGCAATGTTGGGTTTCCACTCAATTTGGATAAATTGCGGCTCTGGGAGTAGAGAATGTTGCTTCGACGTCACATGACAGGGCGTCTGGGAAGTCAGCCACTAAAACATTGTGCGTTAACGAGGACACTGGAAGGTATCTCAGAAGTAGTTCTGTAAAATCTGGGCCGTTCTTGTCCACGGGTGAATGCATTGCTCTGAGAGAGTTCTCAATCGGCACTTCATCTCATGACATAGTCCAAATAACACCGTGGAATAACATAGTAAAGAAAATACACATAATCCAGTAACATCACTAAATCAGACAAATCCATGCGACTTTTAAAAGTGTTAGATTGAGATGTCTAGCAGGGAGTGTATGGGGAGCGGTGGTAGAGTGGTTAGTGCACTGCTTTATGAACCCGATGAGCTGGGTTCAGTTAACTGAACCGGTCTTGGGCCTCTCATAGGCAGACGCAGCCTTAAACGAGTACCTGGTGCAGTGTGGAGAGATCATCAGTCGGGATACAAAGGTGGCCGGGCACGGTGCTCGCTGCGCGGCGCGCGCCCCAGCAATCCTTGTCTCTGCGTGTAGATCCACACGCGCTCCCAGGTGCAGAAGCGCATGAGCTTGGACGGGCAGCTGCGCGCGCCGCACTTCACCGTGCGGCTGCGCTCGCACACCATCTGGGAGCGCATGAACGTCAAGTTCACCAGCACCGTGGACGCCTGGCCCGAGGTCAAGATCACGTGGTGAGTGAGAGTGCCGGACAGAGGCGTCGCGAAGCTACGGGGCTAACGCTGAAACCGGCGTCCAAGGGCTGCTCCAGTGACCGTCGGGGGTTGGTGATGGTGGCCCTCAGCCCATGCATGAATTATCCACATTTCTCTGGCAGGGGCTGGGTTACTCATTCCAAATAACAACCATTGTCAATGTGCAGAACCCCGAGAGGTAACGACGGCTTTGTGAGGAGGTGGCCGATGAGGATTATGATGGCGTTTACGTGACAAAACGTTATGGGTGTAACAACACGTCAAGTCATCGATTACGATGCGTCCTTACCCCTATAATACAGGCATGGAATGATAATACATACACTACACATGTGTAATAATTCATTTTGTTTATTATTTATTATTTTTATTTCGTGTGCCTTGCATCCGATGGGTTTGACAAATCTATCCACGTTATAGTCGCGCCATTTAAAAAGACCAACGAAAGGGAACTGCTTCTTGGATGGAATTGTGACCCTGATTCATGACAACGCAGCGGCTGGCGAGTGGGGCCAGATCGCTGGAGCTTGCGAGGATGACAATGAAGGGTTCAATAAATTTAGAGTCACACTTCACTGACATCGCTCTGCCAAATCATCATCCGTTTGCACCACACAAAGCCCAACCCTGCACTGACCTGGTCAAGTTCAATCTCAGCATGTCAACACTTAATGAGTCGCCCCCATCACGCCTTACACGATCACATGTCTCCAGCCATCCTTGTATAACATTACGGGTGCGTACATTAATGACGATCTGAAACAGACGAATGCACGTGTCGCTGTATTTACTTTAATTATATTTACTTTAATTTCTAGCGCCACGCAAAATGTCGTGAGCGCAGCAGCTTGGAAGTGGCTGGTTTGCGAGGATTAAAGGAATTCACTCAGCGGCAGGCAATGTTCTCCCGCGTGGTGAGAGAGCCGAGATGCTGCAGTGCAGTTCGGCAAATGTCCGCGTCGTTTGTCTGTCTAATTTGACTACAATAGCAGCAGTATTAACGCACAACGCTTTCTTCCCTAGACCGTCGGGTACAATGTGTTCCAAGTTTCTAAGAGGCGATGCTGGAAGGAAACACTCTGGCTGAAGCGTGCTCATCGTCTTCTGCTTTCACTTCCTATTTCTTTTTTCAAAGGTACAAGAACAACGTCCCCATTAGCTCGGAGATGTGTCCCGAGAAGTACAGAGTCGAGAGCCGATTCGGAGTGAACACGCTGGAGATCAGCAGGTCAGCACGTGTTTGTCAATTTGCTTATAGATGTCATGTCACGGTGCACGCATTTCGATTGTCACGATTTCTTGAGCGGTCAAGGATGCATACGGGACTTGATTTCTCGTGGAATGTTTTCCGGGTCGCTGGTAGTACCATGGATTCAGTGACACGTGACTAGGAGCAGCCACAGAAGTATACTGGATGTGGTGTCAATGTGATTTCGTGCTCCAATTAGCATTGAGGCTGTGCTCATTTCCTATTTCTAACCCTTAACCAGTGGTTGGAATTCCCCATTCCTACGACAGGGACCATAGTGGTACTCATTTTATCGACCATGGAGGGATGATGGGTTGAGTCAACCCCCAAATGGGATTTGAACTCTTACCTTCTGATTGCGAGCCGCTCGCTTCCCCACTGAGTCAACTGGTGAATGCGTGTTCTGGGTCATCGACGCGAGCACACCTGGCTGAAGTGAAGCCCGGCATCCATACGCACACACGCACATGCACGCTGCGTACAGTCACGCACACGCACGCTGCGTACAGTCACGCACATGCACGCTGCGTACAGTCACGCACACGCACGTTGCGTACAGACACGCACACGCACGCTGCGTACAGACACGCACACGCACGCTGCGTACAGACACGCACACGCACGCTGCGTACAGACACGCACACGCACGCTGCGTACAGACACGCACACGCACGCTGCGTACAGACACGCACACGCACGCTGCGTACAGACACCCACACGCACGGCACGTACAGACACGCATACGCACGCTGCGTACAGACACGCACACGCACGGCGCGTACAGACACGCAGACGCACGCTGCGTACAGACACGCACACGCACGCTGCGTACAGACACGCACGCTGCGTACAGACACGCACACGCACGGCGCGTACAGACACGCACACGCACGGCGCGTACAGACACGCACACGCACGGCGCGTACCCACGGCAGCTCCTGCGTGCGTGTGCACCGTGGTGGCCGAGGATTCCGAGCGCACCACTTGCCCCGCTCTCGGCGCTCCCCACCCCCCAGGTGCGACTTTGATGACACGGCACAGTACTCCATCTCGGCCATAAACGTCAAGGGCGAGGCTTCGTGCTTCGCTTCGCTCGTCGTTAAACGTGAGCCCCCCACAGCCCCCCCCCCCCCAAACCGCCCCCCACAGCCCCGGTCACCCCACGACTGCGCCTGCGAGCACGGAGTCCGCATCTTACCACGACTCGTTAATGCACACACACATATACATACAGTATACTCTATGTACAAACATTCTCCCCCTCACCGCCCATCGTCTACATCAGGACCAATATGTACACCCCGTGAATTGATTTGACGATAATGAGTGAGAGTATATATTGTTATTTGTTTCATTGATGAGGCGACCACGAGACAGTGGTGAGAAATACTCAATACCTCTAGCAGGGCCCAGTTCCTCAATAGGACAAACACTGTTGACTTCACACAAAGTGGTGCTGATTTTATAGACCATGGAGGAATTATGGTCCGGGCCGGGTCCGTCCCTGACCAGGACTGTGCACCTGCTTCTCTTCGCTTTTGCAGGTTTCAGGGGAGCTCTGGAGGAAGGTTCTGGATACCACGAAGGTCTGTGCTGCCAACCACCACCCATCCATTACATCGAAACCATCGCACGCCAAATGTATATTTAGAAAGTGAAGTTACGGGCCGGAATATTTTATGTCGGTGTTGACACGGTCGTGGCCTATGACCAGTCACGTGGATGTGCCCGACCTCACCAGATTTCCCACGATGTAACATCTCTCGTAAGGTACTCCGCCGGGTCTGAAGGTTACTCACCCGCGTCACCAAATCAAACTGAACTCCCTCTCGTCATCCCGTCCATGCCGTGCCACGGAGTGTTCGCTTGCTTTTTTTACTTCACAAACTTCGTCTTTTTTCATGACAAAAACCGAAATCGATTCTTCTCATCCCGATGAGCAGTGTCCACGATGATCCCGTCCCACTTCGACATCCACCTCATGGAAAAGTTCCAGGTGTCGTTCGGGAAGGAGGGCGACACGCTGAGCCTGGGCTGCACTGTGCTGCTCCACCCCAGCATCCCCGGATTCCACCCGACGCTGGAGTGGTACCGTGACGGTCAGCACCGACTCCCACCGCACATGGTCTCTCGCCCAATGCAGCAAGTTGGTTGCTCAGCGAAACTTCCCTGGATAATGGACATCATTGCTATTGAGTAGGCCACATGGTGACAAAAGCGTTTTGCCTTGATGAAGCCTTCTAGCTCAGGGGCCGATGCACCGAGTAAGGACTGCTGAGATGCTGGCTTCGAGTCTAAGTTCCAGTCATCCACGAATAATCTCCGCGAGCTTCAGACAATAACATCCTAGGGGTGTCGTTAAGGCCATGTGTTACTGCGTTATATTGACGTGTATGTTTTGGCATGTATATTTCGCGGTGGTCGTGGTAGTAGTGGAGATGGCAATGACAGTGGTAGTGGTGGTGATGGTGGTGGTGACAGTGACGGTGGTAGTGATGGTCATGGCGGCGGTGGTGGCAATGACAGTGGTGGCAGTGACAGTGGTGGTGGTGATGGCGGCGATTTTGATGATGGTGGCGGTGATGGTGGTGTGTGTAGATGTGCTCCTGGAGGATTCCAAGTGGGTGGAGACGAGCCGCGTTGGCGAGCGGGGCACCATCACGCTGCGCCACCTCAACAAGGAGGACGAGGGCCTCTACACACTGCGCGTCGTTGCCGGACTCTCCTACGACCAGTACAGCGCCTACGTCTTCGTCCGCGGTGAGGGTCCACGCGCGCGTGTACGTGTGTGTATGTGTGTGTGTATGTCTATGTGTGCGTGTGTGTGTGCGTGTGTGCGTGTGTGTGCGTGTGTGCGTGCGTGTGTGCGTGTGTGTGCATGTGTGCGTGTGTGTGTGTGTGCATGTGTGTGTGTGCGTGTGTGTGTGTGGGAAGCTGTAAGCCTAAGGCTACTTTGGGCTCGCCTTCCCATCAACCGGAGGCGAGGAGTGGTGGTCGTGGTTACTTATGCCCCCACCGAATACGAACATCCATGGAGAAATGCAGGCAAAACCGATGAGTCAGATGCCTTCTATGACCTCCTGTCACAGGTGCTGGCTAAAGTGGTCCCTCGGGATAGAGTCATCTTGTTGGGTGACTTCAATGCCCGAGTTGGTCATGATGCTGGCACCTGGTCTGGAGTGATTGGAGGACATGGGCCAGATCAGCTCAATAACAACAGTAGGAGGATGCTAGATTATTGTGCAGCCCATGGGCTTGTAATTACCAACACGCTGTTCCGGCATCGGCGCATCCACACAACATCATGGATGCATGCCGGGTCCAAGCACGAACATCTTCTGGACTACATAGTGACAGACCAGCGGATGCGAGCCTATGTCCTTGACACCAGGACCTACCGTGGAGCTGATCTGCCCTCTGACCATCGACTAGTCATCTGTAAGTTGCGCCTGCCATTCTTCCACTCCGGTGGTGGGTGTAGACCCAGGACCCGATTCCAACCTAAAGTGGCCTGGTCTCAGTTATCTGATGAAAGTTGCAAGCGAGAATTTCATCATCGCTTGAGGCTGGGGTTGGCATCGTCCCCCACTCCTCCTGATGCCGAGGGTAAATGGGCGAGGTTTAGGACTGTGACTCATGCAGCTGCAATGGCTGTTTTGGGTACGCAGTCCAGACCTCCCCAGAGACCCTAGCTGACAGAGGAGGTGTTCAGGATAGTTGAGAAAAAGCGACAGGCCCACTGTCATCGGCTACAGAATACCACGTCAGAGAATGAGGAGGCTTACCACAGCCTTTGCTCGGAGGTTCGGAGAGCCATGAGGCGCTGCAAGGATGGGTGGTGGTCGCGGGTTGCTGAAGAGATGGAGTCTGCCTCAGTGGCCCGCGATCACAAATCTCTATTTAACTCCATCAAAAAAGTAACCTGCAGCGCCACACCTATTACCATCATTAGGGGAAAAAAACGGTGATCCAATCTCTGACCCCCAGGAACAGGTTTGCAGATTTGCTGAGCATTTCTGTGAGGTCCTGGGGGAGGGGAAATCCCTCAGCCAGGAAAAGATCGCGGCACAAAGTGCGGATGACCCTGCTGAGGCTGCGGTGCCTCAAATATTGGAGGAAGTCACCCCCTGTGAGTGGCTGGCTGAGGTGCCATCTGTTGAGGAAGTACTGAAGGCGATCCAGAGTCTGAGACCAAGAAAGGCACCGGGCAGAGATGATCTCCCAAGCGAAATGCTGAGGGAGGGTGGCGTTTGAGCACAGACTGCTCTATATGGCATCATAACAACAGTCTGGACCACTGGACGGGTTCCATAGGATTGGAAGGATGTCCTGGTGGTCCCCCTCTTTGAGAAGGGGGACCGCACAGACTGTAACAACTACAGGGGCATCTCACTCCTCAGTGTGCCGGGAAAGGTCCTGGCAAGGATTATTCAACATCGCCTTGCCAGGCACACTGAGGAGAGGTTTGCGGAGCCCCAATGCAGTTTCAAGAAAGGGCGGTCCTGCACAGATGCCATATTTTCTGTCCGTCTGCTACAGCAGAGGTGTAGGGAATTCGAGCAAGACCTACATCTCTGCTTTATTGACCTGGTCAAGGACTATGATACCATCAGTAGGGCTGGGCTCTGGGTTGTTCTTCGTGCTTTTGGAATCCCTGACCCTCTGCTCACGATCATTAAGGACCTTCATGATGGTGAGCGGGCCTGGGTAAAACTACGTGGCCGGGAGTCAGAGCCATTCCCTGTACACCATGGGGTGCGACAGGGATGTCCTCTGGCTCCCACATTATTTAACATATACTTTGACCACGTAGTTCGTGAAGCCTTCAATAGCTGTACCGGGGGGAATCTCCATTTGGTACAGATATAATGGGAGGCTGATCGATGCCCGGGTGCGGTCAAGGGATGGCTCCCTATTGCTCAACCACGTTATGTATGCCGATGAATTGGTAATAGTTGCTCATTCAGAGGAGGAGTTGGAGATGCTGCTGCTGGAGCGTGCCACTAAGAGATGGGGCCTTACCATCAGCCCCACCAAAATTAAGCACCTGCCTGGGTATTTTGTACCATCGGACACTCCACCTCCACAACTCCAAATCGGTGATGGGGCAGTTGTGGAGAGAGTGGAGAGTTTCCCATACCTGGGCAGTGTGCTTATGACTGGCTCCAGTTTAACAGCAGAGGTCTCACTCCGAATCAGTCGAGCGGCAATATCTTTTCATCGGTTGCGTAACGCTGTGTGGAAGCTACCTGGTCTGTCGCTCCACACTAAGCTTCAAGTCTTCTCGGCCACGGTCATTCCCTCCCTTCTCTATGCTTGCGAAACGTGGACCCCCCTAATGGAACATCTTCGCCGGTTAGAAACATTTAGGCTAGCCTGCCCACGATCCATCCTGGGTTTAACCAGGCTGGATTATGTGAGGAGCTCACAAATCCTTGAAAGATCTGGCCAAGGTCCCATCGGTGAGCTTCTCTGGCATGCAAGGCTGCGTTGGCTGGGTCATGTAGCCCGCATGCCCAGCCACCACCGCATGCCGAAACAGCTTTTGTTCAGCAGGATCGAGGGGGCTAAACGGGCGCGGCACGGGCTAGAGAAGAGATGGAGTGATGTGGTACAGGAGGACGTGGAGCTGAGTGGACTTGCCGATGACTGGTACCAGCGGTGTCAAGATCGGCCTCTGTGGAGGAGGCTCATGAAGGATGCTACTGGGCAGTTGGAGGCAGTCGCCCTCCAACAACAACGGAGGGCGGAGGAGCGACGCTCACAGCAACGAGCGGAGCGCCGGGTGGCTAAAGCCCAGCAGGTTGGCACAGTAGGGGGCACATGTGGTGCATCAGCCAGTCATCTTAGTCACTCGACCCGTGGTACTTGGGTCTGCCCCCTGACCTCCTGCCAGCAGGCGTTCGACACTTCACGTGGCCTCAAGGTGCACAAGGCCTGGCACAAGCGTCGTGGTGACGTCATCACCATTTAGTGGCGAATGGCGGTTGTTGTGTGTGCGTGTATGCGTGTGTGCATGTGTGTGGCACAAAGTGAGGATGACCCTGCTGAGGCTGCGGTGCCTCAAATATTGGATGAAGTCACCCCCTGTGAGTGGCTGGCTGAGGTGCCATCTGCTGAGGAAGTATTGAAGGCGATCCGGAGTCTGAGACCAGGAAAGGCAGCGGGCAGGGATGGTCTCCCAGGCGAGATGCTGAGGGAGGGTGGCGTTTGTGCACGGACTGCCCTATGTGACATCATGGCAACGGTCTGGACCGCTGGACGGGTTCCGCGGGATTGGAGGGATGCCCTGGTGGTCCCCCTTTTTGAGAGGGGGGACCGCACGGACTGTAACGGCTGCGGGGGCGTCTCGCTCCTCGGTGTGCCGGGAAAGGTCCTGGCAAGGATTATTCAGCATCGCCTTGCCAGGCACGCTGGGGAGAGGCTTGCGGGGCCCCAGTGCGGTTTCGGGAAGGGGCGGTCCTGCACGGATGCCATGTTTTCTGTCCGTCTGCTGCAGCGGAGGTGTAGGGGGTTCCAACGGGACCTACATCTCTGCTTTATTGACCTGGTCGGGGCCTATGATGCCATCAGTAGGCCTGGGCTCTGGGTCGTTCTTCGTGCTTTTGGAGTACCTGACCCTCTGCTCACGATCATTAAGGACCTTCATGATGGTGAGCGGGCCTGGGTAAAACTACGTGGCCGGGAGTCAGAGCCATTCCCTGTACACCTTGGGGTGCGACAGGGATGTCCTCTGGCTCCCACATTATTTAACATCTATTTTGACCACGTGGTTCGTGAAGCCTTCAATAGCTGTACCGGGGGAATCTCCATATGGTACAGATATAATGGGAGGCTAATCGATGCCCGGGTGCGGTCAAGGGATGGCTCCCTATTGCTCAACCACGTTATGTATGCTGATGACTTGGTAATAGCTGCTCAGTCAGAGGAGGAGTTGGAGACGCTGCTGCTGAGACTGGAGCGTGCCACTAAGAGGTGGGGCCTTACCATCAGCCCCACCAAAACTAAGCACCTGCCTGGGTATTTTGTACCATCGGACACTCCACCCCCACAACTCCCAATCGGTGATGGGGCAGTTGTGGAGAGAGTGGAGAGTTTCCCATACCTGGGCAGTGTGCTTATGACTGGCTCCAGTTTAACAGCAGGGGTCTCACTCCGAATCAGTCGAGCGGCAATATCTTTTCATCGGTTGCGCAACGCTGTGTGGAAGCTACCTGGTCTGTCGCTCCGCACTAAGCTTCAGGTCTTCTCGGCCACGGTCATTCCCTCCCTTCTCTACGCTTGCGAAACGTGGACCCCCCTAATGGAACATCTTCGCCGGTTGCAAACATTTAGGCTGGCCTGCCTACGATCCATCCTGGGTTTAACCAGACTGGATTGTGTGAGGAGCTCACAAATCCTTGAAAGATCTGGGCAGGGTCCCATCGGTGAGCTCCTCCGGCAGGCAAGGCTGCGATGGCTGGGTCATGTAGCCCGCATGCCCAGCCACCGCATGCCGAAACAGCTTTTGTTTGGCCGGATTGAGGGGGCTAAGTGGGCGCGGCACGGGCTAGAGAAGAGATGGAGTGATGTGGTACAGGAGGACGTGGAGCTGAGTGGACTTGCCGATGACTGGTACCAGCGGTGTCAAGATCGGCCTCTGTGGAGGAGGCTCGTGAAGGATGCTACTGGGCAGTTGGAGGCAGTCGCCCTCCAACAACAACGGAGGGCGGAGGAGCGACGCTCACAACAGCGAGCGGAGCGCCGGGTGGCTAAAGCACAGCAGGTTGGCACAGTAGGGGGCACAGGTGGTGCATCAGCCAGTCATCTCAGTCAGTCGACCCGTGGCACCTGGGTCTGCCCCGTGACATCCTGCCAGCGGGCGTTCGACACTTCACGTGGCCTCAGGGTGCACATAGCCTGGCACAAGCGTCGTGGTGACGTCACCGCCACTTAGTGGCGAATGGCGGTTGTTGTTGTTGTAGGTGTGTGTGGAGTGCAATGGTTAGCGTGCCGCGCTACAAACCCAGCGACCAGAGTTCAATTCCCACTCATGACCAATAACGGTGGAGAATATCTGAATTGGTCGTGGGCCTCCCCGAGGTCGACTCAGCCTCAAATGAGTACCTGGTGCGATATGTGAAAACAGCCACTCAGGAGATAAAGGCGGCCGATGTGCGGTGCTGGCCAGTGGTGACACCGTCTCGTGTGCCGTCGCGGCCTTTGTAGGTGCTGCTCGCTAACAGCACTTCCCCCAAGAGTCTGTTAAGGCTACACGCGGGGGACCTTTGTCTTTTTGTTGGTGTGCACGCACAACGCATTCAGACGATTGCGAGGGGCTCATCTCTTCGGCAGTGGTGACACTGCCACACTCCCGCAGTGGGGGCCAGTCAACCTAAAGGACAACAATTCAGAGCTATCGAAAAGAGTTGAGACCTCGGTAATAGAAGTGTGAATGGTGCCGCATATGCAGGCCCTGATGAAGTGAGCAAGCAAAGATGTGGACCCATATTCCAGATCATGTTTTGTAATTGGGGTCACATCTGTGCACGTTCAAAATGTCCAACTTGTTTTTTTATTCATTGAACATATTGATGTAAGCATGCACTCTGTTGTTGAATTAACATCGAACGGGTCATCCTCCAGACTTGCCCCACCGGAGACCAAAGCTCACTCCGCCATTATTTATTCGCAGCAGACGCATCCCCTGCTCGGTAAGCACCTGACTACGCGACACGTCTGTGTGGCTCACCCCCCCCCTCCACCCCGTGCCAGATGGGAAGACGGAGGTTGAGGGGGCGCCAGGCGCCGCGCTCGAGGTGGCGTGTGAGGACATCAACAAGGATTACGTCATTGTCACCTGGAAGCACCCGAGCGACGACCACGGCAGTCCCGTCATCGGCTATTTCGTGGACCGGTGAGACGCCGACGTCCACCGACGTCTGCCGACTCGGGGCTGGGGTCGCCACCTGTCCTGCTTTTCTCAGGAGGCAGCTGTCGTGAGAAATCTGTAGGTCTTCCCGGGACATAAGAAAGCCCTTGCTTTGTCAGGTCAATCAAACACCACTCATGACAATGTGTTTAGCTGTAATGGGTGAATAAGTGGGTGGGTGGGTGGATGGGTGAGTGGGTGGGCGAGCTAGTTAGTGAGTAGGTGGGTGAGTGGCAGATAGAGTTGCCACTTGTCCTGCTTTTCCAGGATCACCTTGTTGAAGTAGCAGTCCTGGAAAATGTGTTCAGCGAATCTTTTGCAGGAACATGAAAAATACCCCCCCAAAAAACAACCAAAACCCCACTAAGCCGTGCGTGCGTCCGAGCGTGTGTGTCCCACCGCTGGGACCGCCTGACCCGAGCCACCGTGACCCGTGACCCTTGCCGCGCTGCCTCCCCTCGCGCTGGCGCCAGGCGGGAAGTGGGCACCAACCAGTGGGTGCAGTGCAACGACGCGCCCGTGCGGTTCGCGCGCCTGCCCGTCACGGGGCTGGCCGAGGGACACTCCTACGAGTTCCGCGTGCGAAGCGTCAACTCCCGTGGCGTGGGCCCTGCCTCCCGCTCCTCGGAGCCCGTGCTCGTCGCCGACCCCACCGCCCGCGCTCACCACAAAGGTCACTGTCCCCCCCCCCCCCACCGGTGGGGAAGCGAGGACTTGGGGGTCACAGGCACTGAGCCGGCACCGCAGAGATCCCCCTGGGTTAGGTTTTGACTTCTGCTGTCCACGTTGAAACTGGGTTGCCGAGTGGAGTGGGCTGGTGGTCGCAGCCCAGTCCTGTGGGCACCATGGATCTAAATAAATTCCCCTCGAGACTCCCTCGCAAGCTACTTAGGTTTTCCTCCAAAGCATTGTAGTGTCTTCACCGTATTGATGTTAACATATATGAGTATGTATTTCCCAGTAACGTCTCCAAATCACTTCAACAAAGTATTTTTTTCTCATTAATGAACCTCCCGACTTGTGTTGGGCAGTCACACACACCCAGCCCAGGTATCTGCCAGCAGATAGCGATTCGTTTTTTGAGTTCATTCTTCAATTATGGCATTGAGGTCCGCTGTTCAGTTCTTTTGTAATTCAATCTTCTATTAAAATACAAAACACAACTCGTGCTTTTATAACTGGAATATACAACGTTATCTACATGGGGGGGGGGGGGGGGCATTCGTACACTGTGTTGAGAATCAGTCTCACGCTTTGCTCTCCCTTTCACAGAGATGCCGACTGCACCGTGGACCGGGCAGATTATGGTCACAGAGGAGGAGCCGGAAGGTATGAGTGCGGACATCTCGCCCAGGACGCCTCGTGTGCACGTTCACCCGTTCGCGTTGTCATGTCCAGAGGGAGTGCCGGTTTGAGACTGGCGGAGTGCGTAAGCCGCTGGCTGCGTATGAGTAGAGGAGCCAACAGTGTTGCTCAGAGACAGGTGTTTGAGGAAGGGGTATAAGGGATGGGCTGCCATATAAAGGGGGGGGGGGGGTACAGGTGCAGCTCTGCGATGTTTTGCTCATGTCCCCTTGTGGAGGAAGGGTCTCCTTAAGAAATACTTTTAAAATGGCAATGACAAAGTAAGTTTATAAATGCAGGCGCATCGAAGGGTAGGCTGAGCGACTTGGACGTAAGAAATACCATGCGGCACTAAAGCACCTCCGATTGGCTACGTGCAGTGCAAAAGAAGTTCAACATATATAAGTGCAAAGCAGTGCCGAGGTAAGTCAGGAGTGGGTGGTCGCGACTGGCGGTGCTCGAGTGCAGGTGCAGGAGGAGGGGAGGCCATCAGGGGCAGGCGTTTTGAGTGGCACCCAAGACGCCGGTGACCGAGAGGAAGCCAAGACCTGATGCCAGGTGGTTGGACACAGTCAGAGCAGACCTTGTTGCTTGGGTGTCAACTTTGGATGGGTTTAGGAGTTGATCAGCAGCCGCAGCAGGGGGAGAGGGGGGGATTGCGATGGTGCCGTGGGATCATCAGCGGCGGTTCTGGCCGTGCTGACCGTGTGCCGGCACCGTGGCGCCGCGTGTGCAGAGGGGACGATCCCGGGCCCGCCCACGGCGCTCTCCGTCACCGAAGCCACCAAGGACTACGTGGTGCTCTCTTGGAAGCCGCTATCTCTGCGGGGCAGCGAGGGCCTCGTCTACTACGTGGAGAAGGTAGCGCCTCGTCCCCGATTGAGATTCGCACGTGTACCACAGTGACACTTTGCCCCAAATCTAAAATGAAAGGTGATAGGTGGATGGGTGAGTGGGTGAGATGTTAACTACCTTGCCTGGTATACAGAGGTATAAAGACATGTACATTTGTATTGCTATGTTTTTTTCTGACTTTATGTGAACGAAAAGACACAAATTCGCCCGTTTTCTCATTGAAAATAGGTATATTTCTAAATATCACTGTCCTGGTCACAAAAGCAAAGTTTGTGGGGAATAATAGCCATTTTATAAACTTTTTACGCATAAGCAATTACGAACTAACAATTACTACCCAGGAACAAAAATTGTGTTACATAATGTAATGGAGAGACAGAGAAGCAAGGGTGGTGCATGGACGGCGTGGAGGCCAACTGACTACACATGCCCCTGGCGCTCCCCCTCCAGATGGTGGGCTCGTCGGGCCTGTGGCAGCGTGAGAATCTGGAGATGCCGCTCAAGTCTCCGCGCTATGCCACCTTCAGCCTGGACGCGGGCGAGGCCTACCACTTCCGCGTGCGTGCCAGCAACTCGTGCGGGATCAGCGAGCCCTCGGAGGCCACGGGCCCCGTCAGCGTTGGGGACCGGCTGGGTGAGTGCGGGCCAACCGCACGCGATGCGGATATCCCGGTGTTTGTTTGTGGTTATTTGTTTATTTTATTCAACCCAGATAAGAGCTCAAGGGACCAGGAGAGTCTCGGTTGCCAGCGTCGCCTGGCTGCCCCTGTATCGTGCTCCACTCGGACGGAGAGTCGTGGCCTTGCCCCTCAACTCCGCACGTGTGCACACTCCATGAGCGTGCATGGTCCGCGCTGTCTCCCATGCTCCGCCCTATTCCCACCGTGGCTCTCTCCGCAGCCTATGCTGCCGATCTCTGTCTTTCGCCACCATCGTTGTAATCATGTTGTTCGTTCTCTGCGGCGTTTTCGAACTCATTTCCTCGACCGACGGCCACAGTCTCTTCGCAGTTGGATTTTACTTCCGAGATGGAGCGCCGCTCTCGCTTCATAGACAAGGGCAGCGGCCGCTGTAGCTCTGCTCGCTTCGTCTGCCGACGAGAACCGAGGCTGCCAGCCCGCACCATGCGGCGATGCCCAGGCCGACGGCCTCCCTCTCCCCGCCACTGAAACTCGCTCCGCTTTGACTGCGAGCCGCAGATGTGCCCGGGGCACCGGCGCGGCCGCTGGCCACGCGCAACACCAAGACGTCGGTGCAGCTGGCGTGGGATGCCGTCGAGACGGAGGGCGAGCTGCTTGGATACTACGTGGACGCACGCGAAGAGGGCACGGGCGTCTGGGTGCCCTGCAACAACAAGCCCATCCAGGGCACCAGGTGCTACACACGCAGGGGCAGCACTCGTACGGTCACGTGTCCTGCTGCGCACGGGGAAAAATACATCGGCCGACATACGTCGGTCGCTTGCGTGACGGCTCTCAACTCGGCCTCGGTTCCCCACAGGTTCATCGCGCAGGGGCTGACGACGGGGAAGCGCTACGAGTTCCGCGTGAAGGCCATCAACGCAGCCGGGCCGGGCCCCCACTCGCCCAGCTCGGAGCCGATCACCGTCTACTCGGCCATCAGTAAGCGCCACCCACTCCACCACCGCCAACACCAACACCACGACCAATATAACCCACAGCAAGCACTGTGGGTTATATTGCTTTTTTCAGTTGATAATTGATTATATTCGTTTAGAGGTAGAGGTGAGTCATTGTCATCTACAGCGCTGCTCACAGTTTCTTGGCCTGCCGATAGACTGCCGATAGACTAACAGTGGTGTACCCAGTTATACTGCTGATAGTAGTAGGAGTCCTCTAAGACAACTGAACCTGAATATTTATGATCTCATCAGATCTCAGAAGCCAAGTAGGCTTGAGCCTGGTTAGTACTTGGATATGAGATTGGAAATACCGTACAAGTTGTTGTAGGCGTGGACTGCGAGGTAGCCAATACAGTGTATAGCACGACAGCAATGGATTAATGAATCCATCTGTGCAGAGCTTTCAATACCTCCCCCTGACATGCGTGTTGGGTTGTCTCCGCATACCCCTCCCATGCGAAGCTACACAATGAGACGTGTCGCGTATTCCCAGCGCCGTTATCCTGCCGGCGTGTGCCTCGTCACCAAAACACGAACAGCCGTCTGTCATTGGCAGCCCTTTAACTCAGTCACGCGTAGGCCGTCAACGTACCGTGAATGCGGCCCAGCTGTGAAGGCACGTACTGCACCTCGCTTGTTGTCCTTCTCCAACACTTCCCATTAGCACGGTAAGCTACGTACGGTCGCAAAAGAAGTTCAACATACATGAGTGTTCTTCACTCGTTCTCAGAGCGGGGGACACTTTCGCCGATAAGACATCATCAGTATGAGGGCCGCCACATATTTGAAACCACTGGGGGTTTGACAGCAGCACGATGAGGATGATGATGGGGGAGTGGGGGTTGTAACGTGTTGTGTATTGTCGGGGGCTCCACTAAAGGCCACCAGGGGCCGCCAGTGACCGCCGGACCTTCCGATGAAGAACACTTACATACACACACATTCATCTTACATACACACACATTCATCTTACATACATACACATTCATCTTACATACACACACATTCATCTTACATACATACACATTCATCTTACATACATACACATTCATCTTACATACATACATGCACATTCATCTTACATACACACACATTCATCTTACATACATACACATTCATCTTACATACATACACATTCATCTTACATACATACACATTAATCTTACATACACACACATTCGCCTTACATACATATACATTCATCTTACATACATACACATTCATCTTACATACATACACATTCATCTTACATACATACATACACAATCATCTTACATACACACACATTCATCTTACATACACATTCATCTTACATACATACACATTCATCTTACATATATACACATTCATCTTACATACATACATACACATTCATCTTACATACATACACATCCATCTTACATACATACACATTCATCTTACACACATACACATTCATCTTACATACATACACATTCATCTTACATACCATACACATTCATCGCCATCCTCTCCCCTATGTTGCGGTGTCATTGTAACATCCGTCTTGTTGCCAGGAGGTGGCATTCTGGACGGTAAGTCCTCCCGTCTACCACTATAAGCACCGCCGGGGCCCACCACCGTCACTGTCTAACCGCACGCCCGCCACTCGCGTGCCGTGTCGCCGGATCCACGCGCACTCGCGACGCCTTCCCCCGCCGCAGTGCGGACACAAACTCGGCGCCTGTTACGACCGAAGTGCCGTGCCGTGTTACTTTGCTCAAATCACGGGAGGCAAGGTTCGGTCACGTGAGCGCAGCGACGTTGCTCCTGGCACAATTGGGAGCCTCGTGCAGGCATCATTGTTAGAACCATCACCTTTCATTGCAGACATTCTTTAAGAAAAGATATAGAGGTGTACTTGGATGTGAAAAATATAGCAAAACTTAGTGAGATGAGAGATGAAGACAAGATAGTGATGAGATAAATAAATGGGCTCGTTATGGTATATTTCTCTGGTTGTGTTAGGATTTGACGATGAGCTGCTATTGAATGCACCCCCATTGTTAATGTATCCAGGGCTCCTTGAGCCGCTTGAAGCCACGCACTTTCACGTTGTGAGCGCCGAGCACCACCACTGGGAGAACGTGACAGGGTGCCAACGGTTTCATCTGCACTGCAATGTCTCCGTCGTTGCACGTGTGGCCTTATCGCCTGTGTTAAAGAAAGTCCACAGCTGTAACACACGGCCACACTCTGAAGATCCGCCCACGGTATCTGGAGTCACTGTTATCACTGCTGCTGGATAATTATTTCAATGCTGAATTCTCAGGAATATATAAATATGAAAAACTACCCGCAAATAACACTTGTTTGTGCCAATAACCTTAACATTACATGAGCATAATGAACACAAGCCGTGAGTAATTGATTACGTGCACAGAGAGATGAATGAGCACAATTGATGAATCAATGAGTGATCACCATGGTCAATACTTCCACGTGCAACCTTCCAGCTGACTAAAGGACTGACAATTGTAGTTTGCACTTTGTCCAGACTCCGTCCTTCCTGTCATTTTAACTTCACAAGCAGAAAGCAATTCCTGAGAACCCAGTTTGCACGTTTGAATCACCGCAATGTACTTTTTTAAAACACAAAGCGTGTTCACCTCACCACGGACATCATTTGCTTCAGTCACTCTGCTGCTGCGTGCCTCGAACTCCTCCGAGCGATTCTCTCCTCCCACAGCCACAGGGGTCAGCCGTCTAGAACCACCACGCCAGTCCCGCACAACGCGGCGGCGGTGGCCTCCTTGCGGTCACCGCTGCGTGCCACGTGGCCACGGCAGCAGCAGCCGCCGCACGCGCTCCGTGTGCCCCTGTCACAGCGTCAAGTTCACTTGGCCGCAAGAGACACCCTGATGTTTTCCACGCAATCTGAGCACCTCCCATCCTATAAAACACGTGATACCCCCCCCCCCCCCACCACCTCCCACAACGAATTGATGAGTTGTTATCATTGAGGGTCACGATTTATGTAATGTTCACCATCACATTGGTATTGTTCACCGTGTGTTCTGCCTGGTTTGAGTCGTGTCCATTGCGCCATTATTCGAAGTGTAAAATTGTGACGTCGTTTGTATGAATTGTGAATCGTCAATTGTCACGCGCACAATGTGAGGCATCCACCGTGAGATTAAGGATCGATTGAAATCTCCGAATCAATTGGCCGACTCATACCTGGTGGGCCCCCCCACTCCTCGACGCGCTCCCCAACCTCCTTCACCTCCTCGCTAACGACACCTCCCACCCCCCCACCGCTCTCCACCTCTCGACCCCTCGCCGCCGCTCAGCTCGCTCGTCGCCACCCAGCAGCCTCACGCTGCTGGAGAGCCGCGGCGACGCGATGCTCCTGGGCTGGAAGGCCCCGCACTTCAGCGGGGGCGCCGACGTGACGGGCTACTTCGTGGACTTCCGCGAGGTGGACGGCGACGCCGTGGGGCCGTGGCGCGAGGCCAACGCCCGGCCCGTCCCCGAGCAGCTCCTCTGGGTGAGCGCCGTCGCTCCCACGCGCAGCGAACCCGAGTGCGGTTCCTGAAGAAGATCCCAGCACGTGGAGTGAAACGTCGGACATCGTGCCGAGACAACACGGGCGGTGCAACCCGAGCGCAGCGGAGAGACGAACAGCATGGTCCCAGTGGGATGAACTGTGGTTAAGGCAATGGGGGTTACATCGCTATCTCTCTCCCAAGTGTCTTCTGCGATCTGGAATTAGTGAGGACGCATCTCCATTTATTTCTTGGCTCCGTCACGATCCGATAAAAGGCATCTCGTGCATTTCACCAATGCCCATATCTTTATAGTTTCATTCTCAAGATTAACAATTGTATTTATTAAAAACGTTGCGCCGTGTGGCAGCACGGTCGGAATGCGCGGGTGTCTAGACTCGTGGCCCACAACAGAGGGATGGCCTTGCCAGCCTGCTCCGACGTCGCAACGCTAACTCGCCATCCCTGCTCCCCTTCGCAGATCTCGCACCTGCAGGAGGGCGTCGAGTACCAGTTCCGCGTGCGCGCCGTCAACCTCGCCGGAGTGAGCCTCCCGTCGGTGGCCAGCGCGGGCTTCCTCTGCGAGGAGTGGACTATGCCTACGCCCGGTGCGGCACCACACGCATGGGCGGAGCGCCTGGGAGGCTAGCGGGATCCTATCCGACCCCCGTGACCCCCACTAGAAACTATGAGACCTCTATGACCCCCAAGACGCCTCTTGTCTGACCGTAGGAAGTTCCTATCTGACTCGAGCAAAATCCGGGAAAACCTGTCTGATCCCAGCAGCTTGCACTGTGACCCCAGAACGTCGATGTTCGGGCATGAGTCTTGTGGCTGTCTCGAGAGGGCGATGTGGCGTTACATCGATAACAACAATAACGACAACAGCTCCAGCGGTGACGGCCGTGTGGTGGCGATGACCGGGCGACGCACGCGGGAAGTCCAGTCGCCCGCTGTGCACCACCGGTCGTTTGCACTTTCACTTTTAAGTTAGTTTTTTTTAAAATCTATTATTGTGGGATGCTTTGAAAAAATAGATTCTTAGCTCGATTGGCTTTTCCCGGGAAATAAATTCCTGATTCTGACTTTTGGTAGGACCGTCGTACGATCTCATCGCCTCGGAGGTTCGCGAGGACTCGCTGCTGCTGCAGTGGCGGGCGCCGACGTACACGGGCACGAGCGCCGTCACGGGCTACTGGGTGGACGTGTGTGAGGCGAGCTGCGCACACAGCGAGAGCGCCTGGGCCACCGTCAACCAGCAGCTCGTGCAGCTCAGCCACATGCGGGTGAGCATTTGGCCGCCCCACTCCCCCAGTCCCCACCCCCCCACCCCCCACCGGAGTGACCCACTCACTGTGGCGCGGCGAGGGGGCGTGGGGAGAGAGAGGGGCTCGGCGAGTGGGGTCGAGGGTTCACGGGTAAAGAAATAAAATAAATAAAGCCGTGGTTTTATTTTGTGGTGATCCGGCCTCGTGACCCAGCAGGTAGAGTGAGCGGCTCGCCATTGGAAGGTTCAAATCCTACCTGGGGGTTGACTAAGCCCATCGGCCTTCTGGGGTCGATAAAGTGAGTCGATACTTTGCGGGGAACTCAAAATTTGTGGTCATATGCCTGTACTCGCACCCGCTCTAGGAATGTGGAATTTCACCCATTGGTCCAGGGCTGGGAGAGAAGCACCACCTCGGTGCTAATTTGAGCAGAAATCACTTCAGCCCAGCACCTCTACGGAGCTGGCTCAGTGGTTTGACGCAGCCATTGTGAGCCCCTAGCCACCTATAAAAATGCGCACTTGTAACAATATGTCTCAGCACTTTTCTCAGCATAATTCAGGTTTGTTTGAACGTTGTTTAGACTCAGCATTCTTAATTGAGTGTCAATGATTGGCTCACTCTCTCAGTACTTTGTGCACAAAATGTGCTGAGATACTGATGCATACGAGCTGAGCGATGCATGCCCCAGCCCTCGGAGGTGGTGGATTATTATTTGCCCACGATAATCTTCACTGAGTCTCAAGACTATTTGTCAGCAGGGTCCTGCTTTAGGACATTTGACCAGTTCCACGAAGCACCGTCCAGCTCCGTGCGGGGAGGTCACGGGAGAAGCCGGAGAAAAGGCATGATGCTTGCAACGGGATAACCGCTCGCAGCTCCGCACAGATGGATTCAATACGTTGCTGCATTGCCATCTCCTGGCCACCTCGCTGGCAAACCCTGGTATTCCCAGGCAGTCTCCCATCTGAGCGCTATCCAGGCTCAGGCCTGCTGAGCCTCTGAGATCTGACGGGATCGGGCGCACTCAGGGCGGCTGGGTCCAGCGGTACCCAGCGGCATCACGGGGGTCGAGCAGCGCCTGGGGGGGGGGGGGGGGGGGGGGGGGGGGTGCCTCTCCGCGACCGCAGCGGCGACTCGCGAGCCCTCGGTCCGAGCGGCGGCATCTCGAGGTGGGCAACGACGGGTAAAGGTGCAGCCCTGCAATTGCTCTCTCTCCTCACGACCGGCGTAAGTTGGGCGTACCCACGCGCGCCCCTCCGATGAGACGTTGTATACCGTGAACAGTGAATACAAATTGCTGCTGTTGTTGTTGTTGTGGTGGTGGCGCGAGGCCTGGATGGGGAGTTGGGCGCCGTAGCGATGCTGGGGAGGGAACCGTCGCCCCGTGAGCCTCTCCGGCCGCTCTTTGCTCGCTCACGAGAATTCCCGGAGTGGCCCCAAGGGGACCTCCTGGGAGGGCCCCTCGCTGAGTGGAGCGCGGTGCCGCCGCTGTCGCCGCCGCTCTCCCCGCAGGTGACAGGGCTGGAGGAGGGGAAGAGCTACGTGCTGCGCGTTCGAGCGGAGAACGCGGCGGGCGTCGGGAAGTCCTCGAATGTCACGGAGCCCATCCTCGCTCGGACGCCACCCGGTGAGTAAGCGGGAGAGGAGAGTTCGATTCCTGCTCATGGTCAACACCAGTGGCGATTAGGTGGACTGAGTACTTGGTGCAGTGTTTTGACAGTGGTGTTGATGATGATGGTGTGCATGATATTGATGTCGTTGATGATGGTGTCGGCCACGACGGCGGCGATGTTGGCCGTGTCTATAGGAACGAGCGAGATCGTCGCGGACGTGGACGACGATGGCAACATCTTCCTGGAGCTGTCGTGTGCAGAGCTGGACGAGAACTCCAAGTTCAAGTGGTCCAAGGAGTACGAGGAGCTCATCGACTCTGGGCGCGTGGACGCTCAAACCGTGGGAGACAAGTACGTGCCTCGCCAGCCGCGTCGCGCTCCTGCGCCCCCACTCCGCCCCACGATGAGCCTGTGCACGCGACGGGCCCGAAGCAGCTGGGCCCACGCCCAACAGCGGTTCCGTCTTGGCAGGAGCGACGGAGAGTCGCCGTACTCTCAGACCGAGGGCCCGTCCGTGGCTCCAGCTGCCTCCATCTCATCGGGTCCCATCCCCTCCTCCTTAGGCCCCACGCTCCGTACGAGGGCACTTGAGTCATTCTTCGGGAGGGATCGTTCCCGTGGTTGAGGTGTTTTTTTCCTCTTGCCTTCTGCCACATGTCCTTTTGGGAGTGTTCCATCTGCCGGCTTTCATAGACGCTGCTCACTCACAGCGCTTGCCCCAAGAGTCTGTTGAGGCCACACGGGGGATCTTCGTCTTTTGTGGCGCACAGAGGCCGACTGTACTTCACCGACGCGACGGAGGAGGACCTGGGCGTCTACTCGTGCATCGTCACCGACACCGACGGGATCTCCTCCAGCTTCATCCTCGACAAGGACGGTGGGCAAGCACGTGGGCGTGCGCGGGGTGACACGAGCGAGTGAGCATGTGAGTGAGTGTGTGAGTGAGTGAGTGTGTTAGTGAGTGAGTGAGCAATTGAGTGAGTGAGCGTGTGAGTGAGTGAGCGTGTGAGTGAGTGAGCGAGTGAGTGACTGAGTGAGCGTGTGAGTGAGTGAGCGTGTTAGTGAGTGAGTGAGTGAGCGAGTGAGCGTGTGTGTGAGCGAGTGAGTGAGCGAGTAAGCATGTGAGTGAGTGAGTGAGCGTGTGAGTGAGTTGTGAGCGTGTGAGTGAGTGAGCGTGTGAGTGAGTTAGCGTGTGAGCGAGTGAGTGTGTGAGCATGTGAGTGAGTGAGCGTGTTGGTGAGCGAGTGAGCATGTGAGTGAGTGTGTGAACGTGTGAGTGAGTGAGTGAGCGAGTGAGCGTGTGAGTGAGTTTCTGAGCGTGTGAGTGAGTGAGCGTGTGAGCGAGTGAGCGTGTGAGCGTGTGAGTGAGTGAGCGAGTAAGGGTGTGAGTGAGTGTGTGAGTGAGTGAGCGTGTCAGTGAGTGAGTGAGCGAGCGAGTTAGAGAGCGAGCGTGTGAGTGAGTGAACGTGCGAGTGAGTGTGCGAGCGAGTGAGAGCGTGTGAGTGAGTGTGTGAGAGAGTGAGTAAGCGTGTAAGCGAGTGAGTGAGTGAGCGAGTGAGTGAGCGTGTGAGCGAGTGAGTGAGCGTGTGAGTGAGCGAGTGAGCGTGTGAGCGAGTAAGTGTGTGAGTGAGTGAGCGTGTGAGCGAGTGAGTGTGTAAGTGAGCCTGTGAGCGAGTGAGTGAGCGAGTAAGTGAGTGAGCAAGCGAGCGAGCGTGTGAGTGAGTGAGCATGTGTGGGGCTACGTGAGCGTGGAAGGCAGCGAGTGAGCGGGGTGACGTGAGCCAAGGGCGGTTTGAGGGATGCGTTATTCATGCTGCAGATCATCATCGTCCACATCATTGTCGTTGTCATTGAGATCACAGACATCATCATCTTCATCATTGACAATATCTTTAGCAACATCATCATCATTGATATCATGCACCATGGATCTCCCTTGTTAAATTGCCAGGAAATTGGCTAAAAGGCACTCTCCGTGCAAGAGATCAAATAAACTCAACACTCAATGTCATCATCATCATCATCGTGGCAACCATCAGCATCGCCTTTTAATCCCTTAATCCATCATCATCTATCATCATCTTTGGTCCTGATAACTATTCTGCATGTGTACGGCTAGAGAAGATATTGTTTGCATGTTTTAGCAGCGTCGATAATTCTGCGGTAATTATTTGATTGCGACTGCAAGCAAGAATGTCCGTAGCAAGCTCAGCATTCTGTAGCACGTGCCCCGTTTCACCGTGCCGAGTCTGCAGCGCTGCCGCAGTATCTACATTAAACAGGCAACGTTGTCAACATTTAAGAGATATTTAACGATTTATTATTTTACCAATAAGAGGTAGGATATTTTGGGCAAGGCGTCACTTGTCAGCGAGGTTGTTCTGTCCGTATGAAAAATGTCCAAATTAAAGTGAAATATTTGCTTAAACTCTGATCTAACGCGCATTGATAAAAGAATGTTTGTTGAACCAGCTGAGAACTCACGAGGCCAGGAGGAGAAATTCATTTGCAATCGTGACCTAGCTCACCAGAATAACACAGCACTAACGTAGAATGCAGCCATGAAGGAAATCTAAATTAGAGCAACAACAACCACATCTGCATTGCAGAAGAAATAATACAAAGTGACTGCACAAATATCAATATAGAAATAAACTTCTTCTAATTAACTTTGGCTCAGCCAATTACCGTTAAACTGGTTATAGTACAATTAAGACACAGACACATTATTGCAATAGTATGTAAACAGATAAAGGCTTTGTGTGGTATAGACGTATATACATTGTGTATAGACGTATATACATTGTGTATTTGACGTATATACATTGTGTATAGCCGTATATACATTGTGTATAGACGTATATACATTGTGTATAGACGTATATGCATTGTGTATTTGACGTATATACATTGTGTATAGACGTAAATACATTGTGTATATAGACGTATATACATTGTGTATAGACGTGGTACTTGGTATCCAACTCTCACGTCGCGTGCTTCTCGCCCTAACGCGTCGCGCGCGTTGCCCCCCACAGAGCTGCAGCGGCTGAAAGAGATCAGCCACGAGCGCAAGCAGCCGAGTGAGTCCCGGGTAGCGGAGCGACCGCCGCCACGACCCCCGCCTCGCACCACACGGCCCAGAGGCCGCCCCACCCAGCGCCGTCACGAACGCCGTCGCTCTCGCTTCGTCCAACGCCGACCGGCAGCCCGGGGAGAGCGGTCGTGTCCCCCGGGAACGCTGTGGAGCGAGAGGGGTAGCGGGGGGGAACGAGCTTGTTCCCACCACATCTCGGCCACACCCAGAGCAACTTCGTGCTCGCTTCCTACGTATGGCCCCAAGCCAGCGGTGGAAATTCTACATTTCTGTGACAGGGATCAGCCTGTTCACAGGACACCACTGTAGATTCCCTGCTGCCGTTATGGCAGACTGCTGTGTCTGGAGCTGGCCAACTGAGAACCTCGTCCCTCCCCCTCCTATCGTGTCTGTCTCTCGTCACGCGGTTTATCAAACTGTCGGGAAATTACACTTCCGTGGGTCATGGGCTCCACTTAGAGATGTTAATCATCCTCTCAGCCTCTCTGTGTGGTCACATTTCACTGACCAAACACTCTGACACAAGGCTATTTATAAATATCAGGGGCTTCTATTTTTACTGCAAAGTCACATCGCAATATATAACACGAGCCAAAGAAAACAATGTGCATGATCTGTCGGGGGGCCGTGACTGAGTGTGGTTGAGTGTGGAGTGTGTGCTTAAGTCTGGTGGAGCTTGGTTGATGGTATTTGAGTTAAGGTTAATTGTGTTTCATTTTGGTTGAGCATGTACGAGTGTTGCTATGCGTGGTGAGGTGTGGGTGATTGTGGTTACGCGGTAGCTTGTAGCTCACTGTGGCTGAGCATGACACTGCTGAGCGCCCTGGCCGTGGTCGATGGTGGATGGTGGTTGATGGTGTTTGATGGTGGATGATGGTGATGGTGGATGATGGTGGATGACGGTGTGTGATGGTAGTTGGTGGATGAGGGTGGATGATGGTGGATGATGGTGTGATGGTAGTTGGTGGATGATGGTGGATGATGTTGGATGATGGTGTGTGATGGTAGTTGGTGGTTGATGACGGTGGTAGATGGTGGTTGAGTGTTGGCGCCGTGTGCCTGCAGCCATCCCGCTGCTCAGCGAGCTGGCCGTGGAGCTCATGGAGAAGGGCCGCGTGCGCTTCTGGCTGCAGGCCGAGCGCCTGGGGCCCGACAGCACCGTGACCGTCGTCTTCAACGACAAGGAGCTGTCCAGCGGGGAGGTGCTGATTCGCCATCCCCACCACAACCACCACCGGTTCAGTTAGTGTGAACAACTGGGGTGGGCAATTAATTATTATTCAGTTGAACTCCATCCCTGTCCGTTCTTACGCGCGCACAATATGGTGACACCCTCTTATTGTGCCGCTTTGTTTTGGAAATGTGGGCGTCGCCCTTTAACAAGGGGCGACTCGGGGCCGATGATCTCCCTCGTCCAATCACGGGGCGCGCTGCCGTCGCTGTCGTGGCCGGCACGCTGGTGGCCCTGGCCGCTTCTCGTGCTTCTGTCCCCACAGTGGCTACGCCACAGTTAGTCGAGCACGGTGGGGTAGAGTGTGGGCACTCAGACCACTTCCAAAGATGTCTGGCCAGCTAGGCCAAGTACCCTCGAGTGGGGATGTCTAGATCTTGCCTCAAATGGAGGCAGATTCTGCCAGCAGTGACGTGAGCGAGCAATTGCAGCGCTGCACATTTGCCTATTAATCTGAGACCAGCGCCCTGGGGCCACATGGCAAAGCTGCCGACACAAAGTGGAGCTTCCGCGCCTCCCGTCCTCTCCCTTCCTCGCCCCCCCTCCCCCTCTGGCTCGCGCCCCCACACCACCACGCCGCGCGGGCGAGGTAGAAGTACGACGTGAAGGTGACGCGCTCGGAGGGCCTGGTGGAGATGTTCATGGAGGAGCTGACGCAGGAGGACGAGGGGACCTACACAGTGCAGATAGAGGACGGCCGAGCGTCGGGGCAGTCCAGCCTGGTGCTCATCGGAGACGGTGACGCTCGCGTGACACTTGTGTGGCACGCATCGCACCGGCACATGCGTGACGGGTGACACCGGCGCACCATGCCACTCATACCCCGGTCACTCTTGAAAATGAGGCATGAATCCTGGTCCCTCGCGTTCTCACGCGGCTGCACAAATTCAACTTGACGCGCGTTGGCGAGCGCGTCGCGAGCTCGCGCGGCAGCGGCGTCGCGTGCCCGGCACGGGCCCCGGTGCGGGGAATGACCTCGCTCGCCCCTCTCCAACGTCCCCCTCTGGGCAACTCGGTGCCTGGGCCCCTCCGACATGTGGGCCCTGGTGCAGCTGCTCCGCCCGCACGGCCCGCTCGCTAACACCACTGACCAACCACACGCACGCGTTGGACATCGCGACGTGACAGACGAGACGCGCGCACACGACGCGCGCGCCGCACATGACGTGTGCGGCACCAAAGCAAGGCCGCACGCACTCACAAGGCACGCGTGCACAAGGGTCACACGCGCCATACACATCCAAATACAAACGACATCAGTAACCGCACAGCACATATATAGCACACGTACAAAAGACGAAGATGAAAGATCCCCCGTATAGCTCTTTGGTTCTTTCGGTAAAGTAACGTAGAAATAAATTAAATTAAATCATAATAAAATACGACGTTTCGATTGCAACACAAGCAACCATCATCAGGTACAAATGAATGAGTAAACAAACAGAGTAAACTTGGAAATATAATGCAATACAACACAGAGAGTCGGCCAACACAACAGTCAACACCCCACCTGGTTGATTACGTTCTTCCAAAGATTGCTAAATTTGAGAGAGAGACAAAACATAGACACGGAGACGCAGACAGACACACAAGCAGAGACACACTCACACAGAGACAAACAGAGAGAGAGACACACATAGGCACACCCGTATAGCCTTTAACAGGCTGTTGGAGCAAGTGCTGTTAGCAAACACCTTTGAAAGCGTGGGTAGCCAACACCATGCCCGACCACCTTTGTCTCCCCAATGCTGAGTTGACCTAGGGCAGATCCAGGCCCGGTTCAAATGATCATCACTGGTGTTGAGCGTGAGCGGAAATCGAACTCGGGATTCTGGTCTCGTAGAACAACACGCTAACCACTACATGACCGCTCCCCATGCACACACAAAATAACTCAAAATAAGTCACCACATGAACACGCACGCACACACCACATACACACACGAGACACATACCACACTCGTAATATAGAAATACAAAGAGACACACATCTCAAAACCAGTCGTATATCACTGCAATATATCAAATAAAAAGCAGCATTGCGTGCGGACACACGGTGCTATGAAATAACTCCTCGTCTCTCTCCTCGCCCAGCGTTCGCCAAGCTGCTGAAGGAGGCGGCGTTCCAGAGAGCGGAATATTTCAGGAAACAAGGTTCGTGCGTGCACGGCAGCCAGACAGCCGAGCTGCGCCCCAACGGCTCCCCCCTTCACCTCCCATTCCGCGGGGGGCCCGGGGGCTGCTCCCTCCCTCCCTCCCCTCGCGCCGCGCACCGGATTTCCGAAGCCCGCGGGGAGGACGACCGTCGGTCGCATCAGCCGCTCGTGCTCACCGCTTGAATTAAAACGCGGCTCCCGCCAGCGAGCACGCCGCCTCGTTAGCGCCGCGCGGTGCAGCGCGGGTCGAGCGGCGGTCCGACGCCGGTGATCTTTGCGGTTCGCACGAGCTTCGAGATTTTAATCCAGAGGGATCGATTAATCGAACTCGCGATGACAGGTGACGGACGACACCGTGACATGGCCAGCTCTCATTTTAGAGATTATTTCCAGCAGCAGCAACCTCATGAGACCACGCCCACACGTGAATGGTTGCTTTCGAAATTAAGACTCTTTTCCAGGAGGGTCCTGCATTGGAATGTTTGTGCGGTGATTTTAGAGCGATATTGTCCTTGTTAGTCGTGTAATATGTGAAACATTTATGCCTTTTGTGGCAGAGTTTCGAGGTTCGCACCCCGTGGCCACCCTGGTTAATACTGCGGCTGCATTCACCATAAAATACTTCGTGCCGTCTGCTTCACATTGGACGTTAACGATCCTGTGACACCATACGAAGAAGAGTAGGCCATTGTGTGCCGGCATCATGGTACAAATGTTCCAACTAAAAAAATGTACCTGCAACGTATTCGTTTGGGAACACGCAGGGAAACATGGCCCCCTACTACGTGACACAGCATTGCGCTGTAACAGCGACTCGATCGCCACGTGTCCTTGTGATTTGACAACAGCTTCTATTCAGAGCATTTGTTCAGCCCGAGTGAAAAGTCGCGGTCGCGTTTGTGCGTTGTGTTTGACGCACGCAGGGCCACACTTTGCCGAATACCTGAGATGGGAAGTCACAGACGAATGCAACGTCCTGCTTATCTGCAAGGTAAAGAGCGTCGACATTAACGATGTTTATCATTTACAATGTTTACCACAGACATGGGAACTGTGACCTTTCTCAATTCGAGATTGCGCCCATCTCTTCACCGCTATATGCAACCTCTCGATCGGCATCCAGCGTTTTGAAACGCGATGTGCACCGCTGGTTTCTCTGCGTGCGCGCAAAATCGCACGACGAGGAACTCCCTTGGCAAGGCGATAGTTCAGCTGATTTCTAGTTCTAAGCAGTCTCTGCGTGATTTAGAAGAAACTCGAATACCTTTTTTTTTTCAAAAGTAGTTCACGCACTGCATATAATAGTTAGTGTGTCTATAGCGAGATCACCCCGAATTGCCCCCACCTCCTCAGGTGTGCGAAGCCAAGCAGGTTTGAGCCTGGATAGCGCTTGGATGGGCGATCACCGAGCACAAAAACGTGCTCGTGTGTGTGTGTGCGTTCGTGTGTGGGTGAATGTGTGTGAGTGTTCGTGTGTGTGTGTTCGTGCGTGCGAGCGGTCGTGCGTATAATGGGCGTCAGTGCACACGTGTGTGTGTGTGTGTGTCAGTGCACACGTGTGTGTATGAGTGTCAGTGCACACGTGTGTGTGTGAGTGTCAGTGCACACGTGTGTGTGTGAGTGTCAGTGCACACGTGTGTGTGTGTGAGTGTCAGTGGACACATGTGTGTGTCAGTGGACACGTGTGCGTGTGAGTGTCAGTGCACACGTGTGTGTGTGAGTGTCAGTGCACACGTGTGTGTGTGAGTGTCAGTGCACACGTGTGTGTGTGTGAGTGTCAGTGGACACATGTGTGTGTCAGTGGACACGTGTGCGTGTGAGTGTCAGTGCACACGTGTGTGTGTGTGTCGGTGCACACGTGTGTGTGTGTGTGTGAGTGGACACGTCTGTGAGTGTCAGTGCACACGTGTGTGTGTGTGTGAGTGTCAGTGCACACGTGTGAGTGTGTGTGTGTGAGTGGACACGTGTGCGTCTGCTCCACACCCGAGTCGTTGTCGTCGACGTGTGACTGACAGGTGGCGAACATCAACAAGATGACGAGCATCGTCTGGTACAAGGACGCGCAGGAGATCATGGTGGACGAGGATCATGACTTTGACCATGGGATCTGCACGCTGCTCATCACGCAGGTGAACCGCAGGGCAGCACAAAGACAAAGATCCCCCGGGTAGCCTTACAGACTTTAGGAGCAAGTGTTATTAGCGTGCACGTGCTAAGGCCGACACGACACTTAGAGCGCGCGGTGTCGCCAGCATCGCACGTGGCCGCCTTTGTCTCACCAGTGCCGATGTTCAGACATCACGAAGCCATCACAGGTTGTCAGCTGATCTTGCCAGACACCCACTAATTGCCCTTCTTCCTCTGCATCCTCCTCCCCAATCCCTTGCCCAAATCTCTCTCTATTCTCTATTCCTCCGTCATGGCCGGGCAGTACAGCGGGTCATGTTTTACTTGTGGGCTAACCCTAATTATTTCTGCACGTGTCGTGGGTTCAGTGCTGTTACTCAAGAGCACCAATGTAACATTAACTCAAAAGGTTGTCACTTGATTGAGGGCAGCCCGGTGGTAAATCCTGATGGCCCTTGCCACTGAGGCACGGCCGCGAATCAAACCCATTTGTCAGGGATCGTGATGCAGAACGCACACACACACGTGCGCCACCGCTCCCCACACACACACACAAGACAAAGATCTCCCGTATAGCCTTAAGATACTGTAGGAGCAAGTGGTGTTAGCGAGTACCTTTGAAGGCCGGCATGGCAGACGAGGGGGTGACCAACACCACGCCCGGCCGCCTTTGTGTCCCCAGAGGCGATGTTTACACACCGCACCAGGTTCTCATTTGAGGCTGAGTCGACCTAAGAGAAACCCAGGACCGATTGAAATAATAATCACTTGGTGTTGGCCGTGAGCTGGAATCAAACTCGAGTCGCTGGGTTCACAGCGCAGCACTAGCCGCTACACTACCGCTCCTCCCCACACACACAGACAAAGACACACACACACACACTTTCTTGGTCAGTCAGTCCCTTGCGATTGTACAGAGCCAAGGTAGGGAACTCACATCCTGTGGTTGTGTTAGATACAGCTCACGGCTACGGGAGGGCTATATACACGGCCTGCAAACGACAGTCATCCTTCACTCGAGCACCTCAGCTGGAGGGGAATAGTTTTTGACTTTGGGAACAGTGTTTTTTACCATCTTAAGTTATAAAAAATATTATTTTACACATCCCATCAGCCGCACGACCTTCTGGGAGTGTTATTTTTTCAGCACCATTATTTTAACACGTAGGCTTTCGCGACCAATATTATTCATAATAAAGGTTTTGGGTTAGATCGCGTCATTTATAAATGTGTCGTAACCCTCCACCACCCGACACGGCCAATCAGCAAAAAAGTGTCACGTTGACAAAAGACAATTAGTTAACTACTTTAGCCCACCGGTGTGTTGAAGAGTGAATCCACAACATTTACAGTTTGAATACGACGTCTCGCTGGTAATTACATCCAGGATCATCGGGCGAATTGCCCGATGATCAACACACCGGTGGGCTAAAGTAGTTAACTAATTGTCTTTTGTCAACGTGACACTTTTTTTTGCTGATTGGCCGTGTCGGGTGGTGGAGGGTTACGACACATTTATAAATAACGCGATCTAACCCAAAAACCTTTATTATGGACCATTATTTTATTATAAGCAAACTCTGGAGCGGTTCCGACATTCGGTGGCTCATCATCAGAGTCAGGCTTTGTTAAACCAACGCTGGTGAACTTCCGCATGTGCTCCGGCGGGGACTCTTGCAGTGCGCAAAGTGCCGAGGCTCTCCGGCCCTCGACAAGGAGGCGTTTTCCGCCCCTGGTACGGAGACTCCGTAACGGCACAGACAGCCGGCCGGCTCCTCTATCGGGCACGAGACGGATGTGACTCGGCATTGTGACGTGTCGCCCGTGCAGGTGACCAAGAGGGATGCAGGGGTCTACGAAGTGCGCTTGAAGGATGACCGAGGGAAGGACATCAGCATTCTGAGACTCATAGACGATGGTTTGTTTTCTCTCTCTCTCACTCACTCCCCTCATCCGACCCTATTTGGAAACCAAGCTGACCTGTTATGCGCTGCGCACCGCGCGCTATAAATAGAAGACGCTGGGTCGCGGCTGTTTTGTTTGAGCAAATCCCGTTTTTAAATCAGGCGCTCCCACGATGTACGTATTGTATGTTGAACGTCTTTCGCACCGTACGTAATAATCCGAGGTACGGGGGAAGGACAACATTTTAGACAATGGGAGCTCGCACACGTGCTGGTGAAACGCGGCGCGATGAGAGGAACGCGGAGAGAATGACGATCGGGATCCGTGTCCTCTTCCCTTCCTTCTGTCTGTCTGTACGTGGACAGCTTACGATGCGATGATGCAAGAGGTGTGCAGGATTAGTGGTGAGTAATACGCTGCCGGCCTGAACGCAATTCCGACTTGAAAACTGTTTCATGAACGCATGATATGGCAAACAGAGAACCGCTATCAACCATCATCTTCTATGCACAGCCCATGATGCCAGTGATAATGATTGAATGAGATCTGCATTTTGTTTATTGGCAATAACGAATTATTTCATCTTTTGCCGATGACTAGACCTAACACACTTGAAATCAAAAGCATCAGTGATTGTCTGTTCAAACGAGCACTGAGGCTGTGCTCATCTTCCATTTCCTGCCCTGATCCATTGGTGGAAATTCCACATTCCTATGGTGGGGGCGATTCTATCCATAAGACAACCACTGTTGACTTCCCCAGAAGTGACCCCGGAGTGACAACGGGCCGAGTCAGCCCCTGAGCAGAGTTTGACCTCGCGACCTTCCGATTGCGAGCCGCTCACGCTGATTGGCCCCATTACAATTGGCCCAAACATTCCCCTGATGTCGTGAAACTTCGTTGCTATAACTTTTTTTTAAAAAAGACACAAACCAGGCGGTGTTTTATTGTTCGTGATGGGTCATTTGTCGGTGGCCAGACAGCCATCGATTCTTTGTATATATGAGCAGTAACCGATTACCCTAGCTGATGACCCTTGCTGATGACCCTTGCCGATGACCCGAGCCGATGACCCAAGCCAATGACCCTTGCCAATGACCCATGACGCTAGCCGATGACCCTATCCGACGATGTCCGGTGGCGGTGGTAGCACTGAGCGTGTCGTGTCGGGGTGCCCCCCAGCCGAGTCGGCGTCCGAGCTGAAGCTGCAGGCCACGGCCGAGGGCATCAAACTCTACTCGGTGCTCAAGTACTGTCCCGAGGAGCTCAAGTTCTGCTGGTACCAGAGGTGAGCGTCCCCCGCGTGCTTCCACCCCCAGCTACAGCGCAGACTCCGGGGGGAGCGCGAATCCACGCCGGCTTTTGCACGCAACCGGTTTCGCCGTCCCACGTGGTATCTCCGCTGCGTTCTCGGGTTGCACCTCCGCGCGTCATCCGGCGCGATGTCAGACGATTCGCTCCACGTGCCTGGAGCCTTGTTCGGGGACTGAATTCCGTGCACTTGAAGGCGAGGCGGCAGCTCGGGGCAGGGGGCGCGGGGCGTCCGCACTGCCCAGGGGCGCCCCCTGCTGGGCCACCGCCACTCGAGCGCCACGCCCCCCCCTCTCCCCCCCTTGCAGCCCCCCCCCCCCTTACAGCCCCCCCCCCCCCCGCCCTTGCAGCCCCCCTCACTGCACTATAAACGAAACTGTTTTTATTTGACTAGGCAAGGACCCACTAAGCTATGTAGCTCGTTTTTAGAAGCGACCTCGCCATCACAAATGAAAGCTCAACGAAGCGGTTTATCAGAGTTTGCTGTCCTCCCCCGTGCCACCGATTAGCACTGTTGGTTACGTAAGTTGCAAAAGAAGTTCAACATACATTGATACATCATGTGCAAATTAACAGCAGCCAAATACTCTAAACGCATGTTTTCTAAATGTCGATCCGAATCAACCGTCTAGTGCTGTCGCACGGCTACAGCACCCAAACATCGGCTTGTAACGTTTGTTGCTGTTCCAAAATTCAGCGTCACACCGCTGCAACGCGCCAATACTCACTGAAAAGTGACGTCTTCCTTTAGCGCTGCTCCACGACACAGAGTGGTGCACCGCTTTCTGCAAGAGGTCCGAGGGGGCCGCTGTAGCCTCGCGACGACGCGAATCGCGACGGAACGGGTTGGATTAGGGGAGAGGGAGCAACGATAAATATCTCTCGCGAAGAAGCCCCCGGCACGTGGTCTTAAACGTTGGACATCGCCCCGAACGACACGCGGCACGAGCCGAGAACGCTTCCTCGAGCCGCGCGCCGACCGTCGCGTTCGCGGGACCCCTGTGCCGCACGCAGAGACACGAAGCTGGCGTCGACGGACAAGACGCGCAGCGGCGTGGTGAGCGACCAGCTCTACGTGCAGATCTACGAGCCGACCGACAAGGACAAGGGCAAGTACACGATGGAGCTGTTCGACGGCAAGGGCACGCACAAGCGCACCGTGGACGTGGCCGGGCAAGGTGAGTCGCCTCGTGTCCCACCGAGACCTCGTGGCTCGTCGCTCCACAGCCCCAGCCTCAACGAGAAGAGCCTCTCGGCTTCTTGCCTCTCACTCCGAACCCCGCGCGTGCCCTCGGCAACTGTTTTGCACTGCGACACGCGTCGTGGTTACCCCCCCCCCCCGACTTGTGTGGCCACCTGCACGGTGACCCTCGCCGTGTAGCCCGCACGGTGTAACGCGTGCCTCGTGTCTGTCCGCAGCGTTCGACGACGCCTACGCCGAGTTCCTGAGGCTGAAGTAAGTCGCGGCGCCACGGATTCGCGATGGGCTGCGCGCGATACCCCCCCCCCCCCCTCCCCCCCCCCCGTGGTGGCCACGCGGGGCCACCGTCGCCTGTTCCCCAGCCCTCTGTAGAGCATCGGTGCCGTGCACTGCACGCAACGCGGCCTGCCTCAGAGCAGCAAAGCAGAGCGTGTTTGCTCTCGATATGATCGACGTGCATCTACGCGGACAGCGCGTTCGACGAGCCACTGCCGGGTGACAGCCTCCCCATGGCGTCCAGGTAGTGGGGGTGATTTGACCATACTTCACCAGCCCTGGCCAGTGCGGTGGGGAGGGTGCAGAACAACAGTGGGATGTTGCTGCACTACACTCTCGTGCCCACACCGCATACTGCACAGGTCCCGCACGTCCAAGCGACACGCGGCTCAAACCACAGCGAAATCGAACAGCGACACAGAGGTGTGCGGCATTGCATGTACAGAAGCTCTCGGCCTTGTCCAGACCACCCGCTCAACAAGAACTGAACGCGGGGCCATTTCGCCATCTCGACCACCGACTCTAAGGGTTGAGAACAACAGGCAGCAGTGGGGCCAAGTCGGGGACCCCCACACGCGTCGAGGGCTCGCAACGTCACCCTGTGGGGGGACCCACGGGCCACCGTGAAGGGAACAAATTATTACAATAATACAATAATTACAATAATAATTACAATAATACAATAAAAATTACAATAATACAATAATAATTACATTAATACAATAATAATTACAATAATACAGTAATAATTACAATGATACAATAATAATTACAATAATACAATAATAATTACAAAGATAAAATAATAATTACACAACTACAATAATAATTACAATACTACAAGTGTCGTGTGTGTGTGTCATGTGTGTGTGTCGTGTGTGTTTTCGTGTGTGTGTGTGTGTGTGTCGTGTGTGTTTTCGTGTGTGTGTCATGTGTGTGTCGTGTGTGTGTCGTGTGTGTGTGTCGTGTATGTCGTGTGTGTGTGTCGTGTGTGTGTGTCGTGTGTGTGTGCCGTGTCGTGTGTGGCGTGTGTGTGTGTCGTGTGCAGTGTGTGTGGTGTGTGTGTGGTGTGTTTGTCGTGTGTGTCGTGTGTGTGTGTCGTGTGTGTGTGGTGTGTGTGTCGTGTGTGTTGTGTGTGTGCAATGCATTTGTGAACATTGCGGTTGTGTGACATTATTCTTTCTCTTGCTGTTTCTCACAGAGCGGCTGCTATCGCAGAGAAGAGTACGTATCCAACAGATGCCGCTCACAAACTAAAACAACACTTTGCCTTCTCTTTTCATCACAGCGCACACGAGCAACGCCAAGCGCTTTATTTGCTGAGAGTTGCACGGCTTAAACATTCACGGCGCGTTCCTCCCATACAGACCGCGCCAGGGTGGTTGGTGGGCTGCCAGACGTGGTGACGATCCAGGAGGGAAAGGTGGGACCTCTACTTTCTCCTGATCATCACGAGCTTGCTCATTAATATTGATTTGAAGCTTTCGTGACTGCAGGAATCCATACTCTTTGGTCTTTTCGATAAAGTCACGTAGATATAAAATAAGACTATTGTGTCTGCCTCAGCAGCAGACCACGCTTTCTCACCTGATGACGGACGCTTGTGTTGCGCCCGAAACGTCGTGATATATTTTATACCTACGTGACTTCACCGAAAGAACCAAAGAGTATAGCTTGCTCATTCATTCATTCCCAGCGTTGACAGGGTCGCACCGGGCAATATACGTCGAGTAACACGGCGCGCGTGCGAGTGAGTCTGCGTGCAACTCGACGAGTGTATCGTCGTCCTGCGCTCGCTCGCTCGCTCGCACGTCGAGGCGTCACCGTGCGCACACCGCGAACTTCGCTGCGAACCCGGCGACCCGAGCCCGAGTCGCACTCCGCGGTGGCAAATCTGCGGACCGGTTGAGGCTGGGCCTCCTCTAGGTCGACTCGGCCTTTAAACGAGCGCCCGGCGCGGGCGCCTCCCCGTCGCGTTTGCTCCCCCGCCCTCCGCAGACCCTCAACCTGACGTGCGACCTATGGGGCGAGCCCACGCCCGAGGTCGCGTGGCTGCGCAACGACCGCGAGCTGCACAGCGACGAGCACTTCGTCACCAAGTTCGAGTCGGGCCGCTACGCCAGCTTCACCATCAACGGCGTGAGCACGGCCGACTCGGGCAAGTACAGCGTCTACGTGAAGAACAAGTACGGCGCCGAGAACGGCGACTTCACCGTGAGTGTCTACCGGCCCGAGGACGCGGAGGGCGACGAGGGCGGTCCCGCCGCGCTGGTCGCCGCCGCCACCAAGGAGGCCAAGAAGGCCGCCAGGAGGCAGTGACGGCGCTCGCCGCGTCGCTTCGTCGACGGCGGCTGAACGCGCGCGGTCGCCACGGGCGGCAGCCCCCCCCGCCCCCCCCCCCCCCCCCCCCCACGGCCCCCACCGCGTGCCACCCTTCACTCGCTCGCCGCTCGCTGGCAGTGCACGCTTCACCTCGGTCTGGGACGCCGCTCCACCTCGACTTTGCTGACTTGGCGATAGGGCGTTGTGATGTTCGTCGACCTGTCCCTGGGGTTAGAGGACTGCAGGGTACAATAACGTAGGGTCATTGCTGGTGAGGCGTGCCTTGCACCGTCGCCCCACCACGGGGCCAGCCACACTCACAGCATGCACCACACCCACAGCATGCACCACACCCACAGCATGCACCACACTCACAGCATGCACCACACCCACAGCATGCACCAAACTCACAGCATGCACCACACTCACAGCATGCACCACACTCACAGCATGCACCACACTCACAGCATGCACCACACTCACAGCATGCACCACTCCCACCCAAAGACACAATTATGGCCCTTTCACTGTCTGCACCGTTGGCAGTTTTCACCTTTGGAGTGTTTAATATTGCTTAAGACTGAAAAATGGACGGCACGACTAGTGGAGGTGTTGGCGTTGAGAATGTGTCCGGGAAGGGATGAGGGATGAGGGAGGAATGAGGGAGGCATGAGTGAAGAGGAAGGGATGAGGAAGGGTTGTCGGTCACGGAGAGAGAAGGCCGGAGAGAAGACCCGTGTGAGGCTGGGTGCGAGGCTTGTGACGGCCCCTGCAAGTGATATTGTTTGTGATGGGAGTAATTCTTATACATTTTAAAAAGATTGGAGTTTACTTTGTGATTAAATGGTGGGTACATTTTAGTGAAGATCCACGACTACCCGCAGGATATTTTAAAACCAAACAAATGCGTACACACGCGCTGTTAGCATTGCAATAAGTGCATGTGAAATGAGACCAGACACCATGCAAGGGTAATAGTCAAACGGCAAGTCTGCGCATTGGACAACATTCACATTTGCCAGTGGGCCACAGTCATTAGTCGATATTCAACATGCATATCCATAGGATAACCACTACCCACTTCGCGCAAAGTAGTACCCATTGTATCGATTCTGGAGAGATGATGGTTGGCCTAAGGAAGCTAAGGCCGCGGTAACAATCTGGCCTTTTCCCATGGGTAGATGCTGCATGCAATGTCACGATGCGAACTGTCCTTGGCATACGATAACTACCGTGATCTTGTCCAAAAAACGATTCTAGAGAGGACAGATTCACATAAAGAGCACCGTGCATCTAATCACGACCGAACTCTACATTGAGGTCCCACAGACCCAGTACGTACGACCGGAGTGTGTTTGTCAATTCCTCAGTCTCGACGAGCCGTGTATGAAAACAGTCTACAGTGTTCCGATAACTCTTGCCACCGATGTAGCGTGTGCCCTCTGCCTTGACGCCGGTAATAAACACATCACAAACTAACCCCCACGCTATCCTCACTCGCGCCTCGTCTTTGCACGCCACTCCCAGCGGCCCACAGCTCACAGCGCCGTCTGCAAGCTACCAAACGTCGGGAGGGCTCGAAGCGCTCAGCTGCCAGCCGCTCCCTGTCTCTTATTAGCTCCGCCCAGTTGTGCATGACCACACCCGATTCAAGAGCCGAATGGCTCACAGGGCTATACCAAATAAATAAACTATGAAACTATGAACTATGAACTACTAGCCCGCACACACACACTCAGTGAGAGGCCTTCGTGAGTGGCCACACACTCAGTGAGAGGCCTTCGTGAGTGGTCACACACTCAGTGAGAGGCCTTCGTGAGTAGCCACACACTCAGTGAGAGGCCTTCGTGAGTAGCCACACGCTCAGTGAGAGGCCTTCGTGAGTAGCCACACACTCAGTGAGAGGCCTTCGTGAGTAGCCACACACTCAGTGAGAGGCCTTCGTGAGTAGCCACACACTCAGTGAGAGGTCTTCGTGAGTGGCCACACACTCAGTGAGAGGCCTTCGTGAGTGGTCACACAATCAGTGAGTGTCCTTCGTGAGTGGCCACACACACACACAGTGAGAGGTCTCCGTGTGTGGCCACACACTCAGTGAGTGGCCTCCGTGAGTGGCCACACACTCAGTGAGTGGCCTCCGTGAGTGGCCGCACACTTAATGAGTGGCCACACACTCAGTGAGTGGCCTCCGTGAGTGGCCACACACTTAGTGAGTGGCCTCCGTGAGTGGCCACACACTTAGTGAGTGGCCTCCGTGAGTGGCGACACAGTGAGTGGCCTCCGGCTCTTCATCACGTTGGCCCAACCAACTTCTCAGATGGCCCCACCTTTTGTGGCCAGTTTCGCGGGTCGACAATGAGGCCAGAAAGTTTTTCTAACCGCAACAGAATGCTGAATGTAGCGAATGCTTTACAGGGACACAGTCTCAATGCCCCCACTGCGACCTTCCCAGCCACAGCCAGTCCGTTTGGTAGCTGGACAACTCTCGCGTCCCACCGCCGTTAAACCGGTGGTGACCCAAGGGTCACTGCTGCATTAACAGACGGGCGGACGTTCGAGGGGTCTCAGATTCATTCAGACACACGCGCGCGCACTCTCTACGCCGGGCTACCACGGTGTGTGTGTGTGGTGTGCGAGACTCGAACGATCGGCACGCGTCTCGATTTCACCCCCGGACCACGAAGCGCGTGCCACCCACAAAGCACGCGCACCGCTGCTAACACCACCGCCTCGCCGGGCCGCGAGGCGTCCCCGCCTGCATGGAGCACTGCGGGCGCGGGGGAGGAGGAAGAGGATGTCCCTAGGCACCTAAGCGTCACTGCCACTGTCAGCAGGCTCGCGTGAGTAGTCGCTGTTTGATCCTTCACACACCCGGCGAGGTTGATCACCGTCACTCCGAGATGCGTTGCGTATTCCACAGCTACTAATTGAACGCACCCTGCACGCAGCACGATTTGCATCAGCAATGTAATAATTGTATGTTGAGACCAGAAATTAATTCCATTGTCCTACCTGCAAAAAAACTGCCGAGTGCACAGGAGAGTGAAATTACCTCTTTGTTGGCAGCCCTGATGCCCTGAGCCAATGGTGGCAATTACACGTTCCTACGATGCCACACAAACTCATGCATTGTTGTGGAGCATTGCGCGTAAAATCAAATATAAGCATAACTCTGGTTTGCGTGTCCACGTTTACATAAAATGTACTTATAATCCATCAGCCCATTGGCTTTGCTGGCCAATATTTTGAAGCAGAATTTGTTATGAAGCGAGAACACGTGTTTGCAACGTTCTGTGGTCTCATCAGCAGCCCGATTGATATACACATTCTGCTGGGTGTCCAGCTATTATTTGCGAGGGCACTCTATCTAAACTATTGGGCCCTACTCTTTGGTTCTATTGGGTAAAGTCACGTAGGTGAAAATAAAATAACAAAAAATCACGACGTTTCGGCCACAACACAAGCGGCCTTCATTAGGTGAAGGGACGAGACTATCTGGAGGACAGCGCTGGAGTGGGAGAAGCCACGCTTAGATCACGACCTTTAAGCTGTGTTATTTTATTTTCACCTACGTGACTTTACCCAATAGAACCAAAGAGTATGGATCCTAGCAGTCACGAAAGCTTTAAATCTAGTATTGGGCCCTATTCAACGAACAATCAGTATTGTATTTATTAAAGTAGACACCCTTTGAACCCGGATAATCCGTGGCCCAAAGCGCAGTTTTTGACGCAACTGCAGTGGCTTGCAGTGCTCAATTTGTCGGACAGAGGGCAACACCACACCACAGCGCGTTCAGGGCCATCATGTCTGCAGCCAACGCAACTGCCTGTGATTACCACTGGAGGGTGTGAATGGTTCCATGATTGGTTTGATCGGCTGTGATGCCAAAGATGTTCAAGTATACGGGACTAATTGCAAATCACAGCGGGTTGCTATTACTCAATTTGCCGTGTGTGATCAGCCCTCCGTTACGATCACTTTCATTTAGATATTGTAAACGTTCCTAACGAGTAAAACAACGATGCTCGACATGCTCAGGCAAGATATTGCTGTGGGAATTGACACTGAGAACCTGGCTTCGAATGCGGGTATCAGATGCCTGTGATTATGTCAGGTTTTCAGGTTTAGCGAGCTGATTTGTTCAGCGCGGTCACCAATGATTGCACACAATACGGAGAGACAACGTTCATCATGCATGGTCGATTCAATTGTGAGGGGGAAGGGGGTGATCGTGGCGTAGTAGTTAGAGGACTGCGCCATGAACCTGGGCCACCCGAAATCGATTGCCAGCCATGGCTAAAACATTAACTTTCTGAGCATTACGTTAACTCTGACACCTCGATTAATCAGTTAATGTGAGACCGGATCCCTCGTATCAAAGTAATCCGACACTGTCGACTGCCATGTGGTGTCCCGCGTGGTGGAGGTGGTGGTGGCTCGGGCCGTGGGTGAAATCCGCATGGCCATGTGCGTCTCGGAGGTGTCTCATCCGGCCCCGGGGCCACAGCCGGAGGAGCCGGAGACTCGACCCAAGTACCAAGGTGACGACGCCACTCACGGAGGCCCCGTGACAACGTCGATGTGCGACACTGTGATGTGCTGCTCTGCTGCGTTGTGATGGACGTCTGCCTTTGCAGTGCAATCAGACCACGGTCATGCACGCGGCCGTGCACGCGGTCATGCGGCCGTGCGAGCGTGCACAGGCGCCACATGCGGGATGCGGGCGGCCTTGCGATGTTTCCACAGACTTGCAGTCTTGCAAGGAACCAATCGGAAGAGAACGGTGGTGCAGGCGTTAATGCACTGCGCTACGAACCCGGTGACCTGAGTTCGATTCCACGACCACGGCTAACATCAGTGGCGATTGATGTCTGAACTGGCCCTTGCATTCGCCCCACCGCCCTGACCCCTTAACCATCCTGCACGAACCAGCATGGGGAAGTATGGTTGAACACCCCCATGATTGACCCCGCATGGGGAAGCCATACAGAATGGATTGACAAAACGGCCGTCGCAATGGACCCTTTAAGGCCGTCCTATACAGCATGATACTGCAGTTATTGAAGTCAAAGCGGCTCGCTGAGTACAAATGCCTTGGGTGGGTATGCATGGGGGCCCTTGAACAATTGTGACGACTTTACATCACTATGGCAGGGATCAGTCTGTCCACCGTTTTTGTATTCTGACAAAATTGGTATGTATTTTAGCGACCTGAAAAAAGTGATGGGTTCGATCCAAGGCCACAGTCAATCGGCAGGCAGGTTATGTATGGTGGGGTAAAGTGTGGGTACTGCCTTAATGTCTGGCCAACGTTGAAGAGTTGGCTAAATGCCCTCCAGAGTGGCTCTCCAAAGCTCTCTCTCGTGGAGGCCCTTTTTTTCCAGCAGTCGCGTGAGCAAGCAATTGCAGCGCTGCGCCACTACCTTTTTCCTCGAGTGAAGGAGATGCATTCGTGGCCTGATGCACCCTCATCAAAGACGAGCTGCTGCTGAAGCACACATGTCACGTGGGGCCGTGCCCATATTACCAGGGCGTGGGAAAACCCTGCCACCTCTTGCGCATTGTGAAGTGTCCTTCGTTCTCTGCATGAGCCTAGGTTATTACTCGGCGTGGCAACCTTGCCACGAGGTGGATAAGAGATGGCAGTAACGCAATAGATTATTAAATCTATCTGCGCGTGGCTTTATTTGCATGATGGGTTTTCTCCAGTACCTTTGCTTTCCTCCCCACATCAAGCCAAACATTCGTGACTAAAAATGGCCAAACATCACAATGCAGAAACGTCCTGAAATAAGTCTTGAGCATCGGTGAGGTGTTCTTGATTAAATAAAGGGCACTCGTTATTTACATTCGCATTCCTCCTTCGGTGCATGGATTGAGCAAACGTTGCTCAGTCCGTGCTGGCTGCGGGGCCGCTGCTGACACCGCGGCCCTCTCCGTGCCTGTGGGATGGCTCCACATTCCTCCGCGTTATTTTCATGCTCCCGCAGCCACGAAGCCAAAGAGTGAAAAGGGGCCAAAAAAAACAACCGACGAGAAGAAGAAACCGCCCATCGATGTCAATAACGGCGATGACGGCGACGACGACGGCACGGAGAGGCGCACGGCTGAGGAATCGGACGTGAAGGGCGCTCAGCCGAGCGCCTGAACGCTGCCGGGTGAATCCAATCACTCAGCAGCGTCCACACCGCGCATGCAGTGAGTGGGCAACCTGGATAGCCCTGTGTGTGTGTGTGAACACACGCCTCTTCCTTACGACTTGCGACCGCGGCTTGTTCTTTTTTATGTAATGGCTTTACAAATGATGGAAACGCTCGATATCTTTGCAAAGGATCAGGCGGGAACTGTGTTTAAAGTGCTTGACCCACAATTGGAAGGGCATACGTTCAAGGCCATTTTGGGGGTTGGGCTTAGCCCGTTATTCTTCTGGGATTGGTAAGTTGAGTACCACTTTGTGCGATGTCAAGAATGGGTTTGGTATGAATGCATTGGCCACAATTATCGGAATGTGGAATTCCCACCACGGTGCTGCCAATGGAGATGGGTGCCGTTCCATTGCTCAGATGCACAAAGGAACTGCGATGGATATTTTGGTTAATTTGCTCGACCAACATTGGCATTCATGGAGCCATTGTTGTTCCAAACGAAATTGTCTCAAAGCCAGTGTTCTTCACTAATTTCCAGAGGGGGGCTACTTTCGCTGGTAAGACATCATCATTTTTAGGGCCGCCATACATTTGGAACCATTGGGGTTGACAGCACGACGGGCTGATGTTTTCACAGCTGTTGTGTATTTTCGAGGGTCGCACGTCAGGGGCCCCACTAAAGGCCAACCAGGGGCCGCCAGTAGCAAACACTGCTTTGAGCTACAGATTGTGGCAATGCATAACCACTGACAAAGTGTCAAACATCCGTCGCGCAGTGAGATGTTGCAAGTTTGGCCCGATGAGCACCCTGGCAAATGATGCCCTCCACTCCCAGACTGCAATTCCGCACCTTTGGTGACTCTGATGATGGAAATAACGTTGGGGAAATTAAGACTCTGTAATTCGTAAACGTGTTCCACTTTTACAAAATCTATTTGTTCTTTATTGCTGTGATAAATATTAGCGCGTGTGTAAAACCACGTCTCCGTGGAGACACCGGTCCTGAGACATCGTCACTACATGCTTAGACAGACCATTAAAACGCTACAAAAGTAACACAACTTTGTCCCAAAGCTACCCACGACCAGACAGCGGCCCGTCACTACCGTCACCAAAACATTGCACGCCGAATATCTACCACAAGTTTATTCCAAATTATCCATACGGGCGCTGATAACATCTATTTTGAAATGGGTGCTTGCCCTTAATACTTCTGGCAACGCTAAAAGTTACTGCGGGGTCCTGGCACCCGTCGAGCGGAGCAGAGCGCGCGAGTTCAGCCGCTGCATCCACGCAGCGATCCGGTGGCTCGCGACTTCTCAGCGATAGCTACGGCCGGTTCAGACCGGCAGGAACCAGCAGCACGTTTGAAGGGGGCCCGATAGCATCTCTGCAGACTTTGTGTGTGTGTATATGTCAGTCGTGGGGTTACTTCCATCTCACGGAAACACCACGGCTTACAGTCAAAACAGTGTCCACCCTCGCCATTGCTGGCCAATGGCTCTGCAGCAGTCGGCAGGCTCTGTAGTGCACGAGGCTGTTGGACGAGAACAGGGATGGGTCACCAAAATAACAAGAAGCACTATTTTTTCAAATTCGGTAAAAAAAATATTTTGAAGGGCCGCAATGCACGCGAATACGAGACGGACCCTAACAAATAAAAACGTTAGGGAGCAGTCCGTAAAGAGCCGCATGCGGCTCCGGAGACGCAGCTTGCCGACCCCTGGATGAGAGCACGGACAGAGGCTGTGGCTAGAGTCGTCCATGGAGCGGTGACCTTGTTTAAGGCGCACTCAGGGGAGCACGGCACAGCAGGCAGCGTTACACAAAGTTAAACAAATGTTTGGCGCTGAGCAGAATGAGCAACGATGCGATCTGCTTTTGTCTCTCGTGGATTCGAGTGTCGTGCTCACTCTCTGTGGACTCGAGCAACGGCTGCCGCGACGTCCATCGCTTCGTTGAACTCGTCCGTGCACTGCCAGCCACCGTTGAACAGACGACGTGACCAGACGACGTGAACAGACGAATGTAGCCAATGTACAAGGGCGTCTGAACATTCATTGGGGGAGTGGGGAAGAGAGCTGTCCAGATGCCGCTCGTGCTCCCCTCTCTCCGCTGGGTGCGTTTGTTGGGGGTCAGGGCCGATTTCATCTCTCCGGAGTGGGCACCACGAACACCGCATCGCGGAAGTAGACAGGGCGGGTTCCTCGAAGAGCCCTGGTCCCGCTATGGGACTGTGAAATCTCCAGAACTCGCTCAGGTCTACCAACAGAGATGAGAGCGCTGCCACGTTGCCCCTGTGAGCTGGGAGAGAATCAGACCGAGCGGAGAGAGGCAGAGACGGCACGACAGGTCCAGAAACTCAACCACAGACTCCTTTATGGGAGGGTTCATGACCGAATGGACAACATAACGAGTTAGCGACTATGATTACACATTTTCACGGGCATGAGCGTTCTGCACTGGAATTTACACCACTCTTAAATGACGAATCACTACTGATTGTCATCTCTACACTCGAACAACCAAAGTCATGCTTGAGTGTGAGTTGTATTAGCACTGCACTGAGATTGACGTTCCACAGTGATTTATAATAAAGGCTGTCACGAGTTCTACCTGCCTCGCGTGATTTACAATTCTATTTACGTACGAATAAGGTGCGCAGAGGTTAATCAAATACAACTGTAAAAGTGAGGTATTGTTGTGTAAGCTGCGCGGGATTAACTGCGTATTGTCTTACTCGCGGTCAAGAGGTTGAACATTCCAATGGAAGTCGAAGGTCGACTTTGGCCATAATCTGTCAGAGGTGATCAAAACGAGTACCACAAAGGCCCTTTTCTCTTAAAAAAATAGATATCCAGAGTAGGTGTGTGTATTTATATAATGCGAGACACGGTCATGCACCATCAAACTCTTCTGTACCGCATCCTGAGCTGCAACTGCGTTCAATCGCTATCCACATCTTAAGTTGCATTGTCGTTGTAAGACGTGATTTGTAATTGTAGTTGTATTGTGCAGAGGCCGGTTCCCGTCATAGTAATGAGTAATCTTCACGACGAGCTCGCAGCTGCCGATTGAGAAGAGTGGCGGCAATACTTGGGTGAGCAGAAGAGGCGCTTTGAAATGTGTTTCATGGCAAACAAATCAGCAGCTCTCGTCTGGCACAGCCACCGAGGAGGAAGTGGGGGGTGACCTCTAAGTTCGGGTTGCTCCAACAAGCCCACAGCTGCACGAACAGCTGCACCCACGGCTGCACCCGCAGCAGCACCACCACAGCTGCACACACAGCTGCACCACAGCTGCACAACAGCTGCACCACAGCTGCACTCACAGCTGCATCACAGCTGCACAACAGCTGCACCACAGCTACACTCACAGCTGCACCACAGCTGCAATCGCAGCTGCACTCACAGCTGCACCCACAGCTGCACCACAGCTGCACACACAGCTGCACCACAGCTGCACAACAGCTGTACCCACAGCTGCACCACAGCTGCACACACAGCTGCACAACAGCTGCACCACAGCTGCACCACAGCTGCACACACAGCTGCACCACAGCTGCACCACAGCTGCACAACAGCTGCACCCACAGCTGCACCACAGCTGCACCACAGCTGCACCACAGCTGCCCTCGCAGCTGCACCCACAGCTGCACCCACGGCTGCATCACAGCTGCACCACCACAGCTGCACCACAGCTGCACACACAGCTGCACCACAGCTGCACTCACAGCTGCACCCATAGCTGCACCCACGGCTGCACCCACAGCTGCACCCACAGCTGCACCCGCAGCTGCACCCAAAGCTGCACCCACAGCTGCACCACCACAGCTGCACCACCACAGCTGCACCACAGCTGTACCCGCAGCTGCACCCACAGCGGTCTCCAACGCGAGCAGCAAACTCTCAGTCCGAACCAATGACGTTTCACACAACACAACTTCCTACGCGATAACACTACAATTACATCAAACAAACATCCACTCGCAAACTGTTTACCTATTGTGCATCACGTGTTGTGTTTTATCTCGACGTCAAGTCGTGTTATTTGGTTGCTTTCAATAACGCGTGGGGTGGACCGGTGGCGCTGTGGTGAGCACAGTGCGCTATGAACTCGACCACCTGAGTGTGATTCCCCGTCACGGCCACCGTCAGTGGCGAGTGACATCTGAGCCAGACCTGGACAGCCCTCATTCAATCAACCCGCACTACCGACCAGAGTGGGGAAGTATGCTCGAACCACCCCCACGACTGTTATGGTGTGGAGGCTTTCATCTAGCAGTGGATTGGCAACAGGTTATGTAAAACATTTTAATATTGAGGAACCACTGATTAAAAAATAAACAGATGCTGGTGATACTCTATGCGAGTGAGTCTTACTTGCCAGAACTGCATTTTGTTTGGGCAATTCTCGCCGAGCAGAGACAACATTTCTTCTAACGATGATGACGCCCAGAGAAACGTAAACGCTGGCGTGTGAGCAAGCACAACACGAGAGAGAGCCCGCACGAGTGCACCGCACACAAACTGCACTTTACATGGGATTGCTTTGTTCAGTGGAAGTTATTAAGCACACTTTTACAGCGTTGGTACTCAAGCAAAAACGTAATTTTAACCATTGAACATTCCATGCATTCCATGATTCTGTTTGGTCAGAATGATCTCCCAGCTCAACAAGACAGCGAACGACGCCACAAACTAAACCACGTGACCCACGTGGCGACCCAAATTACAAGCACAACATTCTCACGGACACGACCTCCCCCCGCCCCATTGCCTCTGCGCCACGACATTTTCTCAAAACACGGGCAGATACAGCCTTGGCTGCTTGACCAGTGTTTGTATACAGAGTGCCCCTTTGCCCTGCCATCTCACACCGAAGTCACGCGCATGCAATCTCTGAAACTATTTCCAGGCATAAAAGTTCCATCGGTCGCACAGCTGTAAAAAAAACAACCCACAGCATTTTCGCGACCCGGTGGCGAAAGAGGGCATCGACAATGTCGCCGTGAAGCCGCGGTCACACCTCGGCCGCAGATACTCCTCTCACATAGACGCCACGGGACGATCGCTCGTGAGCAAACACAACGGAGGGGAGTCGCTCTAAGTGCCCACTGCAGATCCGTGCTGTTTTTGTTTCCTGACCCAGTTTACTCGGCGGCGGTGGTGGTGGCGGCGTGGTTACTCGGAACTGGTTTTACTGAGAATCCGCGGCGCCAGCTGTCGTGGCCCACGAACGCGATCGATCGATCACGCATCTCGAAAGGTGGAGCCATTACGTTCGCAGCTCGAGTGTAATTTGTCATTCAAACATGATCAAATAGCAACACCTCTTTCATGACTACTTCCCCGGTTAAGCTCAACCCCCCCCCCCCCTTGTTTTGTCATCTTTGCGTGCTGTTGTATCAGCTTTGTGTGCTGTTGTGTCAGCTTTGTGTGCTGTTTTGTCAGCTTTGCGTGCTGTGTCAGCGTTGTGTGCTGTTGGGTCAGCTTTGTGTGCTGTTTTGTCAGCTTTGCGTGCTGTTGTATCAGCTTTGCGTGCTGTTGTGTCAGCTTTGCGTGCTGTTGTGTCAGCTTTGCGTGCTGTTGTGTCAGCTTTGTGTGCTGTTAGGTCAGCTTTGTGTGCTGTTGTGTCAGCTTTGCGTGCTGTTGTGTCAGCTTTTTGTGCTATTGTGTCAGCTTTGAGTGCTGTTGTATCAGCTTTGTCTGGTGTTGTGTCAGCTTTGCGTGCTGTTGTGTCAGCTTTGCGTGCTGTTGTGTCAGCTTTGTGTGCTGTTGTGTCAGCTTTGCGTGCTGTTGTGTCAGCTTTGTGTGCTGTTGTGTCACCTTTGCGTGCTGTTGTCAGCTTTGCGTGCTGTTGTGTCAGCTTTGCGTGCTGTTGTGTCAGCTTTGCGTGCTGTTGTGTCAGCTTTGCGTGATGTTGTGTCAGCTTTGCGTGCTGTTGTGTCAGCTTTGCGTGCTGTTGTGTCAGCTTTGTGTGCTGTTGTATCAGCTTTGCGTGCTGTTGTGTCAGCTGTGTGTGCTGTTGTGTCAGCTTTGTGTGCTGTTGTATCAGCTTTGCGTGTTGTTGTGTCAGCTTTGCGTGCTGTTGTGTCAGCTTTGCGTGCTGTTGTGTCAGCTTTGCGTGCTGTTGTGTCAGCTTTGTGTGCTGTTGTGTCAGCATTGTGTGCTGTTGTGTCAGCTTTGCGTGCTGTTGTGTCAGCTTTGCGTGCTGTTGTGTCAGCTTTGCGTGCTGTTGTGTCAGCTTTGTGTGCTGTTGTGTCAGCATTGTGTGCTGTTGTGTCAGCTTTGTGTGCTGTTGTCAGCTTTGCGTGCTGTTGTGTCATCTTTGTGTGCTGTTGTGTCAGCATTGTGTGATGTTGTGTCAGCTTTGTGTGCTGTTGTGTCAGCTTTGTGTGCTGTTGTGTCAGCTGTGTGTGCTGTTGGGTCAGCATTGTGTTTATTCGTTCAATGGCACGGAGCAACAGACACAGCAATGCATCGCATCGCCGCGCTCTGCTGAGTTGTTACTCTTCATACCACTCTTGCTCTCTGCGCTGCTTTAATAATCCCGAACAGTTGCATTTTAATTCAACATCAGTAAACATGTACCAGGTTTGCATTACATGAGCCATTAATATAATTATTTGACATCAGTAAACATTTACCAGCTTCGCTGAGGTTCAAAGGAATCGCTGTGCGACAAGTCAGCATTAGCCACGCAAGCGTTTTCTGGTTGAAGAAGGTTACGGATTAAACCCCGGCTCAACAGACCCCACTTGAAATCGCGCTCCGTAAAAAATATCATCACTCGGACTGTGAGTACAAATGGCACAGGGATCGACTCAGCCTATCAACCATTTGAGTCCAACACAGCGACTACCATCGTGGGAAATCAACCGCGGGCTTTCTGTGGGAGGACTCGCCCTCGCCATGGAAATGTGGAATGTCTTCCACAGGCTCCGGGCAACCAATTGGAGACGATCACTGTGACACTGTCTGTTCGCCTCACGCACGCCACCAAGTAATACGCACAGCGAGACACTTTTTAACTTTTTAACAATGAATCAGGGACACGTAGGGTGGGCTCTTGGATTTAAACACAAGCGCCAAACTCACTGAGCTTCCCTTGTAGGCAATAATAGGGACAGTGACGAGGGCCAGGGATAGGGATGGGTGCAGGGGCAGTGATGAGGGCAGGGGCAGTGATGAGGGCAGGGGCAGTGGCCAAAAAGCGTCCTCTGGTCTAACACCGTTTTGAGACGAGGCTCAAAAGAAAGCTGTCTCTGGTGTGGACAATCAGTTTCAAAGACAATGCATATATTATCAGAGTATGTTTTTTGTTTGGATTCTGACCACAAGTATTGTGGTTAATGCAGACATGATTCCTTGTAAAAGGTTTCAGTTTCGTGTTTTACATCTTAACACAGCTGTTTTTGTTGGTACTGGCAAAGGAGGTCCCATGATGTAGCCATTCATCGTATTATTATTGTTGTATTTTACCTGGATAATCCCCTGAGTTGGAATATCTCGTTTGCAAGGGTGTCCATGCTGTCACGTGACGCACAGATGGCAAACACATAACGACGCGTACCCAACCACTTGGGTGTCCGAGGATTTCACAGCGTGCGC